TGTGCCCCCTCCCAGTGCACGTTTACTTACGTTTCAGCTGCGGTCGCCACTGCGACCCCTGTGACTGAGACTGCAGCTGCGGTACACCCGGAGCAGCGCTCGCGCTACGCAACGTCGTGGCCGCCAGGGAGGGCGTGGTGGTGGAGCTGGTTGTAGTAGTGGTGGTACCGGGGGCAGCAGCCGTCACAGCAGTCACAGTCGTCGCAGCAGCTGTCCCAGCCCCAGCCGTGGGCTCGCCTCACCCCGAGTTGGCTCGGCACCTCCGTAGGTGGTGGCCGTGGTGGCGGCCCGCGTAGCTTGGCGTCTACCGGCAGCTCCGTTGGTGTGACCTGCCAGTACCAGCTTCAGATCGGGCCTCTCCGCGGCACTCTGTGCCGCCGCCCGCACTCGACCGCCTGCTGTTTCCGCCGCCTCGACGATCTCTTTCGTCGTCGCTTTGGCCCGGCCCCGGACCTCCCCGACTGGCACAGCCTGCTTCGCCAGGGCATGCCGATCTTTGATTTAGATATGGATCAGATAGGTGCTGCTTTGCATGCCTTGTATGCTGACGCTTCTAGTGTTGCTGGATCTTATTACCCTGTATAATCTAGTTTAGGCGTAGCACCCTTGCGAAGCTTAGCCTCCCCTGCTGCGTCAGGCGTAGGACTGCCTAGTTTGCCTAGCCTAGTTTCTGCACCGGCTCCGTTCTCGGCCTCCGCTACTGCCTCGCTGTCCTTCACTCTCTATTCCGGTACTTCTGCCTGATTCTTCCGCGACCGCTCCACGCTCACGCCGCTTGCTGCGCCTGCTGTTGTCGCTCTCGCTGACCCCTCCGCGGGTCCTGTCGTCGCTCGCAGCTCCACTTCCCTTCCCTGTCCAGCCGTTCCCTCTGGCTCTCTTACAGGCCTCCACGTTCCCTCGTTCTCCAAGAACCTGGTTGGTGTCGGCCGTCTTCAGGACCTCGGCGTCACCACTACGTTCCCTGGGCACGAGCGGTTCACTGTCTGTGCCGAGGCAGTCTCAGGTTCCCCCCTTGCGACGTTCCCCCGGGACTCGGTGTCACGGTCTGTTTACCCTCGACACCGCTTCCCCCCCGGTTGGTGCGTCCTCCCAGGTCGCTGCAGCTTGCTCGTGTCGGTCCCTCACACACCCGTCCCTTCTGTGGCACCACCGCTTAGGTCACCCTGCTCTCCCGCGCCTGCGTCACATGTCTCGGCACGGTCTTCTCTTAGGCCTCCCCGAATCGCTCCCCGCACTTCCCCCCTTGACTGCGCCACCGTGCACGCCTTGCGTCGAGGGCCGGCTCCGCCGTGCCCCTCACTCCTCCTCGCTTCGCCCTGCTACTGCTCCCCTTCAGACCCTGCACCTGGACGTTTGGGGCCCAGCCCCCGTCCCCGGACCGCACGGTGAGCGCTACTTTCTTATGCTCGTCGACGACTACACGCGCTACACCACGGTGTTTCCCCTGGAGCGGAAGGTCGACGTGCCCGACGTGCTTCTCCCGTGGGTTGTGGCTGCGTGTCTTCACCGCGGTCTCCCCGTGTTGTGTCTCCAATCTGACCGTGGCGGCGAGTTCGCCTCTGGTCGGCTTGGACAATTCTGTCGTGCGGAGGGCACGCCACAGCAGAATGGGGTTGCTGAGCGCCGCATCGGCTTGGTCATGGAGGTTTCTCGTACCTCCATGATTCATGCCGATGCCCCCCATTTTCTGTGGCCGTTCGCTGTCCGCTACGCTCCTCACCAGCTTAACCTCTAGCCACGCTCCCAGCGGCCGCGGGTTTCGCCGACCCTCCTTTGGACCGGGTCCCCCGGTAACGCGTCTGCGTTCCACGTCTAGGGTTGCCTTGCTCACGTTCGTGCCTCTGGCACGGACAAGCTCACTGCCCGCACTGTCTCCTGTGTCTTCCTCGGTTTCCCACTGGACTCGTTTGACTGGCTATTCTACCACCCGCAGTCTCACCGCTTCCTTCACTCTCGTGACGTCACCTTTGACGAGTCTGTCTCCTTCTACCGTCGCTTCCCTCAACGAGGTCTCCCGGTTTCCCCCCCCCTTGTTCCTGGCTCCCTCTCTCCCGGTAGCCCCTGCTCCCCTCCCGCCTCGTCCTGCCCCGTCTGGTGTCTCCCATGTCACTCCCCTCCCGTCGGTTGTCCCCGTTGAGGAGTCTGCTTACTCTGGTGGTCCCCGCGGCCCGTCCTTGCCGCGTCCCCCTTCCCCAGTGTCTCCGCCTCCGCTGTCGCAGCCGCCGCCGCCGCCGTCGCCGCCGCTGCCGCCGCTGTCGCTCTTGGCCTCTGGGGGTGCTGGCGTTGAGGAGGGTGTTTGTCCTGCGGCCCCTGGCGTGGTCGGTCCCGGCGGGCCTGGGGGTGCCGCCGGTGCTGGAGGGGGTTCTCGCTCTAGGGGTGTTGGTTCTAGGGGTGCTGCTGTTGAGTGTTCTCCCAGCGGCCGTCGTGCCCGTACCGATCCGCGAGTCGAGCACCAGACGCCGCAGCAGCCGTCGCCGCCGGTCTCCGCTCTTCGCCTGCTCGGCCTTCCCTCCCCCGACCGCTCGCCGGTGTCTCCCCCACCACCTTCTCACCTTCCTGTCTCCAGCCCTGTGTTCCCACCACTGGAGTCGTCTCCGGTCCATCTTCCTCCTCGTTCCCCTTTTGTGTCCCCTCCGCTGTCTCCTGACCCTACACCTCCGTCCCACGTTTGGTCTCGCCGTCCCTCCCGTGCTCGTTCCGTCTCTCCTGTCCTGCGCTCACACCCTATGTTGCTCCGTTCCCACTCGTCTCGTCCTCCCCTCCTCCCGTCGCCTCCTCCCTCGTCGCTTGTTGTTGCACCTCCCCCGCTGTCTGACTACCTCCGTGCCGCTCGTCCCCTTGTCCCTCAGGTTCTTGCCTCTCTTGTTACAGACCCGTCTGTTCCTGTCTCGCGCCTTGACGCGCTTGTCGCGGCTGTCGCTGACTTCGCCTCTACCCGCCGCCTTTACTACGCTACCGCTCTGGTCTCTGGCCCTGCCCGTCCTCCGTCCGTCGGGGGTGCACCTGCCCTTGGTTCTAGAGGACCGGCAGTACGAGCTTGCTTTCCTTTCCGAGGCCGCTCCCCATCTCTGCTCCATGCTCCTAGTCCCAGAGGGTGACCCAGACGCCTTCGACATCCCGACCCCTCGCACTTATGCTGAGGCCACCTCGGGACCTTGGGCGTCTTAGTGGATAGCTGCCATGGAGCAGGAGATGGCATCTTGGAGGTCCACTGGCACTTACGTCGACAAAGTTCCACCGCCTGGGTCGAACGTAGTCGATGGTCGGTGGCTCTTCAAGGTGAAGCGCCCCCCTGGAGAGCCACATGTCTTCAAGGTGCGCTACGTGGCTAGAGGCTTCAGCCAGCGCCAGGGTGTTGACTTCTTCCAGAACTTCGCCCCGACCCCGAAGATGACCTTTCTTCGGGCGCTGCTACATGTAGCAGCACAGCGCGACTACGAGCTTCACTCCCTCGACTTCTCTACAACCTTTCTTCAGGGCAGCCTACACGAGCAGGTCTACCTGCGCCGACCACAGGGCTTCACTGGTACCTTCCCCCCTGGGACCTAGTGGCTTCTCAAGCGCCCGGTCTACGGCCTGCGCCACGCTCCCCGCGAGTGGCATGACACGCTGCATGCCACGCTAGCAGACCTGCAGTTATTTCCGTCCTCAGCTGACCCCTCGCTGTTTGTGCGTTCCGGCCAGACTCCGTTCTACATCCTTGTCTACGTAGACGACCTGGTCTTCGCTACTGCTGACAGGGACGCACTGGCCTCTGTGAAGGCCGAGCTGCTGAAGAGACACACCTGCACTGACCTTGGAGAGCTGCGTCGTTATCTTGGCCTGCAAATCTCTAGGGACAGAGCAGCACACACCATCACTCTGACACAGTCACACTTGGTGTGTCAGGTCCTTGAGAGGTTCGGTCTTCAGTTCTCCTCCGCACAGCCCACACCTTTACCTGTAGACCATGGGCTCTCCGCTCCCGTTCCTGAGGAGCCAGTAGAGCCCAGCGGCCCCTACGCAGAGCTGGTGGGTTGCCTCATGTACCTGATGACTTGCACTCGCCCAGATCTCGCATACCCTCTCAGCATCCTGGCTCGCTTTGTGGCCACTGGCAGACACCGACCACAGCACTGGTCGGCCGCTAAGAGGGTTTTGCGATATCTAGCAAGTACATCAGGCATGGGGTTAGTGCTAGGAGGATGCAGGGCGGTGGTCCTCACTGGGCTCACAGACGCTTCTTGGGCAGACGACTCTGAGACACTCAGGTCATCGCAGGGCTACTGTTTTAGCCTTGGTTCGGGCGCTATCTCTTGGAGATCCACTCGCTCATCGTCTGTTGCTCAGTCCAGCTGTGAGGCTAAGATCTACGCCGGTGCCATGGCGGCACAGGAGCTCCGCTGGCTGACCTTCTTGCTCACAGACTTAGGTGAGCGGCCTAGCTCTGCCCGGGTCCTGTACGCTGACAACATGGCCATGATTCTCCTGTGTCAGGAGCCTCAGCTTGAGGGCAGAGCGAAGCACATCCAGCTGCGGTACTTCCTCCTGCGCGAGCTACAGCAGCGTCGCCAGGTCCGCGTAGTTCACTTGGACTCAGGTGCCAACACAGCTGATATCTTTACTAAGGCGCTTGCGCCTAAAGATCATCAGCGGCACTGTGTACAGCTTGGTCTTGTTCCTGTAGCTACTCACCTGTTAGGACCCTGATTGTATACTCTCTATTATACATACCTGTCTGACTGGCCTTGTGGCCTTACCTCCATTGGCTGGACTAGTAGTGCCGCCTTGGCTTGCTTTTGTCTTGCTTATACTCTTGCTGACTGGTCTCATGATCCCTACCTCAGTGGTTGGACTAGTAGTGCCACCCTGAGATGTGTGCTTCTTGCTTAGCACCACCCCTTCTCTAGCCTAGGGGGTGTGTCAATTTATACATATGCATGCTGTATGTAGAAGTTATAGGCTAGCCTAGGTGTGTGCTTCTAGTGAGTACAACCCCAACAGGTACATGTCCTAGGTTTCTCACGCTAATCCATTCATTCTCTCTTTCTAACACAAGTAGCAAGCTTTCTCAATCAAACCATAATTGCGGTGCCACTCATGCATGTCAACTATACTAACGTACTCCTTGAGGTGTCTTCCTAGCATGAGCTCTGTCCCACCAACAGATCATTATAGGTGCAAGCTAAGGTCCAGGCACCCAATCAGCCTGTCCTCTCCACATTCCTGGTTACTTCTATCTGAAGTCAAAATGTTAGAGCCTGATTTGCAAGCGATTTGAAACACCGCAGCACCGACATCATATGTTATGCCTTCATGACTATCCCCAGGCCCGTCTCCCCTTGGAGCATCGCTGTGACCAGGGGGGCCATCAGGGCGCTGAGCGTCGCCCGTGCATGCAGCAGTAAGCCCTCGTGACTCGCGTTCGATTGCCCTCGCAGCCGCTGCCAGGTCAACATCTTCCCTCTCCATGCCCTCGGCCACATCGTCAGGTGTCCGATTCAAGTCAGCTGCACGCAGGCCAGCATGGTTCCACACACCATCCATGCAAGATGCGGCCGTAGGGCTTGGCGTGACTGCCACGCCTGCCATGCCTGCAGACCAGCATGGACTGCGCTCCCCTCGCCCTTGTGTCCGCAGCACCAGGCGTGTCTGCAGCAGCCGCTCCTTGATAGCCCTCTTCAGCTGCTCCCTCACACGCCCCTCGCACGCCCCTCCCTCCACCTTCAAGCCACGCGCACTGACATCTCCCCCACGCTCCCCTGCAGGGCTGGTGGTCTCTCCTCCACTCTCCGCTGCAGTGCCCAATGCAGCCTCTGCTTTGGGCCATGAAGCTGGCACAGCTTCCTCATAGGTCGGCGTGAATGGGGGGGTTGGAGGGGAGGTTTTAACCGGGGAGGCATCTTCTGCCGGAACGGATTTGGATAAGTTTGAGGACTTCAGGTGAGCAGCATCGATTTGTGCGGAAGAATCATGAGCAGTCTTGCATTTCTTATGGCTGCGTTGTGATGGTGTTGCCGCAGGGTTGGTTCCACGGCTAAGAAGGCTGCTGCTTCCGTTGCGGCTCTGCTGCTGCTTCTTGCCACTGCAGCCGCCACCAACGCTCCTGCCGCTGCCGCTGCTGCTGGTGATGGTGCGGCTGGCGTGCTTGCGGTGCATGGTCTTGTGGCCTCCCAGCGCGTGCACAGTGGGGAACGAGCGATGGCAGATGGCGCACGAGAATCCGCGGCTGGCTTCAACCCCACCACCGGTTCTCCAGAGATCACTTCCAAGACCAACCATGCCACTGGCACTGATGGTGATGCCATTCAAGCCATTGATCCCAAACATGCCATTCATCCGACGGTTGAAAAGGGCCTCTGCCAGAGAACCAGTCCCTAGGGCGCATGGCAAGCCGGGCAGCTTGGGAAGCGACAGCAGCACGTGGGCGAGGGAGGCCCTATGGTGGGGGAAGAGCAGAGGCGGGGGGGGGGACATGGTTCCTGGCGAAAAGAGCGCCTTGTGGTGCGCGGCTGACTCCGACCCGCGGCTCTCACGGGGTGCAGCACAGGCACTGCTGGGACCAGGAGCGAGACCGTGACCTCCCACCTCGCCAAACGCGCCGGTTCTGGCGCCCAGCGCAGCCGGCGCCTCCGGGCTCTGGAGGGCGGCGCTGTTGGTGCATTGGCGCGGAGTGGGGGTGGCGGGATTGGCGGAGGAGTTTGCGAGCATGAGCGATATGAGGCGCCCCGGATCGTCGCCATTGTCACCATCGGCGCGCGGCGACGACGTGGACGAAGCCGCGGCCCGAGCCGCCAGCTCCTGATGGTTCGTCCGTTGCCTCGGACTCGGAGGCAGGCTCGGACGACTGAGGTCGTCCCTGCCGCGGTGATACGCTGCCACGCGGCGCTTTGACTCTCTCGCGCGCGTCGATGGAGTCTCCACCCGATCATCCCGTGCATCCCGCGCATCCCCCGCATCCCGCGCATCCCGCGCATCCCGCGCATCCCGCGCATCCCGCGCATCCCCCGCATCCCGCGCATCCCCCGCATCCCGCGCATCCCGCGCATCCCGCGCATCCCGCTGCGACTCATGCCGGGGCTCATCCCGCTCGCACTGTCGCCTTTTCAAAGCGCGCCGAGTGTCGACTGTGAGGAAGTCCCACGACGCCTTCGCAGCCGCAGCAGCAGGGCCGCCGACGCTGGCGCCTAGTACCGCCCGCGGCGAGGCTGTGTCGGTAACCACCACCTGTAGGTTACTGGAACCGCGGGCTGTGCCACTAGCTCGCGGTGAGAGGACTCCTCCGAGGGAAATGACCGTCATTGGACGAGGGGGACTGTCTGTTCCGGCTTTTAACTTGGCCGAGGCTAGCAGCGAGAGCGCTTCGAAGGTTGACCTTCTACCGCGGTCCTTGCTGTGCGACCTTTCGAGTGATGCTAGAGACGAGCCGATTCTCCGGTTCTAATTGGTCAGAAACGGACGGAGAGAGCTGGAGCGGCACTACCGCTGGAGCTGGACGGACGACAGGACGCAGGAAGAGTGACTTGTGAGTGCCAGGCTTGAGGCGCCTCAAAACGGAAGACAGGACGCAGGAAGAGTGACGAGTGAGTGCCAGCTTCAATGACTTTGAAATGTTGAGAGTCGAATGCTGCCGCTGCAGTGCTGCACGCCAGGGATGTCTACCAAAAAGGCGCGAGCATAGTAGAAGGGGTTGAAGAAACTGGTTGTGCTCACTCTGTGCGGGGGTTGACGAAACAGAAACCGGGCGAGCGGTGGAAGGAACTGGTTCAAGGAGAGAAACGACGCGTGAAACGACCAAGTGAGGGCCGCCGACCGAGATATAGCTGGCGAGCTGTGGCTGACGCTGGCGATAAGGATGCCTCCGTGCGGCGACGGATGCCCTGCGAGTGGGAATACCACGGCCATGGATGCATGGCAGCACTTGGGAGTACTGCGTGCACAGCGGCCATTTAGAGCGGGTCCGAAGTACAGTACCCCGGCGTCGAGGTTTGGCTGGTCGATCATGGAGGGATCCATGCGGGGTGACATGACGTGACAACCAGACGGAAGTGCAGAAAGAGCTTCGATTCGAGCTCCACTATTGTCGGACACGGGATGCCATGGCCCACGGCACAACACCCTTGGTACTGTGGGCCAGAGTCTCCCCTCTGGAGCCTGAGGAGCGAAAATCGTCACTCGCGGAGATCTAAGATGCGAAGGCGGGGCGTGCGGCGGGGCGCGAGGCGAAAGGGGTACGGTCCTCATGATATTGACACCACACTGACGTGCCACCTGTAATCAATCTGGATCGATTTGGAGGAGATATTTATGAGCGAGAATCCCGATATTAATGCGACGACCCCCGCAATCGCCATTTCCAGGCTTTACAGAAAAAAGGCTGCGACGCGGGAAACGGAATCTGGTGCGGAATGCCGGATGGACACATCGGCTCAGCAGTCGAATCGGAAGCACAGAGTCGAGCGTACTGTACGCTAACGCGGAGCACGACGAACCAGCAGACAGTCAGGACTCAGGAGGGCGTGACAGCCTGTTGCCGCGTGCTAGATACTTTCTACAGTTCGCTCAAGACAATTCTTGATTTAGGAGACAAGCACGAAAGCCTGACGCCCCCTGAGGGAACGCGCCGGCGCCATTATGGTGACAGGGACGAGGAGCAGGTGGCGAAATCTCTGACGAGGTTCTGGGCACGAGTAACCAAATATTACACACGAGCGGCTACGCGCGAGAGTTCGCACACACGAACGATGAGGTCAGCGAGGCGTGGGGCGTGCTGGGGGTGGTGGGGGTTGTGGGGGGGGTGGGGGGGGCCGTGACAGGGCAATGCTGCAAGGACGGATCCCTGATGGGATGCGAACGAGCGCAGCGCGTGGTCAAGGTGTGCTTCGCGAAGGTTCGGTCAGTTACAGGTCCGGGCATTGGTTGGTTGGGGCGGGCGGCTAGAGGCAGAGCGATCAATGAACAATCCTCAGGCGTGCCACGTCGATGCCAGCGCAGCACCCTTATCGCCCCGTAGTGAACAAAAACCTTCCGACCTCTAACGGAGTTTTCATACACCTTGTAGCGACCCCAATCCTCCTACATCATACTGTACAGGCATTTAGCGCGGGATAGTAAGACATTGTCCTCTAAATGAATGCTTATAAAAGTGGGCCCACCATAGAACACGTTTATCTTATACTTGTAATGGGCCCACTTCTCCTGCATCGTACATGCATTCAGCTGTGCCTACATGTGAGAAGTGATGCAGGGAAAAAAGCTTCATGCGGAGACGAAAGCGGATGCAAAACTTATATAAGGATCAGGCCAGCCTGAACGTGAGCTCCCTCTCCAAAGCAGGCTCCTCCTGGGTAGCCAACCCTGCTCCATCCAACTCACATTCCACGGCGCCCACATCCACTGCCCCCAAACACTGCACTCTCACTCTTTCCTCTAAACCTCCCTTTCCTCCTCCCCTCCCACTCCCTTCTCCACCCCTCCCTCTCCCTTTCCCTCCACCCTCGCTCCCTTGTCCACCCTCCTCCCCTACTCTCTCCCCCACCCGACCTCCCGCCAGCCCACTCCTCCCAACGCCCAGCCCTCTCCTCCCCAGCACCGCTGCCCCTATCTGCGGGTCCGAGCTCGTCCTCCTGTGCCTCCCCCCTCCGCCTCCCCCTCCCCCTACCCCTCCCCCTCCCTCTGCTCGCAGCTGCTGCACAGCACGAGCCCTCACAGCCCCCCCCCTCCCTCCACCCTCTCCTGCTAAGATCCCCTCCCCTCCCACTGCCTTTCTTCCCGTGCCTGCTGCTGCGCCCCCTGCACCCTCTCCCTCGCCCATCTCCCTCTCTCTACTCATCCCATGGGGCTGTCTCCAAGGCGGGGGCCTCACCTTCACCTGCTGCTGCTGCTGCTGCCCCCCCTCTGCTGCCCTCATTTGCCGGTTCCGTCTTGTAGCAGGTGCTGAGTCAGCAGTGGTGGGGCGGCCGCTAGTGGACAAAGACCGCGACTTCACAAACTCCAGAGGCTGGGATTCTGCCGACCCGCCCACGCGAGGCAGCGAATGCGCCCTAGATGCATGCTCAGGGCTCTCCCCCCACTCCTCCTCCAAATCCTCCTCTTCCTCTGCCTCGCCCCTCCCTTGCGCACTACCAGCAGCTGCAGGCCCCCCAACAGAGGCGCTCTTGAAGAGAAACCCTTGGCTCAGGGCCTTGAGCTCCGTGACTCGCTGGTTCTGCCGCACGCGCGACCACTCCCACTCCCACTCCTTCTCCAACCCATACTCGTCCTCCTCCGCTCCCCTCTCCCCTCCCCTACCTGTAACCTTTGCCTCACTTTTCCCTTCACTCACTGTCCCCTCCCCGTTCCAAGCACCACCTGCCTCTCTCAGCCTTACAGCACCGCTCTCCCTTTGCTTGGCACCGCCTGCAACCGAACCCGCCTCCCTGTCCCTTCCCTTTGGCAACCCATTCCCATCTCTTCCTACGCCCTGCAAGCTACCCGCCTCTTTCTTCTCGGGCAGCCCGTTCACTCGTGCAGACGCGGCGTTCTGCTGCCCGAGCCTCGCCTGCAGCAGCCGCTGCCGCTCCCGAGCCAGCTGAAGCAACTCTTCCTCCTCCTCCTCCTCCTCACTGTCACTCAGATCCGGGTCCACATTGCCACGCCCGCCATCCCTATCCCTACTCGGATCAAGGCCTACATTGCCCCGTGCATCACTGCCCATCTTGCCCCGTGCATCACTGCCTGCACTGCCACGCCCGTCGCCCCTGTCCCGGTCCACACCCACACCGCTCCTCCTCTCCCGCTCCCTCTCTCCCGCCCTCTCCTCATCACTCGCATCCTCACTGTCACTCGCCAGCACACGAGCCCGCTCTGCCCGCTCCTCCCTCTCTCGCCAACCCTCCACTCGCCCCGCACTCTCCCCACCCTCCCTCCTCCCCCCTCTTGCCCCAACTGCTGCCTTTACTGGCGCTCCACCCCTTGGCCATGCGCCCAATGCTCTTCCCCGCACTGCTCCCTCTCTTATTTCTCCTCTTCCCGCCGCTCTCTCCCCCGCCCGCCTTACCCCCATTCCCCTCTCCCCCTCTCTCCCGACGTTATAGTCTAGCAACTCCTCCTCATCCTCCTCCTCCTCCTCCTCCTCCTCCTCCTCCTCCTCCTCCTCCTCCCCCTCACCCAGCAAACCAGCAACCTTAAACTGCATCACAAACGGCTGCCCGCGCCCCCTCCCCCCTCCCCCATCAGATGCACCGACTCTCCCTCCTGCTTCCCCGCCACCACGGGGATTGGTGGTGGTGCTGCCACTGCCGCAACCCCTCCTTGCATTACCACCGGAGTCTACCCTAGAAACCCCTCTAAACCCCCCACTACTTCCCCCGTCAGTGAGTGCTATTGGGCTGCTGAACGACCCTCCCCTTCCCGCGCCCGTTCCCCCCATTCGCCCTCCCTTTTCCCCCCTCCCCTCACCGCCCACCCCCCTGCCCGTTCCCCCTGCGCCAACCAGCGCGCCACTGGCTCCGCCCACCCTAGATGCGCCGGTACCACCAGCAAAACCGTTCCGCGCCCCTCCCCTCTGACCCTGCGCCCCCTCCCCGTCACTGTCACTCCCGTTATCGTCACTATCGTCGCTGCGATCCATTCCCCCAGCCTGCCTCCGCGGCGCCAGCACGGTTCCCGCCACAACCGCTTCCCCCGACGCGGAGCTGAGGGGCAGCGCAAGGTCGTGCGCGGGCGTGGAAAGCGAGCGCCGGTGCATGGCGCCCTCGGGACCCGCGCGGCTGGTGCCAGCAGCGCGGGGCGCTCCGGGGGGTTGCGGGAAGCGGTTGTGGGGGACGGAAGGATGCGCGGAGGAGGAGTCCCGCGGAGTCAACCCCGCGTGCGATAGCCGCCCAAACCTCTCCTGCTCCTGCTCCCCTTGACCCGTGTCGTCCCCTTCCCCTTCCAAATCGAGACTATCTATACTCGAGCTATCATCCCCCCGGTCGTCCTCCCCACGACGCCCCGCAGTCCCCGCCCTCGCTGCCGCTCTACTGACTAGCCCCGCCCCTTCCCCCGCCCTTTCCCCCGCCCTTTCCCCCGCCCCTGCGCCTGTTCCCCCCCGCACGTGCAGCAGCGCGGGGTTCGACGCGCTTCTGACGCAGCCCTGGGGCTCGTCGTCGCTTCCCAGATCGAACGATACGGACCGTTGATGCCGCTGATCGAACGAGCTCACTGACAGGCTGGACGATTTCACCATGATTCCGCGGGGGCGCGGGGGGATCCCCATCGGCGGTGAAAGCACTTTTCCCCCAGCCCCGTCGTGCACTGCGCCTCCGCTGCCGCTGCGGACGCGCGCGACTGTTCCCCCACCGCCGATGCTGTTGACGCGGCGCGGACTGGACACTTCGAAGTCCGAGCCTGAGTGCGAGGTTCGGTCGCCCTTGTGGCTGCCGGTGCTGCGGACGGAGTCCTGCCGCGACACGGCGTCCCAAGCCTTCTCTGCACCTCGGAGCCGCGCGGACCGCGGGGAGCCCACAGATCGCGGAGAGCCGATGGACCGGGGGGAACCGACGCCGCGGGGTGAGCCCACAGCGCGCGGAGAGCCCACAGCGCGCGGAGAGCCCATGGCGCGTGGGGAGCCCATGGCTCGCGGGGAGCCCATGGTACCGCCCGCGTCCGAATGGCGGATGGCCAGGGGAGCAAGGGAGAGCGGAGAGGCTGAAAGCGGGGAAGCTGAAAGCGGAGAGGCCCGGGATGGCCTGGGTGCGGTTTGCATTGGCGGCCGCCATCGATCCGCGCGATGGTCGCTGCGCGCGCTGTCGGTCCCCGCATTGAACCCCCCCTCTTCCCCCTCGTCCCCTTCGCCCCCCATGTGATCGTCGGCAATCTCAAGGCGCGAGCTGCCGAGCGACGAGGACCGTCGATGCCACCCCGCATGTAGACCCTCCTTGCGAAGCGATTGCACCGCGGGAGGCGCACGCGGGGACTCCCCCGCGCTGCTCTGTCGCGCACGAGGGGATTCCCCCGAGCTGCTAAGCCGCGTACGCGGGGATTCCCCCGACCTGGTGTGCGCAACAGGGCGGGCGGCATTAGAGGCGGCTGCGCTGGAGTCATCCCGCGCTCTGGGCCTCGCGAGGGGGGAGGGGGAGAGCGACGACCGCGGCGAGCCGTGCTGGGGAGCGCTGCTGGGGGAATCAAGTCGATCCATTTGACGGTTGGAAAGAGAGCCGTGGTGCGAGAGACGTCGATTTGAGGAGAGATTGGACGGCTGGGATTGACGCCGAGGCGAGGCTACGGCACGGGTGGGCCCGTGCTCCGTGCACCTCTCGCCGTCCATTTTCGTAAGGTAGGCTAGACGAGGCCCAGTCTTGACGAGGCCCAGTCTTGATGCTGTTCACTAACTTAGAGTCCGTTCGATCGTCCTAAATTGCGTGAAGCTAGAAACAACATCGACTAATCTGATAATGGTGTGGTGACCTACCTTCACAAAACCGTACTTCACACATTCCTGCCAGTCTCTGCCCCGAACCCTAATCTCCGCCGTACTACGCGCGTTTCACCAACCTCCCCCTGCGCTGTATGCCTTGCGCGTTCCCCCCATCCCCCTCGACCACCTTGCGTCCCATCCCCCGATACCGTACTTCAGAACTCAGCACCATGCTAAACTCTGTCCCGCGAGGAGGGATTCCCTTGGCTGGCCTGCTTGCCGGTGGCAGTGCTGTGGTTGGTTCTGTGTGCCAAATCCCCAAGGCTTGCTGCTTGCTTCGGGAACTGGTCGGTTCATTATTGAATTCACCTGCTCTGGTATCTCCGAATCATTTTCCGAGCCTCAGGGCGCGCCAAGTCACTTTGACTCAGCCTCGGCTTCTAAACCAGTCGCTAGTAAAGCTCCTGCTTTGGAGGCATAACACTTTTCGGTAGTGAGCAGCTTTATGACGTGGCAACAGAGGTCAGGGGGGGCTTGTGATTGTTCCCAGATAGCCTTGGGAATTGATTGCGCTTCCTAACCTCCTCCGAGCTTGCTTCTGGTTCATCCATTGGCTGAAAATTGTTTACTCCAAGCCTGCGTTGCTCAACGCTGTCCACACCTTTTCCAAGCCTCAACCCTGCGGCGCCTCAGTGACAACTAGTCTTCACTCCCCCATTGATTTCTCCTCTTCGTTGTTCCAGGACGGTAGAAAAGAGACCATCTTAGGACAATTCCCTGTTGCAAACAGCTCCCCCATCGATTTCATCTCTGACTCTTCGTTGCGAGGTTGCGCGGAAGAGGCCGCGCTGATCGTTATCACTAGGCTTCTGACAGAATCTTTTCAGCGTAGCCTCTGCTGCTCAACAACTACCGCAATGGCGAGATGTCGACACTCCGTCACCGTCGCGATACTGCTCGCATCCATGGCGGCTCTGGCCATGGCGTCTGGTCGCACTCTGCTATCCAGATCGCGCACTCCCTGCCGCGACCCGAACGCGAGGGGGTTCTCCGGGGGAGAGCTCGTCTCGGATCCGCGATCGCACGAGACTCTGAAGAAGTCGGACCTTCCGCGAAGCTTCTTCTGGGGAAATGTCAGCGGAGTGAACTATTTGACGGAGAGCAGGAACCAGCACATCCCGCAGTACTGGTGAGTTTTGAGTCGACTCAAATATCCCGCAGTACTGGTGAGACTGCGTGAATTTGGGTACGACGTTTCTTGAGGTTTTCTCGTTTCTGGCGATAAGCGTGACCTCGTTTCATTACATGTCTCTCTGTCAACAGCGGCTCGTGCTGGGCCTTCGCGACCACATCAGCAGTGTCGGACCGCATCAAGATCAAGCGCAGCGCTGCATGGCCGGACATCGTCCTCTCCCCCCAGGTATCGCCTCCTTTCGCCTTGCCTCTGGACAGTAAACGTTTTCTCTTCGCGCCTGACTCGCAGGCTGACTTTATTTCCCGCGAGCAAGCAAGCAATTAATCCGCGTTGTCCGGCTTGCCCAGGCGCTCACTCCCTCACCGAGCTGATCCAACACAATCCTATCCAATCCAATCGGATTTGATCCGATCAGATCTGGTCGATGCAGGTGTTGCTCAACTGCAAGGGAGGCAGGACGTGCAACGGCGGCAACCCGTACGCGGCCCTCCAGTACATGGCGGACAGGGGCCTGCCGCATGAGAGTTGACCAGTACACATCTTGCTGATCCCACCGCATCCAATCTCGTCCCATCCCATCCCATCCCATCCCATCCCATCCCCACTGGCCAATGCAGGTGCTGCTCAACTGTAAGGGAGGCGGTTCGTGCAACGGCGGCAACCCGTACGCGGCTCTGGAGTACATGGCGCACAGAGGCCTGCCGCACGAGAGCTGCCAGAACTACGAGGCGGAGGACCAGGAGTGCCGCCCGCTGGGGTAAGTCGGAACGCAGTCTTTTGAGACAAGGGTCCTGCGGCACGAGTCCCTCGGGTCAGTTACATGGCGCAAAGAGGCCTGCCGCACGAGAGCTGCCAGAACTACGAGGCGGAGGACCAGGATTGCCGCCTGCTGGGGTAAGACGGTTGCTCACGGGTCTTTATTGGAGATTGAAGCGATGAGCCTAGGAAGTTGGAAGACGTAAGGCCCAGGAATACTTGATTTAAACGTAAATGACGCTTTTCATTCTTCTCCATGGCGCTGCTGCCTGCAGGGTGTGCGAGGACTGTGTGCCTGGAGTGGACCCTGAGCCCTTCACCCCCGGCACGTGCTTCCCAGTGGCCAACTTCACCCTCTGGCGCCTCAAGCAGTACGGCTCCGTGCTCTCAGGTCCGTTCCCAACACCGTCAGAATACACGCCACACTCCTTACATCATGCTCCGTACACAATGATCCTTACATGCGCATGCTCCTCCTCTTAAGCCATGTCCGTGCAAGGCATGGGTCTGTCTATGCCCGGGTTGATGGCTGAACTGAGCGTGTGTGTCCAGCACTTGTTGTCTGCCTCTGTGTGTGTGGCTGCAGGCTCTGATTTGGATGCTGCTGGGAATCGCATGTCCAGAGCCGACAAGCTCAAGGGTGAGAGCAGCATCTGTATGGCTTCACATGTATCAGAGCTATTCTGACTTGGGCTTATTCTGTCTTTAACTCATTCTGGCGTAAACTTTCCTCATGGCTACTCCTGTTCACATATGGCTCGTGCATGTGAATCTGTACATGCCATGTACATGTGTGCTTGATGTGTGTGTACTGTGTATCTGTGCGTGCCACATGCGTGCGTGCGTGCTATACTAAAACCTCCTCCCGTGCGTGCTCTACACTCAAAACATGCTTACTACGCAGCGGAGATCTTCAAGCGCGGCCCCATTTCGTGCGGCATGGACGTCACGGACCAGTTTGAGGCATACACGGGCGGTGTGTTCCACCAGTTTGTGCCGCTGCCGCTGCCCAACCACGAGGTCTCTCTCGTGGGGTGGGGCGTGGATGCGGCCTCGGGCCATGAGTACTGGATCGGCCGCAACTCGTGGGGCATGGCATGGTGGGTGTGTTGGTGGGATAGAGCATGCCTTGTAACGTAGAGGGATGGGGTATCTCTAGTGTGCGCATTGTGTCGTAGTGAGCTGGGCCTTTTGAGTCGACTCAGAAGCCAGTTTGTGATGCTGCCGCTGCCCAACCACGAGGTCTCCCTCCCTCGTGGGCTGGGGCGTGGACGCTGCGTCGTGCTGTGAGTAACATGGCATGGCATTGGGCGTGACTGGTGGGGCATGGAATGGTGCGTGTGATGCCTATCTGTGGCTCTGTCATTCCTCGAAGGATGAGCTGATATCCATAATCTGCCGGTCTATCATATTCCAACTTTTTGCAAGGACGAGCAATGCCTGCTTTGCATCGCATGAGGCTCGGCATACAGCCCTCCTGCTCCTGGCCCGTTTGAACCCTTCTCTTCTCTCCCTCTTAGCTTTTCACAGGGGCGAGCCGAGTAGTGTCTGTTTCGCATCTGCCTGCACCACTTGAATCTAGGCGTCGAGCTAACCTACAGCTGCCAGCTTCCCATCCGATACTCTGCCTTGGCCTCCTTCACGATTCCCATCACTTCCCATCACTCCCCACAGGGGCGAGCAGCATCTGCTCCACTGTCCACATCCGCATGCTCCACATGAGCCTCGGCATCGAGCTCACGGGCTCGCTCCTGGCAGCCTAGGGCCGATCAATCAGCACTTTCTGTCCTTCTCGGCCTCTCTGCATCCTGATTTACCCACAGGGGCGAGCAGGGTCTGTTGCGCGTCCGCATGCACCACTCCAACCTGGGCATCGAGCCCACCTGTTCTGCTCCTGGCAGCTGATACTCTTCTCCTCGGTCTCTCTCCCTTGCACCTCCCATCACCTCCCATCACGTCCCATCAACCATCACTACTCACAGGGGCGAGCAGGGTCTGTTCCGCATCCGCATGCACCACTCCAACCTGGGCATCGAGCTCACCTGCTCCTGGGGCGACCCCGACGCCAACCCCCTCCCTGCCGGCGCCATCCCCCAGCCCCTCGACCCCCTGCCCCGTGCCTTCGAAGCTGCCTCGGTCCGTGCCTCCGAAGCTGCCTCGGGCCAGTCTCTCAAGAGTGCAGGGGGGAACGAGCAGCTGATTCAGCAGGTGGTTGGGGGGAGGACGAGGGAGTCCGAGACAGTGGAGACAGCAGCAGCAGAGGGGCCATCCGAGGTGCAGCACCACGTGCACCTGTTTGGACGGCACAAGGAGTGTGCTTGCCTCAAGAGAAGCCCCACTCCCATTGTACGTCACGAGCGGTGTGAGCCGTCATGGTGGTGAGGTGAGCCGTCATGGTGGTGCACCACGCAGTCAGTGGTGCATTTGGCACTGTTTGAGCAGTCAGGTGATCAGTGGTGCATTTGGCACTGTTTGAGCGATGGCGTTTGTGAGCCAAGCAGCGCAGTGGGTGGAAACTGCAGCACTGGTCAAGAGCCAGCGTGTGTGATAAGCCGTCAACGAGTGACGCTTCTGTGTCTTGAGGCGCACACCTCACAAACGTGAATATTCACATCTTGGCACCCTGTAATCTTGTGTCACCCATGCTTGCCATACCCTGTGTCATACCCTGTGTCATACCCTGTGTCATACCCTGTGTCATACCCTGTGTCATACCCTGTGTCATACCCTGTGTCACACGCATATCCTCTCCATTCTCTCTTCCCCCCCCCCACCAGCCCGTGACGATGAAGTCTCCTCTCCCCCAGCACTACCTGCAAGCATGGGACATCCCTGCGGCCTACGACATCCGCAACCTCAGCGGCCGCAGCTACGCTGGGGTGGAGCGCAACCAGCACATCCCTCTATCCCATGCAATCCCACCCTCTCCCTCCCACCCCCCAGCCCGTGACAGTGAAGACCCCCCTCCCCCAGCACTACCTGCGAGCGTCGGACATCCCCGCGGCCTACGACATCCGCAACCTCAGCGGCCGCAGCTATGCTGTGGTGGAGCGCAACCAGCACATCCCGCGCTACTGCGGCTCCTGCTGGGCCTTTGGCACCACGGCGGCGCTCAGCGAGCGAGTCAGCCTGATGAGGAAGGGGGAGTTTCCGCAGATCAACCTGTCGCCCCAGGTGTGTGTTCGACTGTCTTGATCCGCGTATGGCAACCAGCACATGCTGTCACGGCAACCAGCATATCCGCTCACAGCAACCAACACATCCAGCGCTGCTGCAGCTCCTGCTGGGCCTTGGGCAGAACAGCGGCTCTCAGCGAGCGAGTCAGCCTCAGGCGCAAGGGAGAGCTCCCTCTGATCAACCTGTCGCCCCAGGTCAAGTGTGTGGCGTTTGAGTTGAGTGGACATGCAAATCAAGGTGCTGCCTCGGGTGCGTGTTTGAAGTTGACGACTCATAAGTCAGCCTCTTGTCCGATAAAAATATAATTTAGCCCTCTTGCTTTTGCTCTTTCTCTCCCTCTGCTACTCTCTCTCTTCCCCATGCCAAAGCTTCTCTCCCTGCCTTCTTCTCTCTACACTAATCCACTTCTCTCTACACGACTACTACCCCCTCTCTCTGCACCACTCCCCGTCTCTCTGCACCACTCCCCCTCTCTCTGCACCACTTCCCCTCTCTCTATACCACTCCCCCTCTCCCTGCACCACTCCCCCTCTCTCTGCACCACTCCCCTTCTCCCTGCACCACTCCCCTTCTCCCTGCACCACTCCCCTTCTCTCTGCACCACTCCCCTTCTCCCTGCACCACTCCCCTTCTCCCTGCACCACTCCCCTTCTCTCTGCACCACTCCCCTTCTCTCTGCACCACTCCCCTTCTCTCTGCACCACTCCCCTTCTCTCTGCACCACTCCCCTTCTCTCTGCACCACTCCCCTTCTCTCTGCACCACTCCCCTTCTCTCTGCACCACTCCCCTTCTCTCTGCACCTCGTTCCTCAGGTGGTGGTGAACTGTGTAACGGGCGGGGGCAGCAACGGATGCTATGGAGGCGACCCCACCGCTGTCTATGCTTGGGTGCGCTCCCATTCTCTCAAATTGGTCCTGTCTATACTTTCTCTCCAATCACCCGTTCCTCCATTTTCTCTTTTATTACTTGTTCCGCCCTTTCCTCGTCTGCTTTACTCTCTCTCTCTCTAGCATTTTCTGTCCACTTCTGTTCTTTTCCGTCCTCCAGGGGCCGCATCTCGCTTTCCATTTGGCAAATCATCTCTTTAATTGTCTGCGCATGTATCCGTGCATGTCTGTGCGCGTGTGCTCACATGGCTGCAGGCATTGGAGAATGGAATCCCGGACGAGAGCTGTGCCAATTACGAGGTGAGGTCTGTCATTATAACGAGGTGAAACTGATTTTCCAGCATTCGGTGTGAGTAAACTGGCCGCAACATGGACATGCGCATCTTTTTCCCAAGGCCCTCCCACCTTTGGCCATTACCGGGTGGCCTACTCCATACCATCCCGTCTTGTCTCGCCTAATCTCATCGCCCTCCCATACCATCCCACCCCCTCCCATGGCGTCCGCCCATGTGGCACCACCAGGCGCGCAACAAGGAGTGCTCGCCCATTGCCACCTGCTTCGACTGCTCCCCCGAGGGCACATGCCACGCCCTCAAGGTACGGGGGAGGGCACATGCCACGCCCTCAAGGTACGGGGGAGGGCACATGCCACGCCCTCAAGGTACGGGGGAGGGCACATGCCACGCCCTCAAGGTACGGGGGAGGGCACATGCCACGCCCTTAAGGTGAGGCGTTGCTCTCTAGCACGTTCTCCGTCGTTCTGTGCCGCACCACTCGCCGCACCACTCGCTTTCTTCCCTTCTTTCAGCCACCCATCCCTCCTGTAAAGCTCACAAAGGCACCCATGCGTGCCCTATGAATGCCCCACGCACCCCCTTTGTAATCACACCATGCAGAAATATCCGCGGGTGTATGTAGAGGAGCACGGGACGGTGCAGGGCGAAGCAGATATGATGGCCGAGGTGAGGGGGGATGGTTGAGGTGAGGGGGGATGGTTGAGGTGAGGGGGGATGGTTGAGGTGAGGGGGGATGGTTGAGGTGAGGGGGGATGGTTGAGGTGAGGGGGGATGGTACGCGAGTGTCTAGTTGAGTCATTATGGCATGATGCCACATGTGAGCTGGTAGGGGCGAGAGAACGGTAGCGGTGAGAGGATGATAGACACGAGAGGATGGCAGAGGATGGTAGCAGTGAGAGGATGGTAGACACGAGAGTATGGCAGAGGATGGTAGCAGTGAGAGGATGGTAGACACGAGAGTATGGCAGAGGATGGTAGCAGTGAGAGGATGGTAGACACGAGAGTATGGCAGAGGATGGTCCGATTTTGTGGCGCCTTAAAAATCGACTGAGAGGATGGCTTCTGAGAGGATGGCTTCTGAGAGGATGGCTCCTGAGAGGATGGCTCCTGAGAGGATGGCTCCTGAGAGGATGGCTCCTGAGAGGATGGCTCCTGAGAGGATGGCTCCTGAGAGGATGGCTCCTGAGAGGATGGCTCCTGAGAGGATGGCTCCTGAGAGGATGGCTCCTGAGAGGATGGCTCCTGAGAGGATGGCTCCTGAGAGGATGGCTCCTGAGAGGATGGCTCCTGAGAGGATGGCTCCTGAGAGGATGGCTCCTGAGAGGATGGCTCCTGAGAGGATGGCTTCTGATTAAAGCCACTCCTTGTATCAGCTGCATGGCATGATAGGGATACTCACTTCCTCACCCAATCTCCTTCTCTCCCTGCACTCTCCCCCCGTCCTCTGCCCGCCTATGCCATGCCCCTCTCTCCTCGTCGTGCGCTCTCTATCAGATTGCTGCCCGCGGCCCCATAGCGTGCGGCATTGCAGTGAACGACGACTTCTATAAGAACTACAAGTGAGTGGGGAAGAAGTACAAGTGAGTGGGGAAGAAGTACAAGTGAGTGGGGAAGAAGAGGCAAGCGAGAGCAGGGGGTGGATGGTAGTGACCGCCGCATAATTCGGCGCATAGCAGATCTCCTTGCTGTGATTGAAGACGTCTGGAGGAACTACAAGTGAGTGGGGGGGGGTTGGGAGGGGAGAGGAGAAGAGGCAAGTGGGAGCAGGGAGGCGAGGGAGAGATTGCTGCATAACGCGGCCCCATATCTTGTGACCTTGCTGTGAACAACGACTTCTGGAGGAAGTACAAGTGAGTGGGGGAGGGAGGGGCAAGGGAGAGCAGAGGGCAAGGGAAAGCAGCGATAGAAATGATGCCAATCTCTTATTTTGAGGCGCCTTAAGGGAGGAACCTGCACTCTCAACACCCCCCCGACCCCTCGCCCCCTCCCTCAAAGAGCAACCTGCGCTCCCTTCCACCCCACCCCCTACTATCTCCCCCGTCCTGTGCTACCAACCACCCCCAGCGGCGACATCTACAAAGCACCACCAGAGTCCTTGATGTGGACCATGTAGTCACTGGGCTGCGCTGAATCCCCTGAGAGTGGATCATCACCCCTTTCTTTGTATCATCACCCCCTCCCCTCTTACCACCTCCCAGGGGCGGCATTTACAATGACACCGCGGACTTCCTTGACGTGGACTACGCGGTCAGTTTTCGGGGATGGGTTGGATTGAAACCACAGGCGCATCAACCCTTTTTTCATATGGTCTTTCCCTCCCCTCCTATAATCCCCAGGGGCGGCATCTACAAAGACACGACCGGCTTCCTGGGCGTGGACCATGTGATCACCGTGGGGTTACTTCATCACATCAAAACCCCTTCTCTACCCCCCTACCACCCCACAGGGGTGGTATCTACAACGACACCACCGGCTTCCTGGACGTGGACCACGTGATCACCGTGGGGGGGTGGGGCACGTCGCCCGAGGGTGTCAAGTACTGGATTGCCCGCAACTCATGGGGCACGTACTGGTGAGCGTGGGGAAGTGGGGGTCACTGGTACTGCCATGTTGGTGCTCAGATCATGTAGTGAGCACCACAGATTGGGCCATGGGTTTCAAGAAGTGGCTTGCGTGGAACGCCTGGGGCACCTTCTGGTGCACGTGGGGGTGGGGCCACGGAACTAGAGTGGTACTGGTGATGGTTCTGTCAAGTACCAGTGCGCAACTCATGGGGCACCTACTGGTGATAGGAATGGGGGGGGGGGGGGGGACTAAAAGCATGGCGAGAGTGGGGGGAGGGGGGGGGTATAGTCTTTGTGGGGGTGCATATTCTTGTTTGGTTGTGGGGGTCGGCATTCGTGTCGGGTCGAGGGGGTGTAAGATACTACAGTGGCATATAATGATAACTGGAGGGTGTACTGTTTTTGCTGCATGTTATCTACTACTGGCAGTAGTCGTAGTGTAGGGGCATGTCATGTTTATGTTTATGTGCTGCTATTGTTCGCAACTCGCTAACGGGCAGTACCCTACGCAATGTGTGTCTGCAGGGGTGAGAATGGTTGGTTCCGCATTGTGCGGGGAACCAACAACCTTGCGATTGAGAGTGGATGCGACTGGGCAGTTCCCAAGGTCGTGTGGGAGTAAAAATGGCTTCAAGGGCTTGTTAGGAGATCATATGGGCATGCAAGCTTGAATATAAGGAGTCACGATGCTAGAATATATTAGCGATAACTCTCTGTTGGTATTCATATCACGATAGCCACATACTGCACTTGAACTGCTTGTACGACGAGGATAGCTACCAGAACGAAGGTCGCTCCCCGCTATTGGAGTCTCTGTGCATGACCAATGTGAAGTCAAGACTGCTACTGTAACGAGAGAATGCATTGAGGGTGTTGAACAGTCAGTCAAGTTTTCTTGCGCGAACCTGTTGTTCTTGTCGTAGCCAACAGCCCCCGTCGTGAATAGTAAACAGGCGGAAGAAGAAGCAGAACCAGAACCTAACCAACTCTCCTCCACTCCGCACCAAGCGGAACGGGGGACACTTGACATGACAACCAGACCGCGTTGCTTGCCGCGAGCGTCTCTTGCGGTCGTGGAGTTTCCGCGAGCCGGAAAATTGCGCAAGCAATTTTCCGGACGCGATGCATCGCGTCCGGCTCGACGATCGTTTCGCGATCCTCGCACTGTATAAAGCAGGTTACCACATTACCACAGTACCCGCGAAAGGGGCAGGTGCCAAGATTGTCTCACAATCACTTTCACGACAATCGCGCCAAATTGGTCTTACATCAGACGCCGGATTGATTTGCGCGTCAAAGTACCAGATCGCCCACCCCAAACAGTCACGAAATATTCAAAGCTTCGTGAATTCGCGAAACGAAACCAAAACGCGTGAAAATCGATGGTTGGGATGTTTTACCGAAGTGATAGGCTGGTTTCCGTGTTTTGGCGAATTTTGTTGGCGAGACAAGCATTTGCAGGGCAGCAAAATGATATCGAGGATCAGAAACTGCAAATCTGGTACATGCTTTTAGCATGTACAAAATCGAATCCGAATATAAGTTTTTAATGTTGAAATCGATTTCATAAAAAATGTTGAAATCGGAAGAAAGCACGCGATCTTGCAAAACGGACGCAACGTACCGCGTCCTCAGTTTCCCCTTCCGCCAGCCCGCTTCCCCCGCGCGCGCTCGCGTCCCCGCTTCACCCAGAATACCTGTTCCTCCTCCCTGTACTGCCGTGTCATTTGCCCATCAAGATTTGAGATGACACTGTAATGTCAGGCTGATGACGTGGAACGAAACCAACGGTTGGGAGGGGACGGGACTCGCTGTAACAAAACTCTGCTGGCGCCGATCACAACCGAACGTAAACAGATCAAACCAGAGAGAAAATACTCTAACCAGAAGAAACACCTTGTACACGTAGTGTTTTACAAAACAGTGATTCCCTCAATTTCAGATCCAACACTGTACAGGTTTTTAGAGCGCTTTGCAGACCAGTTCAGGTTTTGAGACTCAACAATGGCTCCAACCGAGGCAGGCCCGTGGACAGCAGAAAGAGCAGTCACCGTCAGGCAGTCCTACTGTACTTCATAAGGGCGACGTTCCTTCAGACGACAATCTGTTTCTCGACCACTTTAAGGGGTGAGTCATTATTGACCTAGGAACGCGTTCTAGACGAGTAGGAGCGGCCTGACTAGCCGATGCCGCAGCCCTTATGAAGCAGGCAGAGCCGAATCTGCCTAAACCGCCAGAGAGCATGGCGACTTTCGAAGCGGCGTGGAGACCCCAGGATCCCGGCTCGTCCGCCGGATCGCCTCATTTCTCGTTTCAAGACGCGGGATTCGAGCCGCGTTACCAGACATCAGGGAATAGTTTTATAGAAGACACCTTCGTTCCGCTTCTCCCGGACGACGACGAGGCTGACGAGTTTCGCGACGGAGTTAAGAGTATCCGCAGTTCCCGCGGGGACTCTAAGCCGCAGCTCGCGAGCCGGTCCTCCGGAGCAAGAGAACGTCGCGACCTGTACTCCTCCCCTCCTCGCAGCAAATCCCCGTCCAGTCTTAACCCCGTTAGTAACCGCTCCGGTACTAGCCGTAACCTCGCCAAGACTTTTTCCTTACGCATTCCCGAGAACGTGGAAGACTCGTCGTCTCCTCAGAACCGTCGATCGCTCTCCCCTCGGCAATCCCGTTCCCACTCTCACTCACATACCCACGCGTCGCATAGCAGTCTACTATCTGGCATGCTCAGTCCCCGCCGGGGGGGGAGAGCCCCGCGCGTCATGCGCAAGGGCCTGTCGGTGTCGTCGGTGGTTCTGGAGCACGTCGCTAGCGAGGCAGCTAGTATGGAGGACGAGGCGGCGAACGACAGCTCTGGGTGGGACGAGGACGGGGGCGCAGCCGCGCGACGCGTCCACGCGAAAGCGCTCGCCGCCATCGCGACGCCGCGCGGACGCGGACCGAAGGCGAACGACTGGAGCAACGCGCGTAAGGCGGCGCACGAGTGGGGTAGCCTCGCCAGTGCCCTCTCTAGTAGCTCGGGGTCCCGCACGGGAGCTATGTCCGCCGCGGCAGCAGCGGCGGTGCAGGTGTCCCCAGAGCGGGGTGGTAACAGCCGGTGGCATTCGCGAACGCGAAGCTCGTCGCAGGTTTCGGACGCCGAGGGCAGCTCGTCCCCGTGGGGAGGACCGGGCCGAACGGCCGGTGGAGGAGCGGAGGGGGGAACTGCGGGCGGAGATAACGGCTTTGCGGGGGCCAGGCGGGGGAGAGTGAGCGGAGGAGGCGGAGGGACGGGGTCTTCCGCGGGTAAGCCGGCAGGGGCCGAGGGCCATCGGCAGCAGAAAGAGGTGCTCTCCGCAGGCGCATCCGACGCACGTGCAGCGCCGGCGGCGGAGAGGCCCCCCGTGCCCGAGGTCTTGCAGGACCTGTCCGTGTTTTACGGCGCCTCGAGGGAGGGCGTCGCGAGTAGCGGCAGCGTGATATTTAATCCTTCTGGCGTCGGTGCGAGCGACTTGATCTCGGATATTGCTCCGTTGTTGGACCCCCCCTTAGCTCCTGCTGCTGCTGCTGTGGCGGAAGCTGCGATGACGTCACCACGAGGTGTCCATGCTTCCCCGAGAGCCACGTGGGCCAATCAGAAGCCGGCAACGGCGGGGAGAGTGGCGGGTGGCGGGGGGAGGCCTCACGTGGCAGCAGGCGCGGCAGCCGCGTCGGGAGTAGGCGCATCTGGGGCAGGCGCATCCAGCGCAGGTGCATCCGGCGCAGTTCCGAGCGCCATTTCGCCCATGGCGGTAGCCGCCATCCGCGGCGGCGGACTGGCCGCCATGTCGCCTCGCCTACTCAAGTTTCTGGTGGACGACAAGGGGGGCGCGGAGCGGGGCGCGGAGAGAGCGGGGGAGGGGAAGCGGGGCGGAGACAGGCGCGTGCGGCAGAGCGGAAGCGGGGATGAGACCGTCGAGGGGAAGGGGGCAGGGGGCGGCGACGGGGTGCGGGTTTCGTTGCGCGCGCGCAGTGGGCCGTTAACCGCAAGGGGAAGGTCGCGCGCGGTGGCCTCCATGAGTGGTGTGAGTGGTTCGATAAGCGGAACCTTTAGGGTCCCCGCGCCGTTGCACTCCCCCTTGTCCGGCTCGCCCGTGTCGTCTGAAGTGTCCTCCCCGTTAGCCCTTCCCGCGCCGTCCCCGTTAGCGCCGTCCTCGAGTTTCGGTAGAAGCGCCGCCGCCACAGCAGCGGCGGCAGGCGCTGTTAGTTATACTGGTAGGGCTGGTATAGGCACATCGGCTACAATCACATCACCCACCAAGGCCACCTCCCCCCTAGCGCCCAGCGCTGCCGCCGCCGCTGCAGGGCCGTCCACGTCAGCTGCGCCGTCATCCGCTGCTGCTGCCAGCTGGCACTCTTTCCGCCGCCCCGCCGCCCTCGATTTAGGGCAACTCGCGCCGGGCGCCACAGGGGGGGAGGAATTCGAGGGAGAACACGAGTTCCATGATGACGATGCTGACGTCAGCGACGCAGCGGCTGTCGCGAATCGGGCCGATCCGCCAGGTTCGGGGAGAGCGGCGGCGACAGGCTTGGGGGCTGCCTCGGATCCCGGCGGCGTTGGGGTGGAGGCGGTCGAAATGCGCCTCGAGCGGCGGTCAACGGGGAACGCGCAGCACCACGCGGAAACGGCGGCGGGGAGTCAGGAGAACGCGGAGCGGCCGCGCAGCAGCCCCGTGGTTCTAGATTCGCTGCACAGCTTCCAGCGCCGAACCAGCCCTGCAGGGTTGGGCAGCGTAGATAAGTCCGGGTTGGGCTTCGTCAGCGGTGGCGGCGGCGGCGGCGGCGGGGGAGGAGGCGGGGGAGGGGGAGGAGGGGGTGGAGGAGGGGGAGGGGGGGGGGGGAGGAGGGGGACGAGTGGGCGCGGGTAGGGCGCAAAACGCGAGGAGCCCCGCGCGGGCAGCAAGGGGCGGGGGTATGAGTCTTGCGGCTGTCGAGGACGCTTATGGCGCGGACACGCGGGGGCTAGCGCCGTCGCTGTCGTTTTCCGGGGATGACCTGGCGATCAGCCCCATTGAAAGGCGCCCCTCTGCCAACGAGTATATTGACTTCCCCTCCGCCGCATCCCCCTCCGACCATACCCTTGACCTTAACCTCCTGCCCACACAGCAGCAGCAGCAGCAGGAGCAGCAGCAGCAGCAGCATAGGCCGCACAGTACCAAGCCTGGCAGGCACCCAGGCGGGCACGCCGCTATGGGCATTGGGGGCGCCGGGTCAGCTTCGTTCGGCCGCGCGGGCAAGCCTGGGAGCAGCGGAAACAGCCCCGTAGGCTCGGCAACGGTGGCAGGTCCGGGGACAGGTTCGGGAGGTTTCGGGGCAGGCGGCACAGGCACAGGCACAGGCACAGGCACAGGCACGGGTATGCCAAAGAGTGCAACGCTGGGCATGGGCATTGGCGCGGGGGCGGGCGCGGGCGCGGGCGCGGGCGTGTTTCATGTTGACACGGTGAAAATGCTTGCGGCTTCTGACTCCAACTCCGACTCCGATGACGACGATGCTATCCTTCTTCTCCCTGAGTCCGGCCCCAGCCCCGACTCTGCTGGACCCAGCTCGGCGCGCAGCAAACCCAAAGCTGCGCCAGCATTAGCGCCAGCGCCAGCGCCCGCGTCCGCGCAAGGGGGGAAGGCGGCGTTTAATGAGCGCGTGCGCGGGTTTGCGTCCCCCAGGCGCGTGGAGCGGCCGCCCGACCCCATGGACCGCCTCCGCGGGTTCGTCTCCCCGCGCGCGCGCACTCGGGAGGGGCAGAGCGGGGGAAGCGCATGGGGCGCGGATGCTGGTCGTGCCCCTGGTGGTTCTGGTGGCGGTGGGGTTGGGGTTGGGGGTGGGGGTGGGGGTGCTAGGAGTGGGGCAGCAGGGGCGGAGGAGAGTCAGCAGGGTGGCTCGATTTGGCAGCAGTATCAGCGGCCGCACACACAGCAGCAGCAGCAGCAGCAGCAGCAGCTGCAGCAGCAACAACAGCAGCAGCAGCAGCAGCAGCAGACAGAGAAGGAGAGCAAAGCCAATCGCAGGCGGCCCAATCTGCGGCCGTTACAACTAGACGCGCTGGTAACCACCCCCAGAGGCCGCAGCCGCACCCACCTTCCCGTGGGGGGGCCTCTCTCCGCTCGCGCTGCTGGCCCAGGGGGGAGCAGCGGAGCCGGAGCCAGCAGCTTCCGCCTGAGGGGCGCGGGGGGGAGCAGAGGGGGAGGGGCGGGGTGGGATGGGGATGCGCCCTTGGCGGCCCCCGCAGGGGTGGGGGAGGGGCCGGGGGGGCGCGGACATATAGCAATGGCAATGCCCCCCCTTTGGCATAGAAGCCCCAGAGCGGGGGGGAGTGGCTTGAACCTAGGTGCTATCACCCCTACTGCTGCATCTGCTGCTGCGGCTGCAGGGGGGAGGGGTGGCCCGTCCGCTGGTGCTGCTGCTGCGGGATTGGGGGAGAGGGCGGGGGGCGCGGGGATGGGGGACAGCACCAGCAGCCCCAAGTACTTTGCTGTGCTCAAGAGCCCCCGCGCCCCTGCGGAAACCCCCAAGCGCTCCAACAAGAGCCCCAAGACGCCGCGGGGGGAGGTGCTATCTGGGAAAGGCGGGGGCGAGGGGGGAATGAGCAGCAGCGCCGCTGCTGGGTGGGGAGGAGGGGCGCAAGGCGGAGGGGGAGGGGGGGGGGACGGCAGCAGGAGGCGGGGGCTGGCGTCGTGGGGAGGGGGAGGGGCGCTGGCAGCAGCAGTGGACACCTTTAGCAGGAGCCTCAGCGCCCATCCTGTTAGCCCTAGAGGAGTGGGGGCCGGAGGGGGGGCAGGCGCAGGGGGAGGGGGAGGGGCAGGGGGAGGGGGAGGGGCAGGGGGAGGGGGAGGGGCAGGGGGGGGAGGCGGGATGACAGCGGATGCCGCAGCAGCATTTGACGCGCACGCTAAGAGAGCCATGGCGTTAAACGTCCATCCGCCCCCGAGCCCGTCGTTCCACGCGCTTCCCAGCCCTTCGTTTAGACCGGCACCTTCCCCCACCGCTGCTGCTGCTGGGGCTGCTGCTGGTGGGGGGGGCGGCGGGGGCATCAGCAGCAGCATGCGCGGGGGGGGAAGCAGCAGCGGCGCTGGGGGGGCTGATATGGGCGCAGGAGGGGGGGCAGCAACGAGAGGCATGGGCATGGGCATGGGGATGGGCATGGGGATGGGTATGGGGATGGGGGCAGGGATAGGGATGGGCGTGTTTCAGCAGGGGTATTCTGACGTAACGCGGCGGTATGAGATGGGGCGGAAAGTGGGGCAGGGGCGCAAGGGCGTGACGGTGTACCAGTGTGTGGATAGGCGCTCTGGGCGGCAGTATGCGTGTAAGACTATAGACAAGGTGACTCTAACGGGGGGCAGGAAGGAGGAAGCGGTGAGGACGGAAGTGGCTATAATGAGGAAGCTGCAGGGCCATCCGCACATAGTGGAGATTAAAGACACGGCTGAAGACGCCAAGGTGAGGGGGGTATTTAGCGGCAGGGCCATCTGCACATAGTAGAGATTAAAGACACCGCGGAGGATGTTAAGGTGAGACTGGTAGTTAATTGGCGAGGCTAATGTAGTGCTGCTGCTTACGAGGAAGCTGCAGGGCCAGCCGCGCATAGTGGAGATTAAAAACACCGCCGGGGATGCTAAGGTGAGCCCTGTATGAAAATGGCAATGCCAATGTTGACCCTTGTGCAGGATAGGCGGATGCAGCCCATCCAATCTGCTTCCCCTTCCCCCTCCTCCCCTGCTTTTCCCAGTCCGTGCACATCATGATGGAGATGTGCTCCAGCAGTGATTTATTGGACCACATCGACACGCAGCTCTGCATCTTGGAGAAGGAGGCTGCCACCATGGTGCGCGGTTCACGGATGCAACCCCTCCATTCCTACCCTGTGGCTCCCTGCTTTCTCCCCCCCTTGGTCACCAGTTCGTGCACATCGTCATGGAGATGTGCTCCGGCGGCGACCTGCTGGACCACATCAACACACAGCTGTGCATCTCGGAGCGCGAGGCCGCCACCATCGTGCGCGTGCTCGTGCAGACCATCCAGTTCTGCCACGTCAGCGGCATCATGCACCGTGATCTTAAACCCGAAAACGTGCTGCTCGGCTCGCCAGGCCAGTGGTGGGACCTCCGGGTGGCGGACTTTGGCTTCTCTGTGCCGCTCAGAGCAGGTGAGACGAGCAGGCCGTATGGGGAGTGTGGCTTGTTTTTTAAACCCGAAAACGAGTGCTGCTGGGCTCGCCGGGCCAGTGGTGGGACCTCCGGGTGGCTGACTTTGGCTTCTCTGTGCCGCTCAGAGCAGGTGAGGCGAGCTTGGGGTCAGGTGGGTTCGGCACTTGAGTGGGTGGGGGGTTGATGTTACTGTGTTGTGAAACGCCCTATAACGCCCTACAACCAAGAGCAGGTGAGCAGCTGCACTCTAGACGTGTGTTTGAGCCACGTCAACTGAAGGTGTCTTGAAGCCTTTCAGCGCAGGTTGCAGAATTTTGGAGCCTGGCGGACATCCCCTACCCACTCTCTTCACCCCTCTCTCCCTCTGCCCACACACCCAGGCCGGCGCATGACAGGCTACGGTGGGTCCCGTTTCTACATGGCTCCAGTCCAGAGGTGCTGGATGGCCCCCTTTCTGCATGGCTCCAGAGGTGCTGGACGGGCTGCACAGCCACAAAGCCGCCATGTGGATCCTGGGGGTCATTGCCTTGTTTCACCCTTGTCTTTCCTTCCCCTCAACCCCTTGCCGCCCCCTCAAGGGGTATGACCCCTCTACCCCTTGCCGCCTCACACCCACAGGTCAGCGCACCAAGGGCTACGCCGGCTCACCCTTCAACATGGCCCCTGAAGTCTTAGGCGGGCTGTACGGCCACGAGGCCGGCATGTGGAGCCTGGGAGTCATTCGCGCTCTCTTGCTCGCGCAGGTGTATTTTGAGTCAACTCAAGGTCACCTTCCACACCGCTCCCTCGCTCCCTCTGTCCCTTCCCACGCCCACAGGCCAGCGCATGAAGGGTTACGCGGGGTCCCCCTTCTACATGGCGCCCGAGGTCCTGGACGGTTTATACGGCCACGAGGCTGACATCTGGAGCCTGGGGGTCATCCTCTACACGCTGCTTTCCCAGAAGCTTCCCTTCTGGGATGACACGGACGCGGGCGTGTACGACCTGATTCGCCGGTGCGAGGTGGACACGAGCTCGGGCATGTGGCCGCTGGTGTCGCCGGCTGCTAAAGACCTCGTGCACCGCATGCTGGCGTTTGACCCCAACCACCGACTCCCGCTGCATTTGATCCTAGGTATGTGTGGCTGTGGTACGAGCATACATCTACGGCATGACTTTTGAGTCGACTCAAAAGTCACTCCCGCTGCATTTGATCCTAGGTATGTGTGGCTCTGGTACGAGCATCCATCCTTAGTTGGGCTCTTACGCCCAGCCAGCCGCGTAAACGTAACATTACGCGTGACGATACGTTTACGTACGCGTAATTGCGCGTACGTATGTCCGGCCAGGGGAAAAAATTTCGCCGGAAAAGAATCCCGAAATCTTCAAATTGCGGGCTAATGTCTACTGCTCAAGTAGAAAAAAAAACCAGCACGTCGAAATCGGTAGTGATATCAGCCTACATTATGCCCGCGATTTGCGAAAGCTATGTGGAGGAGTGGCACTGGGTTTAGCGACTTCTAAGGAGGTAGACGGATAAGTCGTTCCAGACTTGCGGAAGGGAGGTGGCGAGACAAATTAGGTATGACGAGGAGATGGGAGATGGGGAGGAAGGGGGTTGGTTGGGCGCGTTACTTTTGTGGGGAAGTGGGTGGGTGTTTCGTGCGTTGACTGGCAAAAGTTTGACGACGGCCAAGTCAACGTCGCCACCTCGCCACCCAGTTTCGTTAGTCCCTCGGTGTGAAATTACGAAACAGGGATGAATGTCGCAAATTGGGGATTGGCCAATCGTTGGCCATCGAATTTCTGCACCTTCGTCGCAGCAGCAATCCACGTGTTTTCGTGTGGATCTTTGACCAGGTGGGTTGCGATGGAACTTCTCAAATTGCGGCTTGTCGAATTCAGCGCACCTCTTGAATTTTAGTTCGCTACTTAAAACGGCAGAAACTTGGCCAATCTTCAGCGCAATTTTTTTACGTCTAGCTCTCCATGAACATACTCTTTTTAGCTTCCTTCTCTACCATTTTGCTATTGGAGCAGAGCGCGGAGCACGCTATTTGGCGTTATTTTGAGGCTCCCGAAGGCGGGAAGTCAGATGCTAAGAATCCTAAGACTTTCGTTTTTTTCCGCGGGAAGTGACCGCTCAATGTGAGCCGTGCGCAGTCCCATCTTCTTGGATCAGATGGCGGAATTGCGGCATGCAGGAAAATAACCCCCGAGGCGAAAACTCCTGATCGCAATTACGCCGCGACCAAAATGCGGGAGAACGAGTTGCGTAGGGGAGCTACGCAACGCACCATGCGCACGTTTGGCGGGGGGGATGACAATGGCAATGGTGGTGGGCAAGGAGACTCGGGTGCAGGCTCCAACACAGGGGCGCGCAAGCGTCAAACAACGCAACGAACCCTCACCGACAATGGCCCTACGGCATGACTTTTGAGTCGACTCAAAAGTCACTCCCGCTGCATTTGATCCTAGGTATGTGTGGCTGTGGTACGAGCATGCATCTACGGCATGACTTTTGAGTCGACTCAAAAGTCACTCCCGCTGCATTTGATCCTCGGTATGTGTGGCTGTGGTACGAGCATGCATCTACGGCATGACTTTTGAGTCGACTCAAAAGTCACTCCTGCTGCATTTGATCCTAGGTATGTGTGGCTGTGGTACTAGCATGCATCTACGGCATTGCCCTCCGATGTCCAGGGCAGCCAAGGAACTTACCTAGTCCACTATATGTGATTTTTTAGTGGACTCAAAAGTCACCTGAGGAACTTACCTAGTCCCTGCTTTTGCATGTGCACCGCTTGCTGGCCCGAACAGCCCCAACGACTGGCTGCCGCTGCACCTGATTCTAGGTATGGCATGGATGGCTACTGTCGACGCCTGTGGCCATGGCATGGGGCATGTGTGACGTGCGCATGTCTGAGTCTGCTCCGTCTTCCTTCCTTCCTTTTATCTCATTCAATAACACCCCGAACCAGCCCCCCACTTCCCCCGCTCCTCCCCCCCCCCCTCCCCTGCCGCCCGTTTCCTTTCCCATTCCCTACATGCCATTACCCCTTTCCTTCCCGCCCATCCCTGGGTGGTAACGGTCAACATCACCCGAGTACCCACCATCCTCTCCTCCTCTCCTCCTCTCCTCCTCTCCTCCTCTCCTCCTCTCCTCCTCTCCTCCTCTCCTCCTCTCCTCCTCTCCTCCTCTCCTCCTCTCCTCTCCTCCTCTCCTCCTCTCCTCCTCTCCTCCTCTCCTCCTCTCCTCCTCTCCTCCTCTCCTCCTCTCCTCCTCTCCTCTCCTCCTCTCCTCATATCCTCCTCTCCTCCTCTCCTTCTCTCCTCTCCTCCTCTCCTCCTCTCCTCCTCTCCTCCTCTCCTCCTCTCCTCCTCTCCTCCTCTCCTTCTCTCCTCTCCTCCTCTCCTCCTCTCCTCTCATCCGTCAGATCCTCTGTACCTTCTTCTGTTACCCTTTCCTCCCCCCCACCACCCCCCTACACCGTTACAGACCATCCTTGGGTGGTAACCAACACAACGGTCGACATCCCCCGGGTGCCGTCCAGCACGTCTGTGTCCTCCGAGGCGTCCTCCCTCGAGCCGCGCTCTTCGTCGGGCCGGCGGAAGAAGGACATTGCGCGCTCCGCCGGCACCATCTTCTCGTCCCGAGCGCAGCCCCACTCCATGCGCGCTGCAGCTGCTGCTGCCGCTGCTGCGGCGGCTGCTACGGGTGGTGGTCGGGGGGATGATGAGGATGATGAGGAGGGTGATGGCAAGGGTGAGAGAGGAGGGAAGGGTGGAAAGGACTAGGGGGGGCAGCCTGCACCATCTTCTTGTCGCGTGCCCAACCCCACCCCACGCTGCTGCGGCTGCTGCTGCGGTGGCAGTGGCTGCAGCAGCTGCTAAGGGTGATGAAGAGGAGGAAGACGGGAATGGGAAGGGAGGAGGGAAGAGCGGAGGGGATTAGAAGGGTGTGGGGTTCGGACGAAGGGCATTGCTTGCTCTTCCAGCACCATCTTGTCGCGCATGCAGCCCCATTCAATGCGCGCTGCTGCGGCGGCGGCGGTTGCGGCTGCTGCTGCTTCTGCGGGTGGGGGTTGAGCGGGTGGTGAGGATGAGGGGGGTGTTGGCAAGGGTGAGAGAGGAGGCGTGCTGCTGTTGCTGCTGTTGCCGCAGCGGCAACTGTATAATGTAGATCAGGCTGTCCCGACCAAGGAACGTTATGACGAGGTGCAGTGCGGTAACTGACAGTGTTCTAACAGTACCGTATTGATTCTTATGCCTCGATGCAGTGACGTAAAAATGGGGATGTCTGGTCGGCCGACCTTCCATACTGGGGTTACTTCGTGAGTTCCTCTGTGACCATTTGATGGGTCCTAGGGAGGATCTTTTCATTCAGCCAAGGGATATATGTTCTTTCAAACAGTAGGGCTTCTTGTTGCTGGATTCGTTTTGCTAATTTGATTCACTTCGGGCGATGGTACACAATGGCCATGACGTAATACAATGCAGCTTGTGCTTTATTTGTATGGTTTCTTGTACATTTTGTGGCTCAAGGGCGCAGCACTAAAGGTTTTCCCCACACCTTGCTTCAGCGGAGCAGCAGCTCCACAAACCCGATGTGCGATACGATATTTTCGCACTTTCTGGTTACCAGCTTTTCCGCAACTACCCTTGCCACTTACAGAAACGCCCTCCCGCCACCAACATTCTTCCTTGCAACAGCTAGCACTATCGCGCTGAGTTTCTCGCTGACTCGTGTTCAAGCCAGACATCACAGTGCTTGCCGCTTGGCGCAATGCCTTTAGCTGGGGAACGGGGTGCGGGGAAGGGGGCTAAGCGGAGGGAGAGATTTGATCGCGTGGGGTGGTCTGCGGCAATGGCGGAATCTTCCCACTTCCCCCAGTCTTCCTCCGCCACTCCCGCCACTGCCTCCGCCTTTTCCGCACTCCCCCGTCAGGTCTTTCCCGCGCATTCCGCGAACACCTCGCGCTCTCCGGCCATCGCTTCAGCCACAGAATTCCCCGCAATTTCCCACGAAGCTTCGCAGCCAGTTGCTGAGCCTGCTCGCTCCTCCGGGGTAGATACCGGCAGCCCCGCTGCCTCGAGACGGGCCAAGAAATTCTCTTCGTTATTGTCACACCCCGGTATTAGTAGCGACATGCGCGCGTGCTCCTCAGGGGGAGCGAGTCTCGCATCGTCAGAGCCTGCTTTCGCGCCGCCAGGTGCGGGTATCGTAGCGGAACGCAGGGAAGCGGTGACCGGTGAGCTTCTGAGAAGGTTCGCGTGGGCGGACAGGGAGGTAGTGGGAGGGGTGATGGCGGCGGTGGGGTGGGAGAGAGCCGCCGCAGAAGCAGTTTTATTGGATATGGGGGGGGAGGGAGCGGCGGGGGTTATGGGGGCAGCGGGAGCGATGGGGGCTGTAAGGGAAGATGCGGATATGACGCGGGGAGGGGTGGAGGAGGAGGGAGGAGGGAAGCAGAGGGGCGCGAGGGCCGAGAGTCCATCTGGTGTGCGATTCGGAGGTGGTTGTGTTGGGCATGCTGCCGCGTCGGTGGAAGAGACGGAGAGAGGGGAGGGGAATTGTGGCGGAAAAGGGGCGTTTGATGGCCATGATGACGTGGAGGGTTGCTGTGATGACGTGGATGTGTTCAGGAGATACCGAGCAGAGGCTTTAGCAGCATCCAGGTGAGAGAGAGGGTGTAGCAGCAGAGAGAGGAAGAAGTGGTGGGAGAGCAAGACAGACAGGGAGACGGAATGCAGGGGATGATGTTTTCGCAGGAAATGCTTACTACATCCTCTTTCCTTCTCCTCTCCGCCGCTTCTCTCTCTGCTACCTGTAACCCTCCTTGCATCCTCCCTTGTTGCCTTGCCAACTCACCCTCCCTTGGATCCCATCCCCCAGTGACTCACATGCGTGCCTGCGCCGTGCTGGTCTGTCCCCCTCGTCGCGCCCCCTTTCAGATTGCATGCGCGGCTCGCGGCACAGGCTGCCCGGGCGTATGACCGCGGCGATCATGCAGCTGCCCGAAAACTTTCTTGCACTTCCCGGGAGGAGAAAGAGCGCGCTGAGAAGCTTCACACAGAAGCTGCTTGGAAGATTCTGGCAGACAGGAACAAGGGCAGGTCTATCTGGGAGCTGGATCTGCATGGGCTGTTACCAGGGGAGGCTGTACTTGCACTCGAGCAGAGGCTGAAACAGCTGGAGATGGCTCAAGGGGCTGTGCCTACTGTTAGTGAGAGTGTTGCAGGAAGGGACACGTCAGCAGGGGATCACATGGGGAGAGATGGTGTGGATGGTGTGGTTCTCCCTGCTAAGGTGCTGTCCTCGGCGCGACCAGAGCTCATGGTTATCACAGGTGAGCACCCACGGGACTGATGCTGGGATGGTTGAAAGGCTTACATTTGTTGTTGGTTGCTTGTTTTATTCCCATGTGTTTTATCATATGGGTAGAGGAATTGGATGGCGTGTTCAGGTGTGGGGCGGCACAGCAGTGGAGGGCAGCCAGGTCTACCGATGGCTGTGAAGAAGTTTCTTCATGAAGCAAGGTACCGTTCTAGGATGCACCTGTAGCTGGTAAGCTTCTACCCCGTGACACGAGACACGAGTTCGTGTTGCAGTGTTTATGGTTGAGGGTATAAGTTTTACCCTGCATCAGCCATTGCGCAGGGAGCGTATTGCCCATACCAACGGGCGTCCTGATGTGTGGCAAAGGTTGTGAATTGACTGGCATTCTTTGTCCCCCGAAATTATCATCATCTGACCTTGGCGTAACATACGGCATGTGCCTTTATTCTTGTTCTTTTTCAGGTATTCCTACAGGGATGCCAGGGCTGGTGTGATAGGTGTGAGACCTAGGCTTTTGATGCACAACTGAAGTAATTACGGTTGTAAATGAAGTGCAGGGCTGGTGTATATTTATGTCATGTTTATCTGTGCTGTCAAGTTCTTGCAGCGAGATCCATGTTTGGCCTGCGTCACCTCAGCCAAAATGGATGGTTGCGACTTGCGATCGATTATGAAACCCTTCTGACCACAAGTGTTTGGTTCTCTCCCGAGCCTGTGCAGGTTTGTGGAAGTCTGGTCGTACCTCTTTGGCTTACCATGCCATGTCCGATCGCTGACACGTGCCACCATTGTGGTGGTTCCCGCCCATTCATTCACGCAACCATTTTCAATGGCCTCGATTTGCCAGGTCAGCGACATCGTCGCGCATTCCTCCTGCCCTTGGGATTCGGGATTGCATCATCAGCCGAGCACAGCTCTTGGGATTGTCGAGCTCCCGCCAAATCTTGGCCTACACCAACCAGTCTACCATTGGTTCTCACATGCAGTCCTGAGGAGCCAGAGCTTGCTCTCGGGCATACTTCTGCTGATGGGAAGCCATTTCTGAATGCAACTGCGGCTCCAAGCAATCTCTGTCCCAGAAGGTGAAGTGAGCTAGATTCCGGCAGCGGGAGCCTGACCTGTCCGTTGTTTTCCGGAATTTCGGTCCTTGTCTCTCACCAGTTGTCACAATACGGCACAGGGAGTTTTTTAGTGAGCTTCAGTTTCAATTGTGTGCCAAAGGGAACCGTCGGAACCGCTCTTCGTTTCGTCAGATAATCGTATTTAAGGATGGCAACCGTACGTGTTCCTACTCAAGCAACACCGCAGTACGCTAGACTAAGCAGCGCGTCACGGTCCAGGTCATCCAATCGCAAGACCGCTAGAAACTCAGTTCATCTCCCCAATCACAGCCTCTCTGCGAATGTCGGTCTCCGAACCAGTCTAAATACCGTCAAGCACTCTCTTACATCGAGCCATGTCCATCCCGATGCGTCCTCTGGACGTCACACAACCCGCGCTGTCGCCGCTTCTCCCGCCGTTACCGACAAGCCACCCTCCCTCTTAGACCTCGTGCCAGAGATCGAAATTGAGCAACTCGACATCTCATTCCCAGCATACAGCCCCGAGGATTCAGCCGGAACACTTGACCTAATCGTTGTCGGCGCGGGTCCTGCCGGCCTCTCCGTCGCGCAGCAGGTCGCGTCGCATGGCATGAAAGTATGCTGCGTGGATCCCGCTCCCGCGTCCATGTGGCCGAATAACTACGGCGTGTGGGTCGACGAGTTCGAGGCGCTAGACCTCACGGACTGTCTAGACTACGTTTGGCAGAAAGCGGTGGTGTATTTAGACGACGGCAAGCAGAAGTTCCTGGACCGGCCGTACGGGAGGGTCAGTCGGCGAGCGCTGAAGATGAAGATGGCGTCGCAGTGCATCAAGAACGGGGTCACCTTCCACGCAGCTAAGGTAGGCTCTTTCAAAAACTTCGCCAGTAGCCAATTTGGCATGTATACAGGCATGAGTTTCCTGAGGCGGGTCCTAACTCCTGCCTTTTCGTTTTCAGATAAAATATTCAGCCGAATTGAAATGAAATAGCTGGCGTTTCTTATTTTATTCACGTTGCAGGTTGACAGCGTGGAGCATACAGCAGAAAACTCGGTGGTGCGGTGCAGCGACGGCACGGAGATCAGAGCAGCGCTCGTGCTGGACGCCACGGGCTTCTCGCGACGGCTCGTTCAGTACTCGCAGCCGTACAACCCGGGCTACCAGGCCGCATGGGGCATTGTTGCCGAGGTAGGTGTGTCGGTGACTTGTGGTGAAGAAAGTTCAGAGAAACGTCTACCGTGCAAGAACACACAAGGAAATGAGCTAAACACAAAGGCAATTTTAAAGTATAGAAGGAACATTGCATCTAGACGTGTGTTCAACGCGACTCGGTTGACGACTGGGACAATGAGCAGAATTTGAACCTCAAACTCGCGGAGCGACGGCGGCCTCGCGTCCCAGAAATTGCTTACGGACGACGTTCAACATCCACTGCCCTCGCATGCTCCCCTTGCTCGTTGCTCTCATGTGGACCCCTAACAGTCGCGCTGGAGGTGTTCATGGACTGGCGGGCCTGGCGGGACTGGCGGGAGTCACACAAGGACTGGCGGGAGACATTTAGCGTCCTTGTCCAATGTTCGTTGCCTCCTTGTTCCCCCTGTGCTCATTACCCTCAGGTGGATTCCCATCCATTCGCTTTTGACCAGATGGTGTTCACGGACTGGCGGGGCTCGCACGCCTAGCATCCTTATCCAGTGGTTAATGTCCAATGTTCTCACCTTCTCCCGTTGCCCTTGTTCAGGTGGATTCCCATCCGTTCGCGCTGGACCAGATGGTGTTCATGGACTGGCGGGACTCGCACCTAACCCCGGGCACGCCCCTGCACAAGAGCAACGCCGACCTCCCCACCTTCCTCTACGCCATGCCGCTCTCGCCAACCACCGTCTTTCTAGGTACGCCTCCAGGCAGCTTCCTGCCTATCCGTGCTAGTTACGCGAGATTTCCGTCTCTTTCTGCCTTCCTCACAGCAGTTCGAGTCTCGTGCAAGCTCGGTCTCACGGCTAAGAGTCTGCTCGTCCATCCCTTCGCGTCCCCCGTCTCGTGTTTCTCATTCCAGAGGAGACGTCGCTAGTGGCGCGCCCTGCCGTGCCGTTTGACGAGATCCAGAGGCGGCTAGAGAAGCGGCTGGCGCATCTGGGGATCAAAGTGCGCGCGATCACGGAGCAAGAGTGAGTCACTGGGGGCTGGGCTTGAGGGATGATCATTCTAGCTCTTCCTCTGTGGGGAAAACTGTGGGGGAAACCGTCGAGGAATGCTCATCAGCTAGAGACTCGGATCAACCACACGGACAACCACAAGTACGAAGTGCCACCGTGTGAACTGCGTTTGACAAGTGCTGGTCTGGCTTAAACGAGCAAGGCACATGCGCGTATATAAGGGCCGTACCAGTGAGAATGCACTGGTCTACTTGTTGCGTGGTGGGCTTGCCTTTTCGACCCGCACCCCACATGGCCATAACCTCAACCCCCCCATGTGCGTATGAAATCCCCTACCCCCTCATATGCAGGTACTGCCTGATTCCCATGGGCGGAGTGCTGCCAGACATGCCTCAACGCGTGCTGGGGATAGGCGGCACGGCGGGCATGGTGCACCCTTCCACTGGTGCGTTGCATAGCACTTCATTCTGGACGACAGCTTGACGCGCCTCATTCAAAGCTGAGTGAGAAGTGCAGCCGCTGCTTGTGCTGGCACTGATTGCAGCAGTGCTATGCTATGCAGCAACAGGCCGAGTGGGGAAATCGAATACAGGGTAGCTGAAGCAGGTCATGTGTCCACCAAAGCATGGCCAATGCTGGTGTCAGGACCAAATGTTTCATTCAGCACCTCCGTCATAGAAGCACGTTCGTTGCAGCACGCCATCCAGACTCCCCCACTTTCCTCTTCCTGAATCAATCAGCCATGACTTACCCTCTTCCCCATTGCCCTCCTCCAGGCTACATGGTGGCGCGGACCCTTGCAGCAGCGCCAGTGGTGGCATCGGCAATAGTGAAGCAGCTGGAGAAGGAGGGGAGGCAGCAGGGCGAGAGGATAGGGGGGGACGACATATCAGCGCGTGTGTGGGAGGACGTGTGGCCACTGGGCCGCAAGGAGCAACGGGAGTTCTTCTGCTTCGGCATGGACGTGCTTCTGAGGGTAGGTGCTTCTGAGGGTAGGTGCTTCTGAGGGTAGGTGCTTCTCAGGGTAGGTGCTTCTCAGGGTGGGTGCTCCTCAGAGTGGGTGCTTCTCAGGGTAGGTGCTTCTCAGGGTGGGTGCTTCTCAGGGTAGGTGCTTCTCAGGTGGGTGCTCCTCAGGGTAGATGCTTCTCAGGGTGGGTGCTCCTCAGGGTAGGTGCTTCTCAGGGTAGGTGCTTCTCAGGGTGGGTGCTCCTCAGGGTAGGTGCTTCTCAGGGTGGGTGCTCCTCAGGGTAGGTGCTTCTCAGGGTGGGTGCTCCTCAGGGTAGGTGCTTCTCAGGGTGGGTGCTCCTCAGGGTAGGTGCTTCTCAGGGTAGGTGCTTCTCAGGGTGGGTGCTCCTCAGAGTGGGTGCTCCTCAGGGTAGGTGCTTCTCAGGGTAGGTGCTTCTCAGGGTGGGTGCTTCTCAGGGTGGGTGCTCCTCAGAGTGGGTGCTCCTCAAGGTAGGTGCTTTTCAGGGTGGGTGCTCCTCAGGGTAGGTGCTTCTCAGGGTGGGTGCTCCTCAGAGTGGGTGCTCCTCAGGGTAGGTGCTTCTCAGGGTAGGTGCTCCTCAGAGTGGGTGCTCCTCAGGGTAGGTGCTTCTCAGGGTGGGTGCTCCTCAGGGTAGGTGCTCCTCAGGGTGGGTGCTCCTCAGGGTAGGTGCTTTTCAGGGTAGGTGCTTCTCAGTGTAGGTGCTTCTCAGTGCAGGTTCCTCTCAAGGTAGGCCATCCGTGCTCTCACTCCTCCTTCGAGGTTTAGCAGCCCCCGTCGTTGAACCGTCTTACCAACGACGGTGCTGGCATGTTCACATGTGTTCCTGCTCCTGCCTTTCTCCTTGCAGCTGGACCTTGCAGGCTGCCGCCGGTTCTTTGATGCCTTCTTTGACCTCACGCCCTACCAGTGGCATGGCTTCCTCTCCTCCCGCCTCACCCTGGTCGAGGTACACTCACTCCCTGTCATCCTCCCCCACTTCCCTACTCAGCGTTCCTTTCCCTCCCATCTCACATTGACTCTGTCACTCCTTCTAGCTTCCTTCTCATGTCGCCCCTTTCTGCCTCCCACCCGGTTCCTTCCTTTCTCTACCCCAGCGCCCTCGTTCCCCAGGGCCCCTCCCTTCTTCCCTTGTTTCCCCAACCAATCACACTTCTCTCTCCGACTTGTTTCACTGTTCCCCCCCTCACCTATGCTCCACTTACCAATCACACACCTCTCTTCCCTTCTCCAATCCATGTGATTCTCATCTCTCCCCGCAGCTCATCTCGTTCGGCCTCTCTCTCTTCAAGCACGCATCCAATCCAGCGCGTATTGAGATCATGGCAAAGGGGCTGCCTGGCTTGGGTACACTCATTCAGAACGTGGTCAAAATGCGGGTCTAGGGGGCTACCAGGAGGATACCTCTCTGCTCCAGGCACTACCGGGGGTGGTTTACCAGCTTTCCTTTCACGTTTTGCGAGTTTGCAGTTTCCACATACCAGAAACGCAAGTGCGAGTTTAGTGATAGTGCATACGATTATTGTGTTGTGGATGTAGAACTGCGTTGTACAATCCTTGTGTACTCACCAGTGTAACAGATCTCATGTTGGGTCGCCTGCCAGGCTGACTCAACTAGAGCATGCTTTGGACATGAATGCATGCATGGAGGCATATATTGGCAATCGTACATATGGCTTGCTTTACAAAAATACGGATACGGTATGGTACATTCGAGCTAGATATATTATCGCAGTCGTCTGTAGCAATGTTGGGAGTGTTCTGTCACCTGAAACATGATGGCCGTGTCCCACACCCACCCTCGAGAGTTGCGAGCGGCGAGCGAGTGTCGTCAGCATCAAGCGACACCCTCAAGCTCTACAACAGCCACATGGAGGTACTTCACAATCATCATACAGTCCTTGTCCCAGCAGTCAGTTTCGAGTGCTCGGGCGAATTGCAGTTTTGCTCGGTAGTTAGTGACGGTAGCATAGCTCGGTCTATCCTCTAGAATGGCATCCTTCGTCGCGTCTGGGAGTTGTGAAACGGGTAGGGAGGATGGGGACGATGGAAATCGCAAGACGAGTGGGATTGGCGAGGCGAGTGGGGAGGAGAGTTCGGTAGCACGAGTTGCGGACGCGCCGGGAGGGGAGGGAATAGAGGAGAGAACGGAGGAGGAACGAGAGAGAGAGCAGGAGACAGCGTACAGCGCTCTGCAGCAGCTGGTTACCACGGTTTCGTCCGCTTCGCCCTCCCTCGCAGCCTGGCTGAGCAGAATCCAAACCGCTATGCTGGACTCAGATTCGGCCTTTGTTGGCCCGTCAAATTCCTCTGCGGACGCCTTCAATTCCCCTTTCCCGCCTGGCGTCGCTCCTGCTACCGCTAATGACGCTGTTGCGTCTGACGCTGCTGGTGCTGGCGCTGCTTCTGACACTGGCGCTGCTTCTGACACTGGCGCTGCTGCTGCTGCTGCTGCTGCTGCTGCTGCTGCTGCTGCTGACGCTGCTGCTGCTTCTGGCGCTGCTCCAGGCCCTGCTGCTGCCTCTTCCCTTTCATCCACATCAGCAGCAGCATCCTTCCAGCCCTTTTCTGCTGCCTCTATTTCAACGGAGCTCCGCGATTGGCTGGAATCCTCGGGATTTGGCTCCACAGATCTCTTAGGCTCGTTGACCCGCACCCTGGATTCCGAACCTGCAGCGGAGGCTCGGTCGTCCCTGGCCCTGCTGGCGTCCAATCTGGTCCACTCGCTGCAGCTCCGGCGGCTACAGGACGCCTTTGCCAGGTGACTATAAGGAGGGCCTGGGGGTGAGACGACGGGGGATGTCATGCGTGAGGCTCCATTCGTTCTTTCAAGGGGCAGCCAGTGTGCGTGGAATGGATTAGCTGACCCGAGTGCAACCAGACCAAGCAGCTGTTATTTTCCTTCTCCCCGTGTGCGTGGCCAGTTGCCCCAGAGCCCTGCTAGTCTGTCTGAGGCACTCCTGGTGGCGTGTGAAGGATGTCCGGGGTAGATCCAGGTGGGGAGGGGTGGATTCGGGTGTATAACTAGGGGCGTTTCCGGTGGTGGGTTAGGGGTCTAGGGGGAATTGGGTGAGGCAGGAAAGCGAAGCGAACAGCATGGTATTTAGTCGTATCCCTCTCCCCACGTCTAACCCTACTCCGTATATTCTTCTTCATCTGGTCGTGTCCGTGTGGCCCCCTAATGCATGCCACAGGCAGCCGGACATGTCGTGTGGCGAGGCTGTATGGGTGCTTGGAGTGAGATACGCGGAGTGGGAGGATGAGGAGGTGCGGAGGGAGGAGGCGAGGGAGGGGGGGTTGGAGCCGAGGTGGGAGGGGGAGAAGGTTCAGGGAGAGGGAGCAGGGGCAAGCGAGGTTGCAGAGAAAGAAGCAGCCGCACTAGGCAGGCTGGAGCAATCGCAAGGGTGGGAGCAAGGGAGGGAGATAGGGCGGGGAAGAGCAGAGGAGCGAGAGGGGAGGAAAGACGATGACCACGAGCGGGACAATGGTGAAGGGAGAGAGAGAAGGGAGGCGCAAGAGGAGCAAGAAGGGGTCGGGAAGAGCAGGGAGGTGGGGAGCAGAGGGAAAAGCAACGGAGATGCGAGCAGAGGGGAAAGCAACGGAGATGCGAGCAGAGGGGAAAGCAACGGAGATGCGAGCAGAGGGAAAAGCAACGGAGATGCGAGCAGAGGGGAAAGCAACGGAGATGCGAGCAGAGGGGGGGATCGGAGTGGGGGCTCGTCGGAGGATCTGCTGGCGGACGTGCAGTCAAGGATATGGATGACTTACCGCTGGGGGTTCCCTCCGCTGCCCTGCGGTGGCGCCTTCACCACTGACACCGGATGGGGCTGCATGTTCCGCACGGGGCAGATGATGCTGGCGCAGGTACTGGGGGTTACGGCACGGGTGCTAGATTATGTGTGTGTGTGTCATGGCGCAGGTGCGATGGGGTTTGCCCCACTGCCCTGCGGTGATGGTGCCTTCACCACTGACAAGGTGACTTTTGAGTCGACTCAAAAGCTGCCCTGCGGTGATGGTGCCTTCATCGCAGGTGCGATGGGGGTCTGCCCCACTGCCCTGCGGTGATGGTGCCTTCACCACTGACACCGGATGGGGCTGCCTGTTCCGCACGCGGCAGATGAGGATGATGATGGCGCAGGCAGTGGCATGCATGCATTCCCTTGTTCCCTTGGGAGCATGCATTCACTTGTCCATTCAGTACTGCCTTTGTTCCCTTTGTTGTCCTAAAAGGATGGGGGGCTGCCTGTTCCGCACGCGGCAGATGATGACGACGCAGGTATTGTGATGTTCTTGTTGGCATGGCAGTACGGCTGTTGTTGGTCCTACTTTTGAGGCGCCTCAAAAATAGACTCCTCTCGCACGGGGCAGATGATGACTCAGGTATTGTGATGTTCTTGTTGGCAGTACGGCTGTTGTTGGTCCTACCACTTGCATAGTCAGCACTGCACAGATGATAATGGTTCGGCTATCACCGTCTCATGGCAAATATTCTCTATGATTAAAAATGAGAAGGTTGTTTCATCGCCATTATTCCTTCTTGCTTTGCTGTCTCCCCTCTCCTTCCCTCTCCTTCCCTCTCCTTCCCTCTCCTTCCCTCGCCTTCCCTCTCCAGGCTTTGCTCTGCCACCGGTTGGGCCGCCAGTGGAGGCGACATGTGGGGAGGGAGGAGGAGGTAAGGAGAGAGGTGATGGGCACGAGAGAGGTGATGATGGGTAGGAGAGAGGTGATGGGTAGGAGAGAGGTGATGGGTACGAGCCAGGTGATGGGTAGGAGAGAGCAAGGAGATGAGAGAGGGGGAGATAAGGGCAATGGTTAGATGTGGGCGTGGATGGCAATCATCCACTGCCCTGTCCTGTTGTCCTCCCGTCATATGCCACGCAGCCACGTGCCCAATCACTCCCATATCCGCTGCCATGTCCTTGTATCCAATATCCAATTCACATCCCATTCCACCCACCTCCTGTCTACAAGGCGCCCCAGAACATATCTCTGACTCGATATAATTGCCTCGTTTCAGGGTCACCCCACATTGCCCCTCATACCCAGACCTACTGTGGGGTTCTTTGTCTCTTTACCCTGCTTTATTGACCTGCTGCTCCCATGCACTCCCCCCCCCCCTCTCCCCTCTCCCCAGGCATACTACGAGGTCCTTCGCCTCTTTGCCGACTCGCCCTCCCCTCTCTCCCCCTTCTCTCTGCACCACCTGGTTCGAGCCGGCGCTAGGCTCGGTGTCAAGGCTGGGGCGTGGCTCGGGCCGTACCGGCTGTGTGTGACGCTCGGGAGTTTGGTTCGGGAGATGGAGGAGGGGGGAGGGGAGGAAGGGGTGGAGAGAAGGGGGGGGGGAAGAGGTGATTGTGAGGTGTGCGCGGGAGGGCGGACAGATGTGGAGGGGAGAGGGGGAGGAGGGAGTGGGGTGAACGGAGTTAGGGAGCAGGAAAGAAGTAGGGAAAGGAGGAATAAGGAGTGTGAGGGCGAGATGGAGGATCGAGAGAAAGGGAATGGTGGGATGAGAAGAGAAGAAGGAAGTAAGTGTCATATTTCTGCAGGTGCGAGGGAGGAAGGCTCAGAAGACCTATCACGAGACAAAACTCCTACATCAGCATGCAAGGACCAGGCAGCATGGGGCAATGATGATCTGCCATGGGGCAATGATGATCTGCCATGTGGCAAGGAGGGACCCCTATGGGGCATGCGGGTGCATGTGGTGGGGGCGCATCCCGAGGGCGAGGGAGGGGGGGGCGCGCCCATGCTGTGTGTTGATGAGGTGGTGGCGCTGTGTGGTGGGGGGGAGAGAGGGGGGGGAGAGGGAAGGGGAGGAGGGGGGGGAGTGGAAGGGGGGGAAGCATGTGGTGATGTGCTTGGGGCCACAGCAGGAGGGGCGGAGGGGGGGGAGACGGGAGGGGAGAGGGGAGGGGAGGCAAGCCAATGGCGGTCGGTGCTCATTCTGGTGCCTCTGGTTCTCGGCATCGACCACATGGACGCGCGGTGAGCAAGCATAAGTGGTGTCAGATGGCTGAAAGTTCTGCATGCGGTGATGGCTCTTGGACGCCTCAATCAGTTGACCCTGGTCCCCCCCCCCCTCCCCCTCCCCATCCGCCTTTCCTCTCTAGCAGCTTCTTGAATACTCTCTGCTGCACCTTTGCCTTCCCCCAGAGTGTGCTTTTGGACGCCGCAAGCAGTTGCCCCTGGTCCCACCCCCCCTCTCCATCCGCCCATTTCTCATCCCTAACCCCTCACCCTCCCCTCACCCTTCACCCTCCCCTCACCCCTCACCCTCCCCTCACCCCTCACCCTCCCCTCACCCCTCACCCTCCCCTCACCCCTCACCCTCCCCTCACCCCTCACCCTCCCCTCACCCCTCACCCTCCCCTCACCCCTCACCCTCCCCTCACCCCTCACCCTCCCCTCACCCCTCACCCTCCCCTCACCCCTCACCCTCCCCTAACCCCTCACCCTCCCCTAACCCCTCACCCTCCCCTAACCCCTCACCCTCCCCTAACCCCTCACCCTCCCCTAACCCCTCACCCTCCCCTAACCCCTCACCCTCCCCTAACCCCTCACCCTCCCCTAACCCCTCACCCTCCCCTAACCCCTCACCCTCCCCTAACCCCTCACCCTCCCCTAACCCCTCACCCTCCCCTAACCCCTCACCCTCCCCTCTCACCCCTCCACCCATCCTACAGCTACTTGGAGTCGCTGCGCCGCACCTTCGCCTTCCCCCAGAGTGTGGGCATCGCGGGAGGCAAGCCCAACACGTCGCTCTACTTCATTGGCACGCACCGCAGCGACGTGCTCTTCCTTGACCCGCACTACCCGCAGCAGGTGATCTCCGAGTGACTCATCCCGAACTAGCCTTGATAGGTTATGCCATGTACCAACAGTCAGGCAAGCCCAACACCTCTGTCTACTTCATTGGCACGCACCGCAGCGACGTGCTCTACTTGGACCCGCACTATCCGCAGCAGGTAACGCCATGTGGTTACCCGCCAGGTAACAGTACAATGTGGTTACTAGGTAAGAATGTCAGGCGAGACCAACACCTCTCTCTACTCCATCGGCACGCACCGCAGCAACGTGCTCCGCTTCGACCCGCACTACCCGCAGCAGGTAATCTCTGCGCTTTTGATTCCGAACTAGACCTGCCTTTCTTCCTGTGCGGCCATGGCTGGTTAGCCATCCTATCATGACTACCCCACTCCTCGCCCTCCTTTCGACCCTCTGCAGGCTGTTGATTTTCCCGAAGGGCCAATCAGCGCATGCCACGTGGACACATCGTCCTACCACTGCAAGTGAGTTTGATGTTTTTAGTATTTTTGTAAGATCATTCCCCACTGGGAAATTATGGTTTCATACACGCTGAGCTGCAATCCTTGCTCGATGGGTGCTTCTGAGCTGGGCCTTTTAGAGTGCTTTATTGCTCCAATCCCCTCTCTTCTGCCTTGTCACGCACAGCTCCTTCTCACCATCTCTGTCCTTGGCGTTGTCTCTGTGAGTGCAGCACCATCCTATTTTCGAGGCGCCTAAAAAACCTTCTCACCACATCTGTCGCTTGATTTGTCTCTGTGTGGGTGCAGCACCATCCGCCACATGCCACTGTCAGCAATTGACTCCTCCCTTGCTCTTGGCTTCTACTGTGCCACCCAAGGTAATCAGTCGATTATAACAGTTTCTCGCCGTATGGATTGACAACCTTGAACCTTAGCTGTCCCATTACCAAGTGTTACGCAAGCTGCATGACTTCGCTAGAAATCTATCCATTTGACCATATGCCTGTATTCCCAATTCCACTCCCCTACCCACACATGCAGCTGATTTCGATGATCTGTGTGATCGCATGCGGCAGCTAGCCCAGCTGTCCAACGGTGCACCGCTCCTCACGGTGGGGAACAAGGCTGACTTGGCGACCTATGTGGTGAAGGAGGTGCCCGAGATGGACACCTCCTCGTTGGGCGATTCCTTGGAAGATACTTCGGATATTGAGGACAATTGGGAGCTTGTGTAACAGTTTTGTGCCACTTTTCAGTGTACATAGGCAGTGAAGTGTATTCTTTTGGCTTTAGTATACATGCGATTTGTAACTGGTGTGTATATTTTGTACAGGCCTGGCTTATATTGAGTGTTCATGGAAGGTAGTGTACATTCCATGTGTACATTCCAGGCACGAAGATGCGCAGGTGGCAGCTGCAGGGCTTCCATTCAAATCGTAGGACAGCCCAGCGAGGATCCCGCCCGCTCCCTCACCACCAACCGAACGGACCAAGGGTTTCAGAAATTCTGACCACAAAGCTCGCGGCGCAGCGACTGTCCTTCACTTTGACCCGCTGGATCCAGCCCGAACCAGAGCAAATGATTTTCCGTCCACGTGGCTCACAGTCACTCGCTTGAACACCATGTGAATCCATGCGATGGTGCTTTTTCGGAAAGTTTGGTGCACTTTTTGCTGTTCCTGAAGATATTTTTCCTTCGGTTCTGTCTTTCTGTGTGTTCGCTCTGTTCCCTCTTCTGTGCTTTGCTGCTCTGCTCTTCTCCTCCTATCTTGTGTCTTCCATTCTTCAGTCTCTGTCTGCTTCCGTGGACATCTTCCCCTCCTTGCTTGCTTCCTGGCTTCCGCTCGGGTTTTCTCTGGGTAAATAGAGAAGATTTGACGGCACGATTCCGACGAAGCTTAGCGACCTTGTAGCCCGATCTGTTTGTGGCTCGCAGCTTGCTTAGGAAATTCGACTCGACGATTGCTGTAGAAAATCGTTCCGCGGTAGCCCTTGAGAGTGCTAACAGATATCCAAGTCGGGTCGAGCTCCTCAGCTTGTTCTTACGAAGAACAGTATTCGTTCCAAGCTTATTCAGTAATAGCATGCTGGACATCACTATTTAATTCCTGCTAAGTACTTTTTGCGATGAGTAAGAATTCGGGCCATAGAGGCAGGAGTCGGAAGGACCAACCGGAGCCGATGGCGCTTTTTCCGCGGATAGACGTCAGCAGCGCAGCAGCAGCAGCGGTGGGGGGGCCCAAGGCACCTCCGCGGAACAAGATGGCGCTCTACGAGACGTTGGCGCTGCCTTCCGCCAAGCGCTTCCGCGCCGCTCCCCTCTCTGCCCCCCGCTAGCCTCCGCCAGCCCTTTCCCCCCATCCTCCCCGTACTGCCCTCCGTCAAGCGTTTTCCCGTCAAACGGTTTTCCATCAAGCAATTTTCCGTCCGGCGGTTTTCAGTCAACCGGTTTTCAGTCAAGCGGTTTTCAGTCAACCGGTTTTCAGTCAAGCGGTTTTCAGTCAAGCGGTTTCCCGTCCAGCAGTTCAGGACCAGCAGGCGTTGCTTCTCCCGCGCATCCCGACGCCGCGGTACGCATTCCGCCCCGTTTTCCCCCCGTTTTAAGCTGTTCTCCCCTGGCTCTACCATCCTCCTGACGACAGCTGTTGTGGAGTCGCAAGCGCTAACGGGCGGTCTTTAGATAATTCTCGTTGCGTAACTGTCGGACAGCTCACTAGATTGTTTCGTGGCCCTTCTTCCCCACCTCCGTTCGCTTATCCGCCCGCTCGTCTGTCGGCGCTCCGTCACCCCGTCCCTTTCAGTGCGTGAACGTTCTCGTTCCTTTTTCCGTCTGTTACCCGTCCCCGCACCAACCCATCTACCAATCAGGTCGCAGCATCCATGTTACCACCCGCTTATGCGTCCAAGTTCGCCTACTCTCCCTTCGCAGTCACCCGCCAGGATCCCTATTCCGCGCCGCACTCGTCGCAAGCCGCGAACTCGTTGCAAGCTCCTAACTCGTTACAAGCACCCTTCAAGCTCCCGCCGCTCCCCGACAGCAAGAGCACCGCGCCCGCTTCTATTTCTGCCCGCAGCAACTCTCTGTCTGGAAGCTTCCAGGAACCCGCCTCGCTGCAGGCGGCTCTTGCATTCCAGTCCGCGTGCGCAGCACACGCCACAGGCGGGCCTTCCGCCCCTCCTTCCCCTTCCGCCCGCTTCGCCCCCTCCGCCCTTGCACACACACCAGGGGGACCTTCCGCCATGCCGCATACAGCAGGCGGGTGCTTGACTGCGGGCGCATTTCCGGGATTTGCAGCACCCTCGGCGGGATTGGACTTCAGTAGCGGGGGAGGGGGAGTTGGCGGGACGGCAGGCGGGATGGGAGGCGCAATGGGGGGCGGAAGGGGGCGGATTCCCGGAATCTCTTCCCCGCGGGATGAAGCTGCGGAGAGCGCTTTCTGGTCCTGGCGCCACCACTCCCGCACCTCCGCCACCCCCCCTGCGTCGGCCTCCGCCTCCCCGTTCGCCCTTCCTTGCGGGCCTTCCCCCTTCGTCGCCTCCGCCTCCCCTTCCCCTTTTGGTCTCCCGCTGCCCTTCTCCCCGGGTGTGGTTACGCCTGATGCTGCTGCAGTATCCGCGGCTACCATGCTTGCGGCTATGGTTGGGGGCAAGATTGGGGGGGGAGGCATTGGGGGAAGCGGTGGGGAGTATGGCTTTGGAGGGGGGAAAACAGCGGGGGAAGGCCCTGGGGGGGTGGTGGGGCGCGGGTTTTTCCCAGGGGGAGGTGCTGTGGGCGGTGGGGGGCCGGGGAAAAGGGGGAGGCAGGGGCAGGGGCAGGGGCAGGGGCAGGAGGGGGAACGGGAGATGTTGGGAAAGGGGAAGGTGGGCGGAGGGGGGGCTGACGTGGCAAAGGTGAAGCGGGATGCATGGAGGATGGAAGAAACAGGTGGGGGAGAGGGGATGGGTGGGGGGCGGAAGGCGGGAGTTGCTAGTGAACAGGGGGGAATTGAGACATTAGAGGGGGGAGAGCAGAGCGGAAGGGGGAATGCAGCAGAAGCAGAGGGAGCAGGAGGAGGGGAGAAGGAGGGGGCAGGGCACTGTGTAGGAGGCAGTGGAAGGGGAGGGAGGGAAGCGGTCGGGGGAGTGAGAGGGAGGAGGGAAGTGAGGGGGAGCGCAGGGGTAAGAGGAGGAGTGCGGGCATGTGATATTGTGGCCGTGGTGGGTCAACGGGAGTTCTGGCGTACTCAGCAAGGCATGCAGAGGTGAGCATTTCGAGACGTCTCAAAACCAAGGCATGCAGAGGTGCGCAGCACAGCATGTAAAGGAATGCACCTCATTTTTCGCTTGTCTTTGCCTCCCTTTTCCTCCTATTCCTGTGCCGGCCTTTCCATTCGCTTTCCTCCCCTTCATCTCTCCCCTTCGCTCGGCGACATCCCTTCCATCCATCCCACCCCTGCACCCACTGCGCACCAGGCATCAAGACCGCATGTTCACGGCTACTGGACCGGCAATGCTTGACTCTAGTGCAGCAGCTTGACTCTAGTTTGACTCAAACTATCTCCTTTGCTTCATCTATTTCCTTCCCTCCATCCTACCATCCCCAACCAGGCACGGGCGCATATTCCGATCACAACTCTTGGACCTGCACTCTCTGATTCAGGTTCAGCAGGAGCTTTTCCAAGCTGCTCTCCCCCCGTCGCCCGAACCCTCTGCTACCAGCGCGCATCTCTCGCCCGCGCCTCCCCAGCCTCGTTTCCAAGCCCCCGCTGCCCTGGACGCCTGTGCCGAAGCTGAGTCGCAGGCTCGGGGATTCCCAGGGCAGGTGGTTAGGACAGATACGGATGGGTTTTCTGCGGCGGTTGGGGGAGGGGGGGGTGCAGGTGGGGAGGAGGGAGGAAGGGGAGATGAGGAGGGGAGGGGAAGGGGGGAGGTGATAGAGGGTTATGGGAGTGGTGAGGTGGATGGTCTTAATTATGACGTGGCAGGGAGTTCAGAGCAACACGTGGCGGCAGCACTGGCAGCAGCTGCAGCAGACATTGCAGCAGCAGCAGCTGCTGCTGCAACTGCTGCTGCTGGTGGCGCTGCTGGTGGCGCTGCTAGTGATGCTGCTGCCTGCTCCAAGGCAAAGGCAGAAAGAAAGAGAAAGAGGCGAGAAGAGGGCGAGGGAGAATGGCAAGCAAGCCCGAGAGCAGCGTCCTTTGCTGCTCCTGCTCTGTCTCGCTCCCCTCGTGTGGCCTCCTCCCCACGCACACACCACACACAGCGGGAATCCAGACACCCCGAAGAGCCTGCCGTGTCCAGCTCTCCGCATCACCCTGCCAGCTCACCTCACCGCCCCAACGGCTCACCTCACCGCCACACCTCGCCCCACGGCTTCAAGTCACCCCATGCCCCCGCCTCGCCCCACGGCTTTCACTGCAACCCGGTTCGCCCCAGCCCCATTCGCCCTAGTCCCATTCCCATTAGTCCTATTCGCCCTTCCCCCATCCCTCATCCCATACCTGCCAGCCATACAGGCAAGAGCCCCACTTTACCCTCGGTCGTGCCTACCAACCCCGTGCCTGTAGGCTCGGCAACTGACATGGTTGGTGGCTTGGCAAGTGCGTGGAGCTATCCCCTATACCAAACTCCTCCTGGCCTTTCACCTGGGATTCCACCTGGAATTTCACCTGGCCTTTCTCCTGGGCTTTCACCTGACCTCTATCAGCATGTTGTGCCTGGTGACCCTTCCTATGCTGCTGCTTCCCCTGCTGCTGCTGTCACTGCTGCCCCTGCTCCTCCTCTCTCCGGTGTACCGCTTTCTACCGTATCGGATCCGTTCGGCGGATACAGGCCCCTATCGGGTTTAGACGTGGATGCTTCGGCTGCTGCTGCTGTCACCGCTGCTGCTGCCACGGCTGCTGTGAATGACGCTGCAACTGCTGCTCCTTGCAGCGACAACGATCGTGGCAATGGTGATCGTGCCAGTGGCGATCGTGACAGTCGCGATCGTGACAATGGCGATCGTGACAATGGTGATCGTGACAATGGTGATCGTGACAATGGTGATCGTGGCAACGACAGTCGCGGTGATGTGGGCAGGGGAGGGGAAGGAGAGAGGGGGGGACAGCACAGCAGCACGCCTCGTGGGCTTGGAATCAGGGTCAATGCCGTGGCACAGGAATGGCAATGCCATGCCACAGGAATCAGGGCCAATGCCGTGCCACAGGAATCAGAGGCAGCAGCAGGCATGGGGCTTGACCTGGGCTTGGGCCCTGGTTTGGGCACAGCCACGGGCTTTGGCCTGGGGGAAGGTATAGGTGGTTTAGGCGGAGGTATGGATGCGGCAAACATGGCGGCTTTTCAAGCTTTCCTTGTCCAGAAACAGCAGCAGGAACTACAACATCAGCAACAACAATGGCAAAAACAACAACAGCAGCAGCAGCAGCAGCAGCAGCAGCAATGGCAGCAGATTTTGCTACAGCATCAACAGCAGCAGCTGCTGCAGCAACATCGGCAGCAGCAGCAGATGTTGCAGCAGCACCAGCAGCAGCAGCAACAGTGTCAGCAGCAGCAGATGTTGTTGCAGCAGGTGCAGCAGCAGCAAGCCCTGGTTCAGCTTCTTTGGAGTCAGAAAGCCGCTCGCACTGGTGCTGCTGCACGCGAGGCAGCTGCTGGCAATGCTTCCGGCGGTAATAATGATGACGATGACTATGATACTGATGATGGTGATGATGTGTCGGATGATGATTACTCTGGTGGTGGTGATGGTGATGGTGACAGGGATCGCAGCTGTCATAAGAGGCATGGCAAGGCAGCGGCCAGGAGTCCATCGAGCGATGTGAGGGCAGGAGGGGGCAGCAGTAGCGGAGAGGGTACGAGTGATGGGGACAGGGCTGACAGCTATGGCTTCGCAGTTGGAACCGATGAGGATGAGCCCTAATAGATGGTGTAGGTATGGCTTCCCATGGCTGCTCTTTGAGTTTTGCTTGTGTCTCATTGATGGCTCGGACCCATCAGATGGCTGTTTTATTTTGTGGAATTTGCGGTACATGTATTTATTGAAAATGGTAGATTCAGTTTCTCCTGAAGTAGTTGGTGCACTTTCATGTGGATGAGAGTACGTACGTACTTGTAGGTAGTTGTGAACGTACTTGCAGATTGTAAGCATTTTACAGTGCTCACACAACATATCGCGGGGTTGGTGGCTCCACCAACCATGCGTTCTCCTCTCTATCGAGTACAGTATCTGGGTCATCCTTCACTCGCACAAGCACGCGTTTCCCTGGAAATATCCTGCCAGCGAACGGCACCACTGTGCTGTCAGATGCCTGTTGCTTCGCGAAATCGCCACGCTGGTCGCCCCCAAACCCAACTTCCCCGCGCGAAAGATTTCAATTGTCACTTCGCCCTGTCACTGACTCACCAGTCCACCAATCATGGCCAGCCAGCCCCCAGAAAAAGGTTTGCTCCGCCGCACCTCACCGCAAGCGGGCGGTTCCGCTGCTTTGTAACCAGCTCTCCGACTGGACTGCTTTTCGCGAGTTCGTCTTCCGCCTCTTCCCTCGCCACAAGACACGTTGGCGAAACTAAATGCCCCCACTCCCCTTTCCCTCCCCCCCCTTCCCCCCACAAGCCCCCACATCACCAACCCAAACCGCGCTGTAGGGTTTCCTCGAGATTGCGGAAGAGCAGCAGTCTGCCTCTGGGCGACTTGGCTGCTGCCCTGGGTCGGACTTCCCTTCTCGGTCTTTGCTTCCCTCTCGTCGCTTCTTTTCGATTCCACTCGAACCACTCTTCTCAGCAGCACTACAGTACACATATTTTAGGTTACCTCCCCTTTCCCATCCTGCCTCCCATCTGTCGCGTCTAGCTCAGCGAATTGGGCAGATCCTAGTCAATCTGCTATATCGCGGATTTTAACATTTCCAGCTGTTCACGGCCTCAAGTTTTGAATTTTATTTAGGCGAGTCGAATAGGCGGCTTATTTGTTTTTCCGCAGATACCGCTTCTACTGCGAGATAAGGATACTCCGGACGGCGAACCGTATTCTAATCGCGGGTCGTACTTACTAGTCACTCCGGTCGTCTAGAAAGAAGAAAGATCACCCAGCGAGCTCCGATGGAGGAAGAGAGCGAGCGAAAGAGTGCGGATAGAGATAGAGCACCGGCAGCAGCAGCAGCAGCAGGAGCGGCAGATGCGGAAGGCGGCTCCACGGCGCTTCCCGATAGGGTACGGCGGATTTTTACTTCATTTTATTCACGCGCGTATCTACGCCAGAACACGCCGACTCACCGCGCAGTTTAGTTTTGAGGCGCCTCAAAAATAGACTCCTCACGCATGGTTTATTCGCGCGCGTATCTACGCCAGAACACGCCGACTCACCGCGCAGTTTAGTTTTGAGGCGCCTCAAAAATAGACTCCTCACGCATGGTTTATTCGCGCGCGTATCTACGCCAGAACACGCCGACTCACCGCGCAGTTTAGCCGGGCTCTCGTATGATAACGTCTACACTTAACCTCTAACCTCGTACGTCTTCTCGTGACAGGTGCAAGTGGGCGGGTCGCCGGTGTGTAAGATGGAGCGGAAGTTGGGAAGGGCGGGTTAGTCTAGTACTAGTAACTTCTTATCGAGTCCGTCCCTCCCCGGCAGGTGCAAGTGGGCGGGTCGCCGGTGTATAAGATGGAGCGGAAGCTGGGGAAGGGCGGGTTCGGGCAGGTGTACGTGGGGCGACGCGTCAACGGCGGCAACGAGAGGGTCGGGCCGAACGCGGTAGAGGTGAGAGAGTCTCATCTTATTAGCGTATTTCCGCTGGGATATATCGTTGCACGGAAAAGCTGCGAAAGGGCAGGTTCGGGCAGGTGTACGTGGTTGGACGCGTCAACGGCGGGAATGAGAGGGTCGGGTAGAGGTGAGAGGCGCGTCTGGACGGCTTGCTTTCGCAGGGGGAATTAAATAATAAAGCTGCTGTGCATCAACGAATTAGTGAGTCGTTGTGCGCGGGAACAGACGATTAGTAGTTGACACACACTTGACGCGCTAGAGAGGGGATTTTCTGGTTTCTGAAGTTGTCGTGGCTGCTGTGCTCTGCTCGCTGCTGTTGCGTGCTCGCCGTGGGTGCAGGTGGCGTTGAAGTTGGAGCACAGGAGCAGCAAGGGGTGCAACTACGGCCCGCCGTACGAGTGGCAGGTGTACACGTGCGTGCATAGGCCTTTCAGTGGGACCCACGATTTTCTTTTCTAGCCGAGAGATTGAGCGGAGAGCATCGTTGGTTCTTTCTGTGTTTCCAACCCGCTTCACGGAACCTCTTCCTTCCCACTGAACCCCCATAGAATGTCAGAAGTATCTTCTTTTTCCAAACTCGCCGGGCACCAATTCACAGGCTAGTACCCCCATCAGCGTCAAGCTATCTATCCTCCTCTCTCACTCCACGTGCTCCCTCGCCGCTTCACATTCCCTCTCCCTCTCACTGGCCACGTCGTCTGCTCACCATGCTCACCCCATCCTCTGCTTTCCCCTCCTTTCCTTGCTCTCTGTCCTCCCGCCCTCTTCCCGCCTGCCTCTCCCCTTCCACTCTCGCCTCCTTTCCTCTTCCTTCCGCCCTCCTCTCCCCCCGCCCTCCTCTCTCCCCCCGCGCCCGCCTCCCACAGCGCGCTGGGAGGCAGCCATGGCGCGCCTCGAGTGCACTTCAAAGCGCGCCACTTTCCTCTGTCCCTATTCCCCTCTCTCATCTTCCTTCCCCCCTCCCCCACCCTCCCCCTTGCCCGCCTCGTGCAGTACGCTGGGCGGCAGCCATGGCGTGCCGCGAGTGCACTTCAAGGGTCGGCAGGGCGACTACTACATCATGGTAGGGATGGGTACTGTATTGTGGTGGGTTTTGAGTCGACTCAAAAGGTCTGTTTCGAGTCGACTCAAAACACATCATGGTAGGGATGGGTACTTTATTATGGTGGAAATTTCCGCTACATCATGCTACGGAGTGGCATTCGTGGCGTTCTTTCGCGCTCCAGTGACGCATGCCCCTGTGTGCACTCGTTCTCACGGTGCCGTGCATGTCTTCCCGTCCTGCATGCCCCCCCCCATGCAGGACGGCCACATTGTTCCCTCGCTCTCCCCCTTCCCCCCCTCCCCCCCTCCCTCCCTCCCTCCCTCGCCTTACCCGCCCCTGTCCCACTCCCTTCTCTTGCTCCTTTTCGCCGATTTGCTCTGCTCTCCCGCACTCACGCCTGTGTGCGCCAGGTGATGGACTTGTTAGGCCCCAGCCTGTGGGACGTGTGGAACAACCACAACCAAGCGTGAGTAACCTTTCCCATCCGTCGTAGGGCTTCCCTGTGGCTGCCTTCCCTTGCTTCCTCCTGCCTTTCCCCTTCCTTTCTGAGACCACCTTATCCTCCCCCTCCCCCCCTCCCCACCCCCATGGCAGCATGTCAACGGAGATGGTTGCGTGCATAGCAACGGAGGCCGTTGCTCTGCTACCACCTTACCCATCCCACTACCCCCCCCCCTCTCCCCCCCCGATGGCAGCATGTCAACGGAGATGGTGGCGTGCATAGCAGCGGAGGCTCTTTCCATCCTGGAGAAGGTGCATGAGCGAGGGTGAGTGTGACTGTAGCGAGGGTGAGTGTGACTGTAGCGAGGGTGAGTGTGACTGTAGCGAGGGTGAGTAGTGTCAGGGGTAAAAGGGCGAGTGTGACTACAGCTAGGGGTGAGGGAGTGTGGGGCACGAAGGTCAGCGGTGCATCTCGAAACAACATGATTGCGCTTCCGCCTACCCTGTGTCCCCCCCCCCCCCCCCCCCTCTTCTGCTCTTCTTTCTTCCCCATCCATGTGCCATCCCCTTCCCTCTCCCTCCCGTGTCGACCTGGCTGGCTTACCTCCACCAGCCACTGAGCCACGTGCACGGAGACGTGAAGCACGAGAAGTGGAGCCGGAAAGCTTTGTTGTTGCCCCGTTACCCCATCTCTTCACCCCTTACCCTCCCTTGCCTGCCCGCCCCGTTATTCCCTCTGCCAGCTACGTGCATGGAGACGTGAAGCCCGAGAACTTTCTTCTCGGGCAGCCTGGCACAACAGAGGAGAAGAAACTGTACCTGGTGGACCTGGGGCTAGGTGAGCCCTGGGGGTAGGTGAGACCTGGGGCTAGGTGAGACCTGGGGGTAGGTGAGACCTGGGGCTAGGTGAGACCTGGGGCTAGGTGAGACCTGGGGCTAGGTGAGACCTGGGGCTAGGCGAGACCTGGGGCTAGGTGAGACCTGGGGGTAGGTGAGACCTGGGGCTAGGTGAGACCTGGGGCTAGGTGAGACCTGGGCGTAGGTGAGACCTGGGGCTAGGCGAGACCTGGGGCTAGGTGAACTGTGGAGTCTCTGTAATTCTGCAACTACCTACCGAAGTATGTGACTACATACCCTTGTAACTATGTAACCTTGTGACCCTGCAAGCAACCGCTCTTCGATTAGCATTGACAGGCCATCCGCCTGCTAGGCGGCTTCTGCCTTGGCATCTTCGTCCGTGCCATGCCATCCCCCCCTCCCCCCCCTCTCCCCCCTCCCCCCTCTCCCCCCTCTCCCCCCTCCCCCTCTCCCCCCTCTCCCCCCTCTCCCCCCTCTCCCCTCTCCCCCCTCTCCCCCCTCTCCCCCCTCTCCCCCCTCTCCCCCCTCTCCCCCCTCTCCCCCTCTCCCCCCTCTCCCCCTCTCCCCCCTCTCCCCCTCTCCCCCCTCTCCCCCCTCTCCCCCCTCCCCCCCTCTCCCCCCTCTCCCCCCCTCTCCCCCCTCTCCCCCCTCTCCCCCCTCTCCCCCCTCTCCCCCCTCTCCCCCTCTCCCCCCTCTCCCCCCTCTCCCCCCTCTCCCCCCTCTCCCCCCTCTCCCCCCTCTCCCCCCTCTCCCCCCTCTCCCCCCTCTCCCCCCTCTCCCCCCTCTCCCCCCTCTCCCCCCTCTCCCCCTCTCCCCCTCTCCCCCCTCTCCCCCATATCGCCCCACCTCCCCCCCGCCGTCTCAGCGCCTCCATCTCTTCTCCTGACCTCCTCACCTCACCTCTCCCCCCAACCTCGCTCTGTCCCATCCATCCTGCCCATCCCTCCATCCCTCCATCCCTTCTCTGGCCCATCCTGCCCTCTGCTCCCCGTTCCTTTCCTAACCGCTCACATGGCTGTGGTTGTGGTTGTGGTTGTGCGTGTGTGTGGTGTAGCGACGAGGTGGAGGGACACTAACACAGGGCAGCATGTGGAGTACGATCAGAGGCCAGACATCTTCAGGTGAGTAGCCAGGCATCTTCAGGTGAGTAGCCAGACATGTTCAGGTGAATAGTCAGACACCTTCAGGTGTTCAGGTGGGTTTGGAACTGGATGCTTGAGGCAGCATGTACTTAACTACTACACGTAAGCTCGTGTAATGGTATTTGTGTTGTGGGATGGGAATAGACGTGATAGTAGATGTGTTTAGGCGGTTGAGTAGCCTTCATCAGCGCTTTCGTTTTTTTGCTTTAGTCAAGGGTAGTTCAATTTTGGTATGCGATTCACACATGGCAACGTTTGCTGCAGCATCTGGGCCATGCCATATATGCACCTTTCCATAGATGCACCTTTCCATATATGCACCTGTCCATATATGCACCCATCCATCTACCTCAATCACAGCAGGGACACAGCACGCTATGCAGGCAGGGCATGCAAGCCCATTAGAGGAGGGCAGGTGTTGATTCTCCATGTTCCTCATACTATGACCCTCCCCTGCCTCGTTCTGTTCTGTTCTGACGTTATGGTGTCCCTAAAGGGGCATGGCGTGCTATGGGGTGTGCACGGTGGGCTATGCAGGCGTGTTCTCTCATCTGGTGCTCACAGTATAGGTGTTGACACCACTCCATGCATATTGCGATCTACCATGTTCTCCCCCCCCCCCCCGCTCCCTCCCTCCATCTCTGGCGCACAGCGCGCTTTGCAGGCGTGCACGCTCATCCGGGGCGCCCAGGTGCTGGCGTATCTCCATGTTCCGATGCACCTGCGCACCCCACATGGCCCATGTGCCCCCCTGTCCCCCCTCTGCCACCACAGGGGCACGGTGCGTTATGCGGGCGTGCATGCGCATCTGGGGCGCACGGGCAGTCGCAGGGACGACCTTGAGTCGTTGGCGTACACGCTGGTGTTCCTGCTCCGAGGCCGACTGCCCTGGCAGGGCTACCAGGTGAGCTGAGTTCTCAGGGGTAATGTGAGACGTGTGAGAGGGCACGGGCAGTCGCAGGGGCGACCTTGAGTCGTTGGCGTACACGCTGGTGTTCCTGCTCCGAGGCCGACTGCCCTGGCAGGGCTACCAGGTGGGCTCTCAGTTTTACCAGGTAGTTCTCGAGGTTCTTTTGAGGCGCCTAAAACAACACGGGCAGTCGCAGGGACGACCTGGAGTCGTTGGCGTACGCGCTGGTCTTCCTGCTCCGAGGCCGACTGCCCTGGCAGGGCTACCAGGTGAGCCCTAAGGGGTACCAGGTGAGCTTTTAAGGGTATCAGGTGAATCTTCAGGTGGCAGGGATGCATGAACGATCTGAAGTCGCTGGCATTCGCGCTGGTCGTTTTGCTCCAGGGGTCGACTGCCCTGGCAGGGCTACCAGGGCAGTTGAGCACTCCGGGAAATCAGGTGTTATCTCAGGGTGGCAGGGATGTGAGGTGAATGGTCAGGTGGCAGGAATATCAGTTGACTCAACTCACTCATCCCATGTTCCACATTCCCCACCGCTTCAGGGCGACAGCAAGGGCTTTCTGGTGTGCCTGACGCAGATGAGCACGTCACCAGAGATGCTCTGCTGCTTCTGCTCTGTGTGCCCTCGCTCTCTCTCTCTCTCTTTCTCTCTCACGCCTGCCGCCCTTTCCCCCATCTACCCCTTCCATCCCCCCCCCTACGGGCAACAACAAGTAGCATGGAAAAAGTAGCATGTAGGCGCACGTCCCCCGAGATGCTCTGCTGCATCGTGCACTCCCTTCCACCGTTCCCCTTGCCTCTCTTCCACCGTTCCCCTTGCCTCCCTTCCACCGTTCCCCTTGCCTCCCTTCCACCGTTCCCCTTGCCTCTCTTCCACCGTTCCCCTTGCCTCCCTTCCACCGTTCCCCTTGCCTCTCTTGCACCATTCCCCTTGCCTCCCTTCCACCGTTCCCCTTGCCTCTCTTCCACCGTTCCCCTTGCCTCCCTTCCACCGTTCCCCTTGCCTCCCTTCCACCCCTCCAGGGCGACAACAAGGGCTCTCTGGTGCTCCAGAAGAAGATGGGCACGTCCATCTTCTGGTCCCCCCCCATGGCCTGCAGCTTCTGCCCACACTCCCTCTCCCACCTTGATTCTCACTCTTCCCATCAGGGCGACAACAAGGGCTTTCTAGTCTGCAAGAAGAAGATGAGCACGTCGCCCGAGATGCTCTGCTGCTTCTGCCCGCCGCCCTTCAAGCTCTTCCTCGAGTACGTCGTCTCCCTCAAGTTCGACGAGCGACCCGACTACGCCAAGTGCGCCGCCATGTTCGACTCCATCCTGAGCCCCAACCCGGCTCTGCATCCGCTGAACACGGAAGGGGCTCTATCGCTCAAGGTGAGCGCCAGTGGTACGCCCGGCTATGTTGTGCTGTGAGCCCCAAGCCCCTGAAAGCCCCTTCAAGCCCCTTAGGGCGTGTGTCTTACAGTTCCGGAACCCGGCAAGTTCCGGAACTTGGGTTGGTTACACGTTTCGCAGCTCATTGCAATAAGGCTTCGCGAGGTCCTCCCCGGGCAAAAGCTTTGTCAATTGTGGAACTAGTTCCGGAATGTCCAGCAGCGGAACTGTAAGACACATGCCCTTAAAGCCCCTTCAATCCCCTTAAGCCCCTGAAAGCCCCTTCTATCGCTTTGGCCCTTCAAGCTTTCCTCGAGTATGTGGTTTTCCACAAGTTCAACGAGCGCCCCGAGTAAGCCAACCCCGCTGCCTATTTTTATTCTATACTCAGCCCCAAGCCGCCCGCTCTGAGCTCTTCATCCCCTCAATACAGATAGGGCCCTCTCTTTGAAGGTTGGTGGCATTCCCAAAACTCGTGGTGCGCATGTCAGCATCGCCTCAGTTATTCGCCGTGTCCTGCTGTCTTATCGGCTTGTGCTTCCCGTGCTGCCGTATTTATCATGTCCTGCTGTCATATCGCCTTGTGCTTCCCATGCTGCCACGAGCAGGTGGGGCAGAAGAGGGGGAGAGGGAACGAGGGCGAGGAGTCGGCTGGGGACGACCAGCCGAGGAAGAAGGTGCGGCTGGGCATGCCGGCGACGCAGTGGATTTCAGTCTACAGCGCTCGGCGGCCCATGAAGCAACGGTGCGTTGTGGCATGGCAAATTAGGTTGGCACACAGCGTCAAAGGTCTCACCAGCTACAGAAGGAGAAGGCGCGGGTGGGCATGCCAGGCAGCCACTCAGTGGATCTCCGTGCAGCAGAGCACCCGGCGGCCCAATAGGCAGAGGCAGGGTGGCAGACGGGCAATGCGGCAAAGGTAGGGTGCTTCATGAGGCAAAGGTAGGGTGCTTCATGAGGCAAAGGTAGGGTGCTTCATGAGGCAAAGGTAGGGTGCTTCATGAGGCAAAGGTAGGGTGCTTCATGAGGCAAAGGTAGGGTGCTTCATTGAGGCAATGAAGCAGAGGTGCGTTCTAGGGTGAAGCATTGCAATGGCAACAGGGAGAGAACTTGAAGGGTTTATCAGCCAAAGGGGAAGAATGTGTGGTGGGCATGCCGGCGACGCAGTGGGTCTCCGTGTACAGCGCAAGACAACAGGTGGGTCTACACGCGGACCCACTGGTGCACGTGCAAGACAACTGGTAAAGAAGAGGTGGGGAGGCAGACAGCGGTTTCGGAGTCAATCCAAAGGCTCAATTGTCAAGGTCACCGTCGATGCGAGATGAGTGCGTTCCAGAGTGCGAGATGAGTGCGTTCCAGAGTGCGAGATGTGCCTCTGCCGCCCCATGAAGTGGACGGTTCCTCCTTCCCTTCCCTCAACTAGTACCGTCAAAATGTGGCAGACGTCGGGCTAGCTTTGAGACGCCTCAAAACTAGACTTCCCTCAGCTAGTACCGTCAAAATGCGGCAGACGTCGGGCTAGCTTTGAGGCGCCTCAAACTAGACTTCCCTCAGCTAGTACCGTCAAAATGTGGCAGACGTCGGGCTAGCAAAGCACGTGGAGAAGGGCAACGAGGACCGAAGGCTTCACTCACCACCAGCAGTGCAGTGTGGTGCCAGGAACCCCCCTTCCTTCCGGTTCCCCTCCCACGTGCTCCGTGCCAGGTACCACTACAAGGTGGCCGAAGCCCGAGTGGCCCAGCATGTGGAGAAGGGGGGCGGATTGCACATCAGCAGCGGGGCCTCGTGTCAGACGCCCGCCCCCTCCTGCCCATGACCTTGTGTTAAACACCAGGTACCACTACAACGTGGCGGACGCCCGGCTAGCGCAGCACGTGGAGAAGGGCAACGAGGACGGGCTGCACATCAGCAGCGTGGCGTCGTGTCAGAATCTCTGGGCGCTCATAATGGACGCCGGCACCAACTTCACGGCGCAAGTCTACGACCTCTCACACGTGTTCCTGCCAAAGGTGGGTCCGTCTTCCTGCCCTGAGGGTAGTCTGAGTTTCCTCCCCCCTAGGGGCTGCACAGCAGCAGCAGCGGGCCGCCATGTCAGACCCTCAGGGCGCTCGTCACATCATGGATGCCGGCACCAACTTGACAGCACAAGTCTACGACCTCTCGCATGTCCTTCTTCCCAAGGTGGGTCCGTCGTCCTTCCGAAGTAGTCTGCAGCTTCGTCTCCCCGCCAAGGGCGCCCAGAATCTCTGGGCGCACATCAGAGCCTCTGGGCACACGTCTAGGACCTCTCGCTGGTCTTGACAGAATTTTTACATCACAGCAACATGGTTAGCTTGACTTTTATTTTTATTTTTCTGCCTTGAAACGCGTACAGGAGTGGATCATGGAGCAGTGGGAGAAGAATTTCTACATCACTGCGGTGGCAGGCGCCAGTAACGGCAACGCGCTCGTTGTCATGTCCAAAGGTGCGGGTGCTTGCAGGGGGGTTGTTGCTGACCGATCATTGCGTGGTGCATGTTGTGGTGTGTGTCTCTGTGTGTCCCCTGGTATTTGCCATGTTGTGTGCCGATCTATGTGCCGATCTGTGTGCCGATCTGTGTGCCGATCGGTGTGTCGATCTGTGTGTCGATCTGTGTGCCGATCTGTGTGCCGATCTGTGTGCCGATCGGTGTGTCGATCTGTGTGTCGATCTGTGTGCCGATCTGTGTGCCGATCGGTGTGTCGATCTGTGTGTCGATCTGTGTGCCGATCGGTGTGCTGATCTGTGTGCCGATCGGTGTGCCCTTTCAAGTGACAGTCTGTCTGATTTCCCTCGCTCCCTCTTGCTGTGCGTGCGATTTGTTTCACTCGCCCTCTCCCCCCCACCCTCCAGGCATGCCGCACACGCAGTGGACATGCAAAATCAGCGCCAGCGTTTCCCCTTTCAAGTGGCAGCCTGTCCTATCAGCCTCCCCCCCTCCCCCTCTCACCATTTGTGTCCCCTCTTAACCCCCCCACTACCCTGTAACACCCTCCCTCCCACCCACCAGGCACACGGTAAACATCAAGAGTTGTTCAAGGCCAGCGACAGCTTCCCCTTCAAGTGGCAGTTGCCATATTGGCCTCTCCTTTTCTCTCCCCCCCCCCAGGCACGCCGTGCACGCAGCAGTCGTACAAGGTGAGCGACAGCTTCCCTTTCAAGTGGATGAACAAGAAGTGGAAGGAGGGCTTCTACCTCACCTCCATGGCCACCGCTTTCCAGCGACAGCTGGTCTGGCCCATCTGCAAGCAACCCTCCCACTCCCCTGTGCGCTGTCCCTCTCTATGTGTGTCTCTCTCTCTTCCCCCCCATCCTCCAGGCACGCCGTACACACAGCAGTCGTACAAGGTGAGCGACAGCTTCCCCTTCAAGTGGATCAACAAGAAGTGGAAGGAGGGCTTTTACGTTACTTCCATGGCCACGGCGGGCAGCAGATGGGGCGTTGTCATGTCAAGAAACGCAGGATTCACTGACCAGGTGCGTTAGTCAATGTTATGAACAATGCTCGTCAATGTTCTTTCATCCGTATGTGTTGTGCGGGATACTCCCCGCAGCAGATGGTGTGTCGTCATGTCGCGAAGCGTGGGGTTTACCCACGAGGTAAATAACATATGTTGTGTCGTGCAACTTCTGTATGTGTTCTGCTATTGTCTATGTCGATTCTCAACATTGATTCCAACGTCAATGTCAGTGGTCAAGAGGTGGGTGGGACATAACGTGTTGTGTCACTCCCCTTTGTTCCCCTCTACTCTCCCCCATCACCCTCCCATCTTCTCGTTGTAAGCAGGTGGTGGAGCTGGACTTTCTATACCCCAGCGAGGGCATTCACCGGCGGTGGGACATGGGGTATCGAATCACCGCCACCGCCGCCACGTGGGACCAAGCAGCCTTCCTGCTCTCCGTGCCAAGGAGACGGCCGGCTGATGAAACACAGGAGACTCTGCGAACGTCTGCTTTTCCCAGCACTCATGTCAAGGTGAGCACTCGTGTCAAGGTGAGCACTCATGTCAAGGTGAGCACTCGTGTCAAGGTGAGCACTCATGTCAAGGTGAGCACTCGTGTCAAGGTGAGCACTCGTGTCAAGGCACTCATGTCAAGGTGAGGACAAAAGTGCAGGTGAGCACACAAGTGCAGGGGAGTGCACATTTCAAGGCCTAGTGAGTTCTTCGCATCGTTCTCACATGCCCTTTTCTTCGACTGCTCTCCTGTTCGAACACCTTTCTGGTTTGGCATGTTGTGGCATGGCACTGTGCATGGCATGGCATGGCATGGTATTGTGTGTGGCATGGTGTGGGCATGGCATGGGGTGGCATGGTTTGTCTTATTTGCAGGAGAAGTGGGCCAAGAATCTGTACATTGCGTCTGTCAGTTACGGCCGCACTGTCTCCTAACCTTGCTGTCACTCACTCACCTCATTCACTCACCCAGTTGCTCACTCACTCACCTCTTATTTGCCAGCGCCCATGCGGTGCTGGGATGAGCCCTGCTCCAGAAAGAGCCTCTGCCATTGCTTGCCCCTGCTACTTGGTAGAAATCAAGCACCTCCCAGCAAGGATTGTCAGGGGTGCTTTCTTGCTTTCATGTACTACATGTTTTTTGCATTCCTTTCGGGCGTGTTCCTACAACCCCTTATCAAATGCGCCTCTTATCATGTCTATTAGTACTACCTGTGCTGCACTGAAGTGAACCTCGTGGAACCAACTCGCTTACCGTTTGCACTCCACACCATAATACAGCGCAAGTCTCGCGAGGGGCACTTCTGATAAGTGGGGGAACTAAGTGTTACAGGTGTTGAATATACCACTCTATAAACACATGGTTTACTTACTTCAATAAAAGGAGACTATTTCCTCAAGGTTTGCACCACTAAATGAAGAAAAGTGTATACAATATACGGGTGGATGGAGGTAGATAACCCAATAGACTTGGGTAAAAAAAGGAAAAACATGTCACCCGCAGGGCAGCTTACTGTGCCATGAGTGTATGCCAACACTTGGTGGCCATATGCCATCTACCATGCGCACTTTCGGTCCCTTTAGTTGGGTAACCAACTGGCTACACTCGAAGTGGCTGCATTGTAGGATGTAGCGGACCATGACAGTGGTGTCATCAAAGCTGCCTCCCTTTGCTGCCTCGCTTTGCTGCCTCGCTTTGCAGCGGTCTCCAACAGCAGCTTCGGACCAGGACCTCAGTTTCCAACACCAGCACGCTCGCAGGTCTCGTCAACCCAACCGACCATACGGCATCAGACCCTGAACTCAGATGACTTTTGAGTCGACTCAAAAGTCACATCGTCAACCCAACCGACCATGCGGCATCAGACCCTGAACTCAGATGACTTTTGAGTCGACTCAAAAGTCACATCGTCAACCCAACCGACCATGCGGCATCAGACCCTGAACTCTGCCAGCGATACCACCATGACACTCGTGTCCGCGGACCATGTGAGGACCAGCAGACGGCAAATCGCTTCAATCTTAACGGCCATGTCAGACCATGTAGTGCGCCAGTGATACGACCATGACACTCGTGTCATCATAGCTGCCTCGCTTCCCAGCAGCTTCCACCAATTTCTGACACGCCAGCAGCAGTGCGGATTTCACCGACTCTTCGGTTCCTAGCGCTTTCCCCTGCATGCCAGCAACACCCTCAGACTCACTCCCCTCACTCCCCTCGTCATTCCCCTCCTCACTCTCCTCATTCCCCGAGTCTTCACTACTGGAGGACACGTCAGATTCCTCGGTGGGAGAGCAGGCGGCAAGATCTGGGCCCTGGTTATCCCCTTCTTGGGCTGATTCGGTTACCTGCTTCAGAGTCGCAACAGAAGCAGAAAAGCTGCCCGAACGCTCTCGAGGCGTTTTTAGGACCAGTGGGTTGAGCTTGATGCTCTGATGGGCATCTGGGGACGGTGTTGTCAGACCATCATCAGACGCAGATTCTTTGCCGTCCGAGTTAAGGGAGTTGAGAGTGAGAGAGGAGTCGGTGGAGGTAGAGGAGAAGGAGGGGATGGTGGAGAGGGAGGAGAGGGAGGATGCACTGGTTTTGTGGGAGGGAGGGTTGTTGCGCTTGTATGCTCTGATCTCTGGTTCCAGGCACGACCGCGCGATGTCTACAGCCTCTTGATTGGTCACCTGGAAGCGAGAAAAAAAATGAGGATTCAGAAACGGGAGATGAGAATGATAAAATGTGGGAGGTTGCAGAAGATCTGGAAAGAAAATGCATTCTACTATCGGATAACAACCTTTTGAGTCTGGGCTGAAATGAAAGAGCGGGAGAAGGGAAAATGGCATTTATAGGAGCAGTGCACTCACCACATCCCAGAGGCCGTCGGACGCCATTATAAGGAAGTCGCAGTCTTTTGTAACGGGTACATGCACGACCTCTGGTTCCGGCGTGATGTACTCCTTATAGTTAGCATCGCCAAGGCCTCTTGTAACAGCCAGCACCCCCTGCACGCGCCATGTGCCCGTAAAATTGTCTACGTGACCTCCCAGATTCTCGATTCTGTCGCGCTCGTCTTCCCGCGATGCCTTGTGATCTGACGTCAGCACATTCGCCGCGCCCTTTCGGCACAACACGGCGCGGCAGTCGCCTGCGTGTGCCACGTGGAGTGAACCGGGAGCAGCCCAACACGTCACCACAGCCGCGCCGCTGCCCAGATTCTGCGGAGACACGTGGTGAGAGGAGATACACGGTGACGGATTGAGCAACAGGAGCGTCGGAATAATCCGGAGTAGAACAGAAGGGGAAAGTGTAACAACGCGGACTATCAGATCGCCAGGGAAAACAAAAACAAAAACAGAAACAGAAACGACAGGAGGACGACTTGAAAGGAAAAGTTGACGGCCATAAGATAGCAAGGTGGCCACGCTACCTGTTGCAAAAACTGTTTATCGGTCTCCTTAAAGCCCTCCACCATAGCTGCCTCCGCGCTCTCTGCGCCCTGCTGCGCCGCTTTCAACACGTTCCCCGCGATGTTGCCCGCCGCGAATCGCGCCGCCATGGTGCCGCCATGGCCGTCAAACACGCCGAAGAAGGCCTGGCGACGGGAAGGCCGAAAAATAATAATTAACGCGACATTGAGGGGTGGGACAAGGCAATCGAGAACAAGGCATGCCAGCATAGAGCGATAGGAGGGGACATACGGGGGAAATTTGACAGCATACGAGCCGACATGCGGTAGGACAAGGACATGCGGTGGGACATGCATCGGCGCGCAGCACGGATACTCACATTGCCGGGGGACGTGCCAAACTGGGGGATGGCTTGGTACGCGTCCTCCATGAACTCGCGCCGCCCTTTTTTGCACATCACGGCGTACGACGGCCCCACCGCGACGAGCTCGCTCGCCGCCTCCTCCGCCTCCCTCGCGCGCGTGCTTCCCGGCGTGTTACCCGGCGTATTTCCCGGCGTCGTTGTCGGGGACGCGGAGAAGGAATCCTTTGCGGGGATGTTGAGCATGGGCGGCCGTTTTCGCTTCAGTCGCGCGTTGTCGTCTCGCTTGCGTAACGGCGAGGCGACTTTTCGCGAAAAGAGTGACGAGCTGGGGCCCGCCTCCGACGAGCAGAGTCGCAAGCGACTGAACTCGCGTGACGTCGGTAGTCGCAACTTGGGGCTGATGATCTCTGGCTCGTCGCACGTGCGACTGGCGTTGCTGTTGTTGCGCGACAGACACGCGCTACTGCCCTGGCTCGAACGATCACACGGTGAGTCGCCAGCGCAGGCAGCGATTGCAGAGTCGCTGGCGAAAATCGCCGACGGCAATGCGACATCGCTCGTGTCCGAGAAAAGGCTGCGCGAACGCGGGCAGGGCCCGCGCGGAGTGTCGCAGACGGCTTGGAAAGCCGGGAACGATGGCGCGGATAGCTGGCTCAGGAGCACTGAGGACTTGCGGAACGCGTTCGAGCTGAGCGAGCGACTGGGCTGTGGCTCTCTCTGGAGGTCGGAACTCAACGAGCGTCGCTTATATTCCCTCATGGTGGGAGACTGTACGTGGCAGCAGTGGATATGGAAGGATGGCAGCCGTATTGCTGGTAAGCTAGGTCACGAGTGGTCTGGCGTTCTAGAGCGAGCTCTTAGCTATTGAAGGAACACGGGTGCGGACCAGGTCGATAAGGTACGATGATAGAAGGCCTTGCCAAGGAAAGAGGTTCCTAAGGTTATGCCCGAGAGCTGATGGGTGCACTAGCGGTACTAGAAACACAGTCGGCGGGAAATGCACGAGGAAAACTCGAGGTCGGCGAATTGAGCTGAGAGGCTGGAAAACGCGGTAGCGGAACGCGACGAGGTGAGAGTGTTTGACTGATGAGCCAAGGGACAAAATCACGAGTGTAACAAGCCCGAAATACCAGCAGCAGCAATTCGAGGTGCAGTGGGTGGGACAAGGAGCATGACAAATGGATGGACAAGAGACGCGCAGAGACCAGTATGAGCGCTGGTAAATGCGGGAGAAGAGTGCTGCCCAAAGTTGGGCGGGTCGGCTCGGTGAAGATACAGATGGTGGTGGAATGGATCGCGCATGGGGAAGCAGAAGGGAACGCAGTCCCCCATTAGCTCAGCAAACTTCAGATGCGTCCAGGTTTTGCCGCTGCAAACAAGTGGTTCGGGCTTGGTTTGGACTGGCCGGGCCAGGTTGGCTTTCGTGTTCGACGGGCTGAGGCAAACTTTTCCGCGAAGCTCTGTAATGCTTTATGGTAATAAATTATGCAAAATCCTTATCTCGTGCATGGGTCCCAGACGCAAGCTCAATGTTTCGAAACTCAACAACAGCGTGCTAATTTTTTGAACCGAATGAATATCCATAATTTGCGGAGATCACGCAACTCTTTGCATTTTGAGTGGCGCATGCCTTGGCCTGCACCACATGCCCGTGGCGCCAGAACACGACAGGCAGCAAATTTTCATCCTTCACCGTTCGTTTCCTAATCGACGGTACACATCTGTCCCGAATGAGCGCACATACTGACAGCTCCTACCTACCTCAACAGTGACAAATTTTTGCGACAGCTGTTTTCAGGCTGTTCTAACAGACGTGAAGGTGCAGCCAAAAAGTGCTTTCATCAAGGGACACGGTTTTGCTTGCACACCAGACAAGCACCAAACGCCTACTACACCAAGGACAGGCTAATCTATTGGTTTTACATATAGTTGAATTATCCCTGATTTGTTGACCACATGTGCCAATTATAACAATTTGAAATCTTTCTTCAATTCAAGACAAACTACTCCTCAGAAGCCCAATTATTGGGCATACAAGTGTATGCTATTTTGCCTAAAAGCCTCTCCTATAACTACACTAAACTACAATAGTCCAAACATAATTGATAAGTTTGGATTATAGCCTAGTCAGTAAGGCTTGTAGCCATCAAGGGAATGCTCATTGCCACTCCCTTCTCGGTAGTATGACTTGTACCATTGCACAAACTTTGACAACCCGGTTTCCAAGTCAGTCGTTGGCTGGTAGCTGGATGGCCATGACATGGGAAAGTGGGGGGAGTTTGTTGAACAAATTAAGAAAAAATAAAGAAACGAAAAAGAAAAAGAAAACACACACACACACACAAGCACCAAAGACAGGACTTGGCATATGATTGACAGAAAACAGGCAAGAGGGGGCTATTTGCTGACTAAACTCACTTGAATTCACGGGCAGCACGTGTGATATTGGCATGTGTGAACATGACGTCTCCAGTGCTCGGCATGGGAATAACCCTGTCATCAGAAGGATTAGGCAGCATCAGCAGGTTTAGCATCAATACCAAAAACCACATGGAACAATATACAGGAAGACCAAAACCAGGAGCAATGTTTAACGAATCACTTACTTGCGAATGGCCTTCACTTGCAGCTGGTTCTCCAGGATCCCAACAAACTCCCCGACCTTCACGGGCTGGGTATTTCCGAGGTTAAAAACGCGGAACTGCGCGCGGCGCTTCTTGCCCTTCCTCTTCTGCGCCTGCTGCGCGCCAATGCTCGGCTCCGCCGTGTCCAGCGCGCCGAGGCACCCCTTCACCACGTCGTCGATGTACGTGAAGTCACGGGCCAGCTCCTCGCCCTTGGGCCCGCGGAAGATCTTGATTGGCTGCGATTGGGGGGGGAGGGGGGGGGGGGGTGGGGGGGGGGGGGGGAAGGGGGCAAGGGGAATGGGAGAGGGGGGACAAGTGGGAAGGGATGTGTGGTAGGAGGGTCAGAGATGGAGCAAGTCAAACAGTGATTTCCAGCATTTCAGAAGACGCAGCAGAGGCGGGGCAGGAAAGAGTGCAAGTTTTTGTTAGGCTAAACATGCGGTTCTGTTACAACCAGGAGGTAACAGACTCACCTTGCCCGCCATGATGTTGCGCGCAAACGAGAAGTAGGCCATGTCCGGGCGGCCCCACGGGCCATACACCGTGAAGAACCGGAGCGCCGTGATCGAGAGCCCGTAGATGTGGTTGTACGTGTGGCCCAGCACCTCGTCCGCTTTCTGAGCGGGCAGCAACGAGAGAGCCAGAATTAGTACTTAAAGCGTTCAGGAGGCGAATGGGAGGTGAAGAAAAGTAGAGCGACTGGCAGAAGCCCGGCCCCCCCTGCTTAACCGGGAATTCCAACTTGATAGTTAATCACCTTAGTAGCGGCGTACAGACTCGCGGGGCGGTCCGTGCGGTCATCCTCCGAAAAGGGCACCTTCGAATTCAGCCCATACACACTGCTGGACGACGCGTAGACTATAGCGGGGGCAGGATCCACGCTCTATTGGGGACAAAGCGAGGGCAGGGGGAGCGACGGGAAAGGAAAAGGGGAAATGAGCTCGAGTCGTGCGAGTCGCGTGGTAGGGCCGGATTATGAAATTGATTCACGGGTGCGAGTTCTGACGAAATGTATGTTACCTTGGCCTGCTCGAGAAGCGTGACGAAGCCTGCGACGTTGCTGTGGACGTACGCGAGGGGGTTGACAACGGCGTAACGAACACCGGCCTGCGCCGCGAGCTGTAGCACATGCGTGAACTTGACGAGCTCGAAAAGTTTCGCCAGTAACACTGCGTCGTTAATGTCGCCATCGACGATGAACCTGTTCGCACGCGACCGAAAAACAAACTGGGGGAAGAGTGAGAGACACGCGTAACACTAGGATGCACAGAACAAACGAGTATCACAAAATCTGCAGCATTTACATACATATGAGCATTTCACACTAACTTACACTCCCTTGCTCTCGAGGCGTTGCTGCCGTGCGCGCTTCAGCGCCGGGGGATAATAGCTGTTGAAATTATCAATTCCCACCACACCATCGCCGCGTTCCTTTAGCGCGAGTGACGTGTGCGAGCCCACGAAGCCTGCTGCGCCCGTTACCAGCACAACCATTCCGCCAGCCCTCGGTGTTGCCGACAGAAGCACCTGGTGCTCCCACGCCGCGCTTCCCCACGTTGGAAGCTCCGCATCCAGCATCCCCGCCATTTGCGGCGGAGAGCGCGTCAAGATGCCGACGGCCCTGAAATTGTGAAGAACGGGCAGAAATGACGGAAAGAGACGGAAAGGACGGAACGGTAAGCGGAAAGTGCAATATGTCGCTTGTTTGCTGGCGCGCTTTGGTAACAATAGCCACGGAAACGACAACGGGTTTCAGAGAGGTTCCTTGCGACCGGTGGTCTTCAAACTCGTTGATCGGATCGCATGCATTGAAACGGCATAGCGTCTCCTGCGAGACGGCACATAAGTGTCGAGTCCGTTCCGTAGCGTTCCAGAACTGCCTGCCTGCGATCCACGAAGCTTACCTCTAAAACTAGAGTAGCCACCTCGACTCGGCTACTTCCTTTGGCGATTTAAAGCCTTGCGCATTGCGCATGAACGCGTAGCCTTGCGCATGAACGCGTAGCCTTGCGCATGAACGCGTAGCCTTGCGCATGAACGCGTAGCCTTGCGCATGAACGCGTAGCCTTGCGCATGAACGCGTAGCCTTGCGCATGAACGCGTAGCCTTGCGCATGAACGCGTAGCCTTGCGCATGAACGCGTAGCCTTGCGCATGAACGCGTAGCCTTGCGCATGAACGCGTAGCCTTGCGCATGAACGCGTAGCCTTGCGCATGAACGCGTAGCCTTGCGCATGAACGCGTAGCCTTGCGCATGAACGCGTAGCCTTGCGCATGAACGCGTAGCCTTGCGCATGAACGCGTAGCCTTGCGCATGAACGCGTAGCCTTGCGCATGAACGCGTAGCCTTGCGCATGAACGCGTAGCCTTGCGCATGAACGCGTAGCCTTGCGCATGAACGCGTAGCCTTGCGCATGAACGCGTAGCCTTGCGCATGAACGCCAGTTTCCTCTGCGGACCCTTTCTACCTCTGCACCTTCGACCATGACTCTCCCAATATCGTGGCGTGCAATTCGAAGAGACTTGGAGGCGTCCGCGGTTCGTGTCACGATGGCCGCGTGCGTCTGCGGTTCGAGGCGTCTCGGAAGCGTATTCGCACTCACATGACGAAGACGAACAGACTGAGACACGATGCCTGCAGCCATCCCATGGTCCGAGCGGATCGCTGCACGAACGAGTTGCTCCGAAGCTTCTCGAACTCGTCTCCGCTAGATCCGCCGCCCTTCAGCCCGCCGGCCGCCGGCAGCAGCTTCGCGAGAACCGGCGTTGGACTGCCCACCATGGCGCCGGGTTGAGTGCCCCCCCCACTACAGCGGCTACAGCTGCTGCAGCTGCTACAGCCGCTGCTAATACCTCCGCAGCTCTTGACCCGAGTGAGCGCCGATGCACTCTTAACCCTAGGCAGCGCCAGCGGCAAGACTGGCTAGGAACTAAGCAACTAAGAGGTGAGAGCTAAAAGGTAACTTGTCTCGTAGACCTGACACATTAGACTGATGGTGGCTGCAAAACAGATTACCTCGAAACCCTGGGTCGGGAATTGAGGCCAAAGAGGCTTATGGGATTGTTTCGATTATATGAACTGCTGTCGCTAAGCAAGGCGCTAACGAGGGGGGAGCAATCTGGGGGAAGCAAGGGTACGATGGGGGTACGAGGGTGCTAGCGCGCCCGTAGCCGATGAGCTGGGCAGTGCGGGAAATGAGGGGGAGGGTAAGGAGAACGTGTCAAACAGAAGGGTGTCCTGTCTTCGGGTTGGGGGAGATAAGTGGGCGGCATGAAAACCAAGGTGTTGGGTTGCTGTAAAGTGGGTGCCCGTTTACAGCAACCCAGTCGTTTCGTTAGTCGTGTGGGTTGCTCAAGCGGGCTGTGCTGGATGTTCCTGTGACGGGACAAATGGAAGCGACATGAACGCGACGCCGGTCGGGAATTGCAATGTTTGCGGGGCGAAAAGGCGGAGGGACGAGTCAAATTGATCAAAACGAAATTCGTCCGCCCGCGAAGAGGTGCGGCGCGCGGGCTGCCCTCGGTTGGCGAAGGCGGCACAAAGGCGAGGCGACTTGCGGTAAAAAATGTCCGTCAAAAATTTTGCTCGCAATTCGCGCCTTGTTGTCTTGAAAGACGCTCCGAAACCATCGGTAACTCCGTGATGAGGGCAATGGGTTTTCGAGCCACAGGCTGGAAAAGGAAAATGGGTTCCAGTGTTGTAGTCGCTTGCAGAACGGTTTTATGCATTATATTCTGGTTTCTTCTCTCGTTTGAGCGCCGAGCCTCTTTCAAACCATACACAAAGGGCACCGCGGCCTGAAGGTCGCACTCGAACGGACACCCCGAAGCATCCTCGACCATTGTCAGCCGTCCGCTAAGCGAGATTGACGAAACTGAGACGCTAATCTCATAGCGTGATTGGCGCTCACGTTTGGGAAATAGTGTTCTTGGTATGGACCACTTGAGGCTACAAGCTGGCTATCCTTTTGGATGCCGTGTCTATCGATCATTGGTATGCGCCTAGCGAGCTTGCCAGCAGCCGCAAGTAAATTACCGAACCTACTAGCTGTGAGAGACGTGAACCCTCAGGCTTGTCAACAAACCAAAACTCCAAGCGCCTTCGGGTTTCGTCGTGTGGCGAGAACGTGCCAGCCATGCCTGCCTGAAAGCAACTTCGTTCCAAGTGCTAATATAAATACAAACAAAAAACACTTCACAAAAGTGCGGGTTGATACATAAGCACACATCTTGTAAAGTTGAGCCATCGCTTCTTGGGGTCCTAGATGGTTCATTCATCCAGTCTTTCTTGTTTATGTCTCAATAATATACATTCCTTATTAATTTCAACCTGCTGTGTTATACCGTATCTGAAGCCCCTCTGGTTCGCTTCAACAATTTCCACAAGAGAAGAATACGACATATACGCAATAAGGTATACAACCATATCATGCTGATGCCATGTCCCATAAGCCGAACCATCTACTACATCCATAATTCATATTGTGAATTATAGGATTACGTGATTCTCACGTTTGGAATTCTCGTTGGATCAACTAAGTACTAATGATGTTCACATGGGTGTGATAGCCATACATAGTGCACTATAACAACAAGGTAGACACGTAACATTTTAACAGTGAACCGTAAGTCGGGCATGCGATCCATACTCGCTACTGTCTGTCAACTGAAGGTGGAATCGTCGCCTCACATTTTCGCCTTCGACACCCTGGCTTTCTGACACGCGCCAAATGACCCAAAGCCCGCCTTTCTTCCCTCCATTTCCCCCCTACCAGCACCAGGCGAATCCAGCAAAGAGTAGCTCTCCCAAGTGAAATCTGTCGAACAAGTACCGTACCGAACCGACTCTCGCGCTGCAGAACTGTAGAAGCACCACCGAGCAAGCAGTGCCAACTTTCTAGGTCCAACTTTTGAGTTACCTAAACCGTTCTTTTGTTTGAATGATTGCTTTAAAAACGCAGAGGAACGCACTGAACCGTAATACTAGAATTCTTCCAAGGTCTCTCTACAGGACCGAGGTTATGGAGGCCCCTTCCTTCAAGCTCCAACTAACCGCACGTAGTTGAAGCTCCCTGGCAAAACCAAGGTTGCCAAAAGCTGACGTCGTCCCTATTATACTGATTGCCATCGTTCTTTGTGAGCTGCTTCTGCGTCGCTGTCCAAACTCCCCCGCTTGATTAGCTCGTGGATAAGTGGATTAGTCACAACGCAGTGCGCTGTCGAGTAGTTGTCGCAGCCCTAGCCTTTTCAGCCGCTGTCTGTTAGTCCACGGCCTAGCTCCTGTCTCTGAGAAACTCTCGAAGTCGGGGATGTAAAGCATTAATAAGGCCGAGTCCCTGTTGTTGCTCTCCGACGTCATCTTCGCCTCACCTGGGAAAGCCAGTCGTTTCTTGCTCCAGCTAAACCGAATTCAACCTCAGAAGGCCTTCGTTTAATAATGGTACAGTACCACAGACCGGAGGCCTTGTCTTCTCCCGAATATTGTTGACATTTTATCTAGTTTATCGTTACTACAACTAACCATCATTACCTTCATCGCACTTGCCCTATCCTCCAGGCTGTGGTTCTTCCAGTAGGATCCAATGAGAATCTGCCACTTAAGGTGGTTCGGGTGATAGTTAAGGAGCTTCGCTCGCTCCAGGATTCGCCTCCAGAAGGCATACGCGTGCTCCTGAACGATGACAACATCTCAACCGTCCATGCGGAAATCGAGGGACCAGGTAACATGCAAATTCTAGGCCTAAGGGGTGACTCTGTTCTTGAGGGTTCGCCTTGATGATTTAGACTGTTCGGTCATAGCCCTATGAGCGTAACGCGTATCAGAATGACACGGATTTTGGATTCCCCACTCTGGCATACATGACTCCTCCTTTCCTGTTCTTTCTGTTTCACCCGCAGTCGGTACACCTTATGAAGGCGGAGCTTTCCGCATGAAGTTGGTCTTGGGTCCGGAATTCCCAAACGCTCCGCCGAAGGGCTTCTTTGTGACTCGGATATTCCACCCGAACGTGGCTAAAAACGGCGAGATATGCGTCAACATTCTGAAGAAGGACTGGAAGCCATGCCTCGGCTTGCGCCACGTGCTCCTTGTAAGCTCTACCCACTCGCTCAAAGACTACTTGGGTGTACGATTTTGTTTTCGTACTTCTTAAGAATCATGCACAAGCATTCGAATGTCACTGCGCTGATTCTGGAACTGTTCGTGCAGGTTGTTCGCTGCCTGCTGATTGAGCCTTATCCCGAGTCAGCTCTCAACGAGGATGCAGGCAAGCTGCTGCTGGAAGACTATGAAGCCTACGCCAAGCACGCGCGCCTTTTCACCTCCATCCACGCCCCAGCAGCAGCAGCAGCAGCCACTGGTGTCAGCATGAGCCGGTCCAAGTCCATGCCCCAGCATACAGGTACTCAACAAAGTCAACCAGGTCAACAGGGTCAGCCAGGTCAACCGGGTCAACAGCCTTCCTGCAATCAGCACATCCTTCGCCAGAGTGTCTCTGCCTCTGACCACCTCACCGGGGCTGCTGCCGCTGCTGCCGCCGCCGCTGCTGTTGCTGCAGAAGTAGCAGATTCTGCCGCTGCTGCCGTCTGCGTGTCTCCCTCGGGCCTTGTGGCTGGTGGCACTGGTGGGAGTGCGCCGCTTGCTCCCAACCGCTCCATCGCCAATGCTGAGGTGCAGAGGGAGGAGGGGGGGGGTGGGGCAGCCGCAGGGTCGAGTGGGGGGCTGTGCAGTGGCGGAAGCAAGGGGGAGAATGGGGCGAGAGTTGGGCATGAGAAAAAGAAGGTGGATGCGAGGAAGAAGAGTCTTCGGAGACTGTAGGGACAGGAGAAAGGAACAAAGCCCAACCTTTTTGGCGATTAAGAGCTTTCAGGAACAGAAGTGGGAGATATGGGCAAGTCAGAGCTTTGCTGACATGGTTCTGTTCCTTACAGTCTTTTCACGTATTCACCCACACAGCCACAATTCCGGTTTCTACTTTCCGTGGTAGACACAGAAGTTCCTTGACAATGCAAGAGACGATTTGCAAACGTACAGTATCATGATACACTTAAGAACGGGCAAACTCTGGCCCAACCTGCTGGCAGAGCTACTTCACTTCAGTCATCAGATTTACCAAGGCATTTTCAGAGATTTAATCATAATAAATACAGTTGCAAGAGAACTGAGTCAACCCTCACAAGATAGATGTTACGCTGCTGCTGCAAAAGCAGGTATCTCAGGTTGCAGGACACCCACCCAAAAAACATTACAGGCACTACACCAGCCTAAATAACACGGTGGCGAGTTGCCATGCCATGACACAAGCAGCGAAGGCCGTAAATAAGTTATCTACGTGTCAGTCGGTCACAACTCATTTACCGTATCCGAGTTGTGGGATATTTGACCGAGTGCTGTTCTCTCCCACCCTAGACTCCTCCCATGTTACTCTCCTTTCAACCGCCTCCCACGACTCCTACCCCACACCAAGTCGCGCACCCCAAACCGTGCAGCCCCCAAGTGGAACAAAACCCTCCTGCTCACCTCTCCCCCCAACTTCCTCCAACCCCCCTTCCCTTGCTCCACACTCCCCTCTCCCTTCTCCTCACTTCCCCCTTCACTTGCTTCCTCCACTGGAATCCACCACTTCACTGCCCCCCCATCACCTGCAACACAATCTCCACCCTTGTTTGAGAGCGGGCTGTCAGCACAAGGAGCATCCGCCTCTCTGCTGGGGCTGCTGTTGCTGCTGCAGCCACTGCCACAAAGGCTGCTAGACATGGGGGTGCTTAAGTCTGTAGCATCCACGGCAGAAGCAGCAGCAGCAAGATGAGCAGGAGCAGCAGCAGAAACAGAATCACCGTCACTGGCTGCAGCATCAGCAGGAAGGACGACAGCAGCAGAGTCAAAAGTAGATGCGCCACTGCTCTCAGCAAAGGCAGGAACAGCAGCCAGAGCAGCAGCAGCGTCATCCTTGTGCAGCAGCAGCAAGCCCTGCACCGAAGCCGGACTCACCGCCCGCTCCCGAAACACCGACGCAAACCGGTCAGCATCTGCCGAGGGCGAATCCGGAAAGAAGCGCAGAAAGAGCCGCGCGATCTGGCTCCGGGTGGCACGGTCCAGAAGCAGGCGGTAGTCGATTCGGCCCGGGCGAATGAGCGCGGGGTCGAGGCGCTCGATGTGGTTGGTGGTCATGATGAGGATGCGCTTCTCCTGCGCCCCGATGCCGTCGATGGCGTTCAGCAGCCCCGAGAAGGACAGGCTGTCGGAGCAGTTGCCGTCGGCTTTGGAGCGGTCTGCGGTGAAGGCGGCGTCGATGTCCTCCAGGACCACCAGGTTGCGCTGCTCGCAGTTGGCCATGGCCGTGTGCAGCTGTAGTGGAGGGGGGTATGGGAAGGGGACACAGTGAGAAGAGGAGGAATGTGCAGGGGACACAGGGGTCTGCAGTGAAAGCGACATCGATATCTTGGAGGACCACCAGGTTGCGCTGGTCGCAGGCGGTCACAGCTGTGAGCAACTGCACGAAAGAAGGGATGCATGCAAAGGGATGGGCGGCAGAACCACAGAAACAACCAGAAAGGTGCCAGACGGGGATGCCATGGTTAACGGATTCAAAACAGATTCTGCCAGCATCCACTTACCGAGTCATCGCTCATGCCAGAGGAGGAGAGGCTGATGACTGACACGCCCAGCCCCAGCTCCCCCGTCATGGCCTGAATCAGCGAGGTCTTGCCGCACCCGGGCGGCCCGTGGAACAAATACCCCCTCCTGTGGGGAATCCCGCGGTCCGAGTACCACTTGGCGGCTGCAAGGAACCCCCGCGCATCTTCCAGCAGTGCTGGACGTGTCGCAATCCAGGACCACGCTGGACATCGGACGGACCTGCTTGTTCCCCAACCACCGCCAGCAGAACTGCTTGCAATTCCACCGGTGGACGGTTGTGATTTGCTCTCCCTGCTGCTTTGCCATGGCTGCATCTGTAGCGGCTTGTAGTACCGCCTGTAGCACGGCTTTGCTGGGAGCTTCTATCACCAGCTCTTCCCGACCCATTGACCGGATCAGCTCGGAAAATTCCGCCTGGCTATCTAGCTGCCCGGGGCTGTTTTTCATCTGGAAGAAAACTTTTGAGCCCTGGAAGGTGATTTGCTGGGCAGCTTTAAGCTGGGGCAGGAATTTGAGCTCAGGCTTGTCCAGATTCGAGCCCGTTTCGTCGTCGTCCGGCCAGTTCAGCTGTAGGGTAAACTCTGACAGCTTTAATTTCTCGTGAGACTCTAGCCACTCCTCCAGCCACTGAAACGCCTCGTTTTCCGGGGAGATGCTGACAGACACGTTCTCCCGTCGCATTAGGAGGCTCCATAGAACCTCCCAGTAGTTCATTAAAGTCCGGCTGATGAACCCAATCGCGACGAGCCACAAGCTGCCCGCGAAAAAATCGTTCTGCAGATACTGACGAAGAATGCCGTCCAGAAGAGGCGACGCGGCGCCGACGAGGGTAGTGGCGAAAGGGTGGAGAGGGGAGGCCGGCGAGAGCGTGGCATTGATGACGGTCTGCGCCAGGAAAAATGCCGGCCGGTTGTGCAGACGGATAGCCGTCAGGTTGAACACGGAGGTGGCATTGAGGCCCGAGAAATCCGAGCCGTTGAACGACGGATCGAGCGGTGCAGGAGCGACGGGCAGCTGGCCACCGAAAGCGCCGGGCTGAACTGGAAGGTTAAGCACCACCGAAGCAAGCAGATCCATCATGGTTCTGCTCGCTTCGGCGGTGAGCAGCTTCGATTCGTAGTGTTCAGCAGACTAGGCGAGGGTGAGAGCTATATTCGGAAGGCAATGCAGCCAGTGCTGCACCGAGCAGCACTGACCACCACCGACCAGAACCGAGCGGTCACCCGCAGCTACTCGCTGCTACAAACGAATGCCCTAGTGTTTCCCGATGTAGGACACTACTATCGTAGATATCGATCAAGCATCTTGCATGTGCCAGATGTAAGATCGCAGGTGCTGACTGAGACTGCTGCCACGTGGTGATCGCCATGCTCCTCTCTCTAACTTTTTAGATCCTCTGATCACCCCAGACGAGTCGTCGGTAACCGGAAGGAAATGCCGTGATGGATGAACGGAGGGAGGAGCACGGCAAGAGACTAGCGTTTCACGCAAACCTACACGCGACTCGAGGGATCTAGGCGAAGGCGTAAACAAGAAGGAAAGCCATGGTGGAACAAGGAGCAGAGCGAAAAACGGGAAATCTCAAGAGGCCTTGGAAAATGACCGTGGGAGCTCTAGCATCACCATGACCATAGGCCGTCTCGCTTCTGGAAATTCTAAGCTTCTCACCCATGCGACAATCCCAATGCCATAGGAGAGAGTCTGTTCCTTTTCGCGGTTGGATTCGGTGGGAGAGGTTTCTGCTAGGTTGAGATTAAATCAGTCACATGGGAGGGTGAGTGAAGCCAGTGTGGGCGGGGGGGGGGGGGAGACGCGGGGAGAGGGGTATTCTGGGAGTTGGTGTGCGGATGCGGAAAGCCGGATTTGCGGAAGAGGCGTGTTGGTTGGGCAGACGGCGTGGCGGGTTTTGGGTTTTGCGCAACGGGCTCGCGTGAAGCTGAAGCCATCGCCGCCCAGGATTGCATGAGGGACTTGCTGAGCTGGTTACCAGCATGACTAGAATGCGAGAGGCGACAGTGACGACGTTTGCCCCTGAAAATTTATGCGACTTGATTCTGAATTCGAGTCCCAAAGCGAAAGTTATAAATGTTACCCGCGCGACCAGCAGGATGTGTGGTGAGCGGCGAAGCGCAGATTGAACCACAGCCTCGAAATCTTCGTTGAGCCAGCCCTCTTTTTCGAATGGCGCAATTTAAATTATTACCACGCTAACTTTTGTGAACTATGTACAGTGATGGATTTGTACAAATCTAGCAACAAAGACCATGATTCGGTATTGGACCCTCGGTCGGTGGAGTCATGGGGTGATACGGGGGGTTTGCGTGGCTCAGCCTCGCTCAGCAGGACGGCCGCTCAAACATGCCTCAAACGCTGTCAGGTGTGTTAGTCACACTGGACAACATGCCTCGGACTTGATACCCATGTCATTCTAATCTCAATGCCTTCCAATATTATCCAGAGTGCGCCCTAGAGATATGCAATTAGCTATATTATACATGCTTGACATAACCAATAGTGAGCGGAAGTTCATGGCTGCCAGAAAAGCAGGCTTCCTAATTTACAGGACACCTGGCCAAATACAGCAACATGGGCCACATGCCAACCTTGGGTTGGGAGCATTGCGAACTGCCATAGGCCAGTGACCAATGTCGAGAAGAAAATTGAACAAGTGTTGTTGATAGAGAGAGAGAACAAGGGTATATACCTAAGAGTGTTGTACCCTCTAAGAGGTGACCCTATACAGTCTATACAAATATGAGTTATACATATATTTGACACACCCCCTAGACTGCACAGGGGCAAATCCTGAACAATCAGCTCAGGGCGGCACTACTAGTCCAGCCACTGAGACAAGGGTCTAAAGACCAGTCAAAAAAGGAGTACAGGCAAGACACGAACAAAACAAGGCGGCACTACTAGTCTAGCCACTGGGGACAGACACAAGTCCAGTCTGAGTACATATATAGATATATATAGGACAGTACAAAGTCAAGGTCCTAGCAAGTGAGAGGCTACATGAACTAGACCGAGCTGTACACAGTGCCGCTGATGATCTTTAGGCGCAAGCGCCTTCGTAAAGATATCAGCTGTGTTGGCACCAGAGGCCAAGTGAACTACACGGGCCTGGCGGCGCTGCTGTAGCTCGCGCAGGAGGAAGTACCGCAGCTGGATGTGCTTCGCTCTGCCCTCAAGTCGAGGCTCCTGACACAGGAGTATCATGGCCCTGTTGTCAGCGTACACGACCGGGGCAGAGCTAGGCCGCTCACCGGCGGTCTGTGAGCTAAGTCTGTGAGCAAGAAGGTCAGCCAGCGGAGCTCCTGTGCCGCCATGGCACCAGCGTAGATCTCAGCCTCACAGCTGGACTGAGCAACAGACGACGAGCGAGTGGATCTCCAGGGGATAGCACCCGAGCCAAGGCTAAAAAAATGGCCTTGTGACGACCTGAGCGTCTTAGAATCGTCGGCCCAAGAAGCGTATGTGTGCCCAATGAGGACCACTGGCCTGCGTCCTCCTAACACTAACCCCATGCCTGATGTACTTGCTAGATATCGCAAAACCCTCTTAGCGGCCGACCAGTGCTGTGGTCGGTGTCTGCCAGTGGCCACAAAGCGAGCCAGGATGCTGAGAGGGTATGCGAGATAAGGGCGAGTGCAGGTCATCAGGTATATGAGGCAACCCACCAGCTCTGCGTATAGGCCGCTGGGCTCTACTGACTCCTCAGGAACTGGAGCGGAAAGCCCGTGGTCTACAGGTAGAGGTGTGGGCTGTGGAGAGGAGAACTAAAGACCGAACCTCAGAAGGACCTTACGCACCAAGTGTGACTGGGTCAAAGTGATGGTGCATGCTGCTCTGTCCCTAGAGATCTGCTGGCCAAGATAGCGACGCAACTCTCCAAGGTCAGTGCAGGTGTGTCTCTTCAGCAGCTCAGTCTTCACAGAGGCCAGTGCGTCCCTGTCAGGAGTAGCGAAGACCAGGTCGTCTACGTAGACAAGGATGTAGAACGGAGTCTGGCCGGAACGCACAAACACAAAAGGGTCAGCAGAGGACGGAAAGAACTGCAGGTCAGCAAGCGTAGCACGGAGAGTGTCGTGCCACTCGCGGGGAGCCTGACGCAGGCCGTAGACCGGGCGCTTGAGAAGCCACTGGGTCCCAGGAGGGAAGATACCAATGAAGCCCTGTGGTCGGCGCAGGTAAACCTGCTCGTGTAGGCTGCCCTGAAGAAAGGCAGTAGAGAAGTCGAGGGAGTGAAGCTCGTAGTCGCGCTGTGCTGCTACGTGTAGCAGCGCCCGAAGAGTGGTCATCTTCGGGGTCGGGGCAAAGGTCTGGAAGAAGTCAACCCCCTCGCGCTGACTGAAACCTCTGGCCACGTAGCGCGCCTTGAAGACAGGGGGCTCTCCGGGGGGGCGCTTCACCTTGAAGAGCCAGCGACCATCGACTACGTTCACCCCAGGCGGGGGAACTCCGTCGACGTAAGCGCCGGTGGACTTCCAAGATGTCATCTCCTGCTCCATGACAGCTATCCACTGAAAGGCCCAAGGTCCCGAGATGGCCTCAGCGTAGGTGCGAGGGGTCGGGATGTCGAAGGCGTCTGGGTCAGCCTCAGGGACTAACAGCATGGAGCAGAGATGGGGAGCAGCCTCGGAAAGGAAAGCAAGCTTGGACTGCCTGTCCTCTAGGACGTCACTGGCAAGGGCAGGAGCACCCCCGACGGACAGAGGACAGGCAGGGTCAGAGACCAGAGCGGTAGCGTAGTCAAGGCGGCGGGTAGAGGTGAAGTCAGCGACAGCAGCGACAAGCACGTCAAGGCGCGAGACAGGAACAGAAGGGTCGGTAACAAGAGAGGCAAGGACCCGAGGGACAAGGGGACGAGCAGCACGGAGGTAGGCAGACAACGGAGGAGGTGCAACAGCAAGTGACGACGGAGGAGGGGACGGGAGGAGGGGAGGACGAGACGAGTGGGAACGGAGCAACATAGGGTGAGAGCGCAGGACAGGAGAGACGGGGCGAGCACGTGAGGGACGGCGAGACCAAACGTGAGACGGAGGTGTAGGGTCAAGGGACAGCGGAGGAGACACAGGAGGGGCACGAGGAGAAAGACGGGCTGGAGACGCGTCTGGCGGCGGGAACACTGGACTGTAGACAGGAAGGTCAGCAGGCGGTGTGGGAGACACCGTCGCGCGGTCCGGGGAGGGAAGGCCGAGCAGGCGGAGAGCGGAGACCGGCGGTGACGGCTGCGGCGGCGGCGACGACGGCTGGGCCGAAACTTTCGGACCAAGAGAGGCATTACGACCGGCGGCAGGACACTCAACAGTAGCACCCCCAGAACCAACACCCCCAGAGCGAGAACCCTCTCCAACACCAGCGGCACCACCAGAAGCCGCCAGACGAACACCCTCCTCCACACCAGCACCTCCAGGGGCCAAGAGCGGCAGCGGCAGTGGCGGCGACGACTGCGGCGGCGACGGCTGCAGCGGCGTCGGTGACTGCGACAGTGGGGGCAGAGGCACCGGGGAAGGGGACGCGGCAAGGACAGACTAGGGGAACCACCAGAGTTAGCAGACTCCTCAACGGGGACAACCGACGGGAGGGGAGTAACGTGAGAGACACCCGACGGGGCAGGACGAGGCGGGAGAGGAGCAGGGGCTACCGGGGGAGAGGGAGCGAGGAACAGGGGCGGGGCAACTGGGAGACCTCGGTAGGGGAAGCGGCGGTAGAAGGAGACAGACTCGTCAAAGGTGACGTCACGAGAGTGGAGGAAGCAGTGAGACGGCAGGTGGTAGAAAAGCCAGTCAGACGAGTCCAGGGGAAAACCGAGGAAGACACAGGGGACAGTGCGGGCAGTGAGCTTGTCCGTGCCAGAGGCATGAACGTGAGCAAGACAGCCCCAGACGTGGAACGCAGACGCGTCACCGGGAGACCCGGTCCAAAGGAGGGTCGGCGAAATCTGCGGCCGCTGGGAGCGTGGCCACAGGTTAAGCTGGTGAGCAGCGTAGCGAACAGCGAACGGCCACAGAAAATGGGGGGCATCGGCATGGATCATGGAGGTACGGGCGACCTCCATGACCAAGACGATGCGGCGCTCAGCAACCCCATTCTGCTGTGGCGAGTCCGGCAAGGTGTACGACTGGGTGATGCCCTCCGCACGACATAACTGTCCAAGCCGACCAGAGGCAAACTCGCCGCCACGGTCAGAGTGGAGACACAACACGGGGAGACCGCGGTGGAGACGCGCAGCCACAACCCACGGGAGAAGAACGTCGGGCACGTCGGCCTTCCGCTCCAGGGGAAACACTGTGGTGTAGCGCGTGTAGTCGTCGACGAGCACAAGAAAGTAGCGCTCACCGAGCGGGCCGGGGACGGGGGCAGGGCCCCAAACGTCCAGGTGCAGGGTCTGAAGGGGGGCAGTAGCCGGGCGCAGTGAGGAGGAGTGTGGGGCACGGCGGAGCCGGCCCTCGACGCAAGGCGTGCACGGTGGCGCAGTCGAGGGAGGAAGGGCGGGGAGCGACGTAGGGAGACCTAAGACAAGTCCGTGTTGGGACATGTGACGCAGACGAGGGAGAGCAGGGTGACCTAAGCAGTGGTGCCAGAGAAGGGACGGGTGAGTGAGGGAACGACACGAGCAAGCTGTAGCAACCTGGGAGGACGCACCAACCGGAGAGGAAGCGGTGTCTAGGGTAAACAGACCGGACACCGGGTCCCGGGGGAACGTCGCAAGGGGGGAACCTGAGACAGCCTCAGAACAGACAGTGAATCGCTCGTGCCCGGGGAACGTGGTGGTGACGCCGAGGTCCTGGAGACAGCCGACACCAACCAGGTTCCTCGAGAACGAGGGAACATGGAGGCCTGTAAGGGAGCCCGAGGGAACTGCTGGACAGGGAAGGGACGTAGAATTGCGAGCGACGACAGGACCCGTAGAGGGGTAAGCGAGAGAGACGACAGCTGGCGTAGCAAGCGGCGTGAGCGCGGAACGGTCGCGGAAGAAGCAGGCAGAAGCACCAGAGTCGAGAGTGAAGGACAGCGCCGCAGTGGCGTGGCTTAGACAAGCTAGGCAGTCCTACGCCTGACGCAGCACGGGAAGCTAGGCTACACAGCGGTGCAACACCTAAACTAGAGAACACAGGGTAATAAGATCCAGCAACACTAGCAGCGTCAGAATACAAAGCATGCAAAGCAGCACCTATCTGATCCATGTCTAACTCAAAGATCGGCACGCCCTGGCGGAGCAGGCTGTGCCAGTCAGGGAGGTCCGGGGCCGGGCCAAAGCGACGACGAAAGAGATCGTCGAGGCGGCGGAAACAGCGGGCAGTCGGGTGCGGGCGGCGGCACAGAGTGCCGCGAAGGGGCCCGGTCTGAAGCTGGTACTGACAGGTGACAGCACCGGAGCCGCTGGTAGACGCCAAGCTGCGCGGGCCGCCACCACGCCACCACCTCCTGAGGTGCCGGGCCAACCAGGCGGGAGGCGAGCCCACTGCTGCGGCGGCTGCGGCTGGGACGGCGGCTGCTGCTGGGACGGCGGCTGCGGCGGGCTGCTCCTGCTGCGGCTGGGGCTGCTGCTCCTGACCACCAAGCTAGTCCCCCAGACGGACTACTCTCACGACCACCAACACCACTACCTGCGCCACCACCCCTACCACCCTGGCGACCACGGCCACGCGGCGCGAGCGCTGCTGCGGGTGGACCGCAGCAGCCGTCTCAGTGAGGGGGTGCCGTGGCGACCGCAGCCGAAACGTCAGTGAACGTGCACTGGGAGGGGGCACAGCCGTGAAAGATAGAGACTGCCGGCGCACCGCTCGACTGAGCGATAGTGCGCTGGCGAGTCTCGATCTCGGTGAGGGTGTCGACAAAGGCAGTGAGAGTGAGGTCAGCCGGGTGCAGGCTAAGGAAGTGATCGCGAGCACTAGCGAGGCGGTCTGGCAGGCGCATGGCGATAAAATAGAGCGTCATGCAGAAAGGGGGGGGAGCGCAGTGAGCTGGGCAGCAGTGCTGGCAGTGCGATAGCGGGTCTCTAGGGCACGCAGGTGAGTGGCAAAGTCTGCGACGGTAGGGAAAGCTGCAAGGTCTGGGAAAAGCATAGGGAAGAGCAGGCGACCAGCAGAAGCAGACGCGGGTGTGGAATAGCGGGCAATAACAGCGTCTAAGTAAGCTTTGGCCGTCTCAATAGTAGCAAAACGCGAGCGCTCAGAGACAGGGAGGGCGTGGCTAATGGCAACCTGAGCGACTGCATCGCGGGAGTCCCAGACCGCACGGGCAAGCGCAGCAGTAGAGAAGGTCTCACGGTCATCAGAGGAGGGATCAGCAGGGAGGGGAGCAGGGTGGGGGGGCGGGGGAGCAAGCCGTCGACATGGACAACCAAAGAGTGGCCATCCTGCGCTGACCTGTAAGGTGGCGGCGGAGATCGGAGAGCCAGGCGGCGAAGTCAACCGCATGGCCCTCGGCGTCCAGTCGGAGCACGAAGTCCGCCATCGTGCAGGGTCAGCGGCACAGCTCCACAGGAACACAGCGACAGCCCCTCCAGCACGGCGGCCGCGAAGCGCCTCAGCACGGGCGAGCAGAGGAGACGGAGCCCGAGGCGGCAGGCAGGACGAGCGGGCGAGGCCAGGCAGGGCGGGGCGGCAGGGCAGGCGCGGCGGGCGGCGGGCAGGAGGCGGCAGGGCGAGGCAGGCGCGGCGGGCCAGGAGGCGGGGGGCCAGGCAGGCGCGGCGGGGCCAGGCAGGCGCGGCGGGGCCAGGCAGGCGCGGCGGGGCCAGGCAGGGCGGCGGGGCCAGGCAGGCGCGGGGCCAGGAGGCGCGCAGGGCCAGGCAGGCGCGCGGGGCCAGGAGGCGGCAGGGCAGGCAGGCGCGGCAGGGCCAGGCAGGCCGGCGGGGCCAGGCAGGCGCGGGGCAGGAGGCACGAGGGGCCAGGAGGGGCGCGACGGGCAGGAGCGCGCAGGGGCCAGGAGGGCGCGACGGGCAGGAGGCCACGGGGCCAGGAGGCACGGGGCCAGGAGGGGCACGACGGGCAGGGGCGCGGCAGGGGCCAGGAGGGGCGCGACAGGCAGGAGGCGCGAGGGCCAGGAGGGGCGACGGGCTAGGAGGCGTGAAGGGCCAGGAGGGCGCGACAGGGCCTAGGAGGGCGGCAGGGGCCCAGGAGGGGCGCGACGGGGCCTAGGTGGGGGCGGCGCGACGGGGCCTAGGTGTACGCGCGACGGGGCTTAGGAGGCACGGGCGGAAGCGGTAGGTGGGGGGGGGGGGGGTCGAACCTACGGGTGATACCATGTCGAGAAGAAAATTGAACAAGTGTTGTTGATAGAGAGAGAGAACAAGGGTATATACCTAAGAGTGTTGTACCCTCTAAGAGGTGACCCTATACAGTTTATACAAATATGAGTTATACATATATTTGACAACCAAGGCCTAATTTTGGATTTTTACTACTCTGATATTGGGGAGTGGCATTTCGCATTACTCTGAAAATCAGAGTGCATCCTCACAGTTTCTCTGATTTGCCAGGGTTTTTTTCCATTTTGAAAAATTTACACTGATAGTGCAGAGGGGAAATTTCCACAACTCTGTGCTACTGGTGTGCACCCTGACAAAGGTTTGTGATAGACGTACGCTTCATTTCAAACACATACATACATTAGTCACCATGCTCATCCGCGTCTCCCTCTGAGGCACTCTCACAAGAGCCACTGTCCTCCTCTGACTCATCGGACTCATCATGCTCCTTGCCCTTGGCAGCATTGCTGCTCCTCTCATAAGCCACTACTTTTGCCTGTCTGCGGTTCTTCTGGCGTCTCCAGATCTCCACGATCTCAGGGTATTCCATGTCGTACTCCAGGAGGATAATGGTCATCAGGTCGCTGAGTCTTGCATCACACACGCTCGTCCTCAGCCAGCTGTTGACGGCGTTCTGCCTGCTGAAACCGCGCTCGCACTCGACGGTGCTCAAGGGCAGAACCGCCATCGCTTGCCAGATCCTCATGAGATTCGGATAGCTCTTGGCCCAATCCCTCGTCTTGAGCATGTTGGCGAGGCCTTGGCCGAAGTCGTCATCAACACGGTGCGTCTTCATGATGTGACAGAAAGTCTTTAACTCCAGCTCAGCTGCTCGACCATCCACTCCTGTGGAAGCGCTCGGGCGGGATTCGAGACATGGAAAGCGAAAACATCGATTAAGAACCATGATGGTGTTGCCACCGTTTTATAAAACATGGATACTTGTATCTTCATATAGCGAGACGACATTGTGAGTGCTTGGGATACGTGCATGGAGGGTTCGAAAACATACATACCAGGTAGCTTGTTGTCAAACAGCTCCAGGTTCGACTTGACCCAAGTGCGCGCTCTTGGCGGACTTCCTGCTTCCCGGACTTCCTGCTTCTTCGGCATGTGTCCACCTTGTACAGCTTCGATCCGGCCATCCGCTTCAATCCCACACTCTCTGGTTCCGGTTCTGCACGGTGTTTCAGCGAAGGCAGTGCACAGCGTGATGCCAGGCCGCCTTGGTGCCACCGTACTTGTGACCGGGCAGGGCGCCCGTCGGTCTATCCCCGCGCCGTGCACCACACCTTGCCTCCATTCTTGTCATAGCTCTGCAGAAACTTGCTGAGCCGCTTGCTCAGCCCGCGCCGAAGGTCTCGCCATACTCCACGTAGCGATGCTTGATGTACGTGACAGTGCGGTCGACTCCTACGAGACAAGGTGATGTCGACCTGATGTGAGGGCGGGGTAATAAAAGCAGGGGAAGATGCGAAGCAGATAAGTTATTGTCGAAATTGAAGAAAGTCCACAATCCAGCACATGACAACAGGCCACCGGCGACATGAAACACAGGACCACGGGATAAAGGATAAAAACATACCGACCGTTCTGGAAAACATGTCGAGCGTGTTGAGCTCAGCGAGGATGTCAGCCAAAAGTATAGACAGAAGTGGAACTTGAGCGTTTTGACCACTGGAACCAGCTTGTGGTTGTACTCGATGAGCACAGCGATTACAGCGCCGAGGATCCTGCAGAGTCATTTTACGGCAACGGACTCAAAACGTCGGGGCTGCAAGGGGAAGACAAGTGTGGCTCGACCTGCATGAACTCACCGATGTGCATACAGTGGCAGCCAACGAGATGCGGAATGCGCACCCGAAGACGCGCTACCAGACCGTTGTGCTCTCCTGTCATGACAGACGCCCCATCCGTGCTGATGCCGCCACCTTGTGAAGTTCGATGGCGCAAGAGTCTAGGTGCCTGAGTAATGCCGTCTGCAGAGCTGCTGCGTCGCACTTGTCGAGAGTAAGCAGCGTCAGGAACTCTGTAATGACTCGCCGCTTCTTCAGGAACGTCGCAAAGACGATGAGGTGTTTGCTATGGGTTCTGTCAGTTGACTCGTCGCAGCTCTATCCGATGAAGGGTGATGCGTGGATGTGCTGCATCTGCTGTGCTTTCAAGTACGCCACCATTGCGCGCACCATTTCCTTGCAGCCATATCTGCACTTGGAAGGGCATGGATAAGCCGGAATTAACTCGATGATTGATACGACAGCGGAGCAGTCACAATTTCACCAAGAAGAGTACCGAAAATCATGAGCCACCCCGGTACTTACTGCATGATGTAGACGCCATAAGTCTACTTCGGAATGTCCTTAACACCCTCCTCTGCCATGAACCCGACGAGCCGCATGAACATGGCGATCGGGGCATCCTCCTTGTATATGAACAGCATAGTTTGAAGTAGACGAATGATCCTCGCGCCGTCAGGGTCGTGCTTCCCGAAGTCCTCCATTTTCTTCTGATTCTCGACCTCCTTCAGGTCTCTTGCTTCTTGACGGCGTTCTCGTGCCTTGTGCTCTCCTCATGCCTACGCATCGAGCCAATCTGGAGATCCCGTCCACCAGCACCGTTGCGCCCGTATCGTGCGTGGTCTTTGCCGTGCTCCATGCAGTACTGCAACGCAAGCAAGGTGCACCATCGTTAGTCTTATCCAGCACTAGCCAGGGGAATTTCGGTAACCAGTCGGCAGTGTACTTCCGTTGCGCGGCAAGATAGGCCTTCGCCATCTTCTCGGCGGGGGTTAAAGAAGCCGAAGGCAGTTCCTGTGGCACGGGCTCTAGCTCTGATGGTGGCGGAGGCGTAGGGGGAGGCGTCGCGAACGGGAGATAAGTCTGGTTGAAGCGACGCTTCCTTTCCGAGGCAGACGCAGGAGTTGAGGCAGGAGTTGATGCCGTTGATGTGGACGCTGAGTTGATGCAGAGACAACAGGTACAACTGAAGGTTCGGCGACAGGACCTTCAGCGTCAACCATAGCCTCTAAATTTCTGTCCCATTCCTCACTACTGAGAGAAGGCAGAGGCTGTGGCGCAATTGGAGCGGTAGCAACTCGACGGAGAAAGTCGAGCCCGCTAAGAGGGAGCGATCTAGGAGTTCGCAAAAGGACAGACTCGTCGCCACCGCCATCGTCGGGCTCACTCGTGCCAGCCATGACGGCAGTGGCACGAGTGACGACGGGCGGCAGCGACGGCGAAGGTAAGCGGAGGTTTTCTTGTGCTAGGACATTGTGAGAGAGATTTGGTGAAGGAGAGGAAGGGAAGGTTGAACAGGACGAGGGTTTCGTTTGCTCTTTTTGGGGTGAGTGAATTGTGGGGGCGCCTCGGAGTGGGTGAGGGAGTGAGGTCGGTCGTGCATGCATGGATGGTGGCTAAGGTCAGCGTGCGGTGGTGAGGGAACTGCTGCCAGCCTTGCAGTGATGCTGCAGTCGTGACTAATCAGCGCGGAGGATGCTGCCAGCAGTGGCAAGGGATGGCAGCATATGACGTGCCACTGCCTGGCGGTACGCGTAAAATGACGCGTATTGCGGGATATTGGGGCAAGGCCAGGTACAGGTACAGGGGAAATCTACAGGTATACCCCTATACACTAACCCTCAGAGGGGTACAAATGGTTACTCTGATATAATCAGAGTAAAATAAAACCTCAACTTTTTTACTCAGGGCACCTAGAGTAGTTTTCAAAAACGACTCTGATTTTCAGAGAAACAGAGTAAATTACTCTGATAAAATAGGCACGGCCAGTGACACGAGTACCAGCGGCAAAAAATAAGCACTAATCGCACCCCATATGCCACATGCCCCTCATCCACACCTCGTTGTCCAACTCCTGTTCTCTTCTCTTCCATGCCTCCCGCGTTACTCTCCCTTCAACGCCTCCACGAACCCTACCCCACATCAAGTCACGCACCCCAAACTGTGCACCTCTCAACGAGAACAAGATTTTGCTCGCCTCCCCTCCAAGCTTCCCCCATCCCCATGCCCATGCTTCACACTCCTCTCTCCCTCCTCCTCGCTCCCCCCCTCACTCGCTTCATCCACAGCGATCCAGCCCTTCCCCCCTCCCGTGGTTGAGATCGGGCTATCAGCACAAGGATCGCCAGAATCGCTGCTGGGGCTGCCGTTGCTGCTGCAGCCACTGCCACCAAGACAGCTAGAATTGGTGGTGCTGGAGTCTATGGCATCCACGTCAGCAGCAGCACCAGCAGCAGCAGGGGAAGCCGAATCAACCTCTCAGCTGCAGCAGCATCAGCAGAAAGGGCGCAGCAGCAGAGTCAGAAGCACAGGTGCCGCTCTTCTCAGCAAAGGCAGAGCAGCAGCGAGAGCGGCAGCAGCGTCATCCTTATGCAGCAGCAGCAAAGCCTGGACTGAAGCCGGGCTCACAGCCCGCTCCCCAAACAGCGCTGCAACCCGTCCGCTACCTCTGAGGGCGAATCCGGAAAGAAGCGCAGAAAGAGCTGCGCGATCTGGCTCTGGGTGGCACGGTCCAGCAGCAGGCGGTAGTCGATTCGGCCGGGGCGAATGAGCGCGGGGGGTCGAGGCGCTCGATGTGGTTAGTAGTCATTATGAGGATGCGCTTCTCCTGCGCCCCGATGCCGTCGATGGCGTTCAGCAGCCCCGAGAAGGACAGGCTGTCGGAGCAGTTGCCGTCGGCTTGGAGCGGTCTGCGGTGAAGGCGGCGTCGATGTCCTCCAGGACCACCAGGTTGCGCTGGTCGCAGTTGGCCATGGCCGTGTGCAGCTGTAGTGGAGGGCGGGAGGGATGCAAGGGATGGGAGGGGGAAAGGTGAGAGGACCGAACCACAAAAGAATATACTTGGATAGCGGCACGGTTTGCATGAGGAATGCTGTGGACGAAGAGAAGTACGAGAGAGGGAGATGGTAGCACCAGGCAGACTGACAAAGGATCACCACAAATCTGCCCCCACGTACCAAGTCACCACCCATGCAATCTCTTACCGAGTCATCACTCATGCCAGACGACGACAGGCTGATGACCGACACGCCCAGCCCCAGCTCCCCCGCCATGGCCTGAATTAGGACGTCTTGCCGCACCGGGCGGCCCGTGGAACAAATACCCCCTCCTGTGGGGAATCCCCGGTCCGAGTACCACTTGGCGGCTGCAAGGAACTCTCTCGCGTCGCCCAGCAGTGCTGACGTGTCGCAATCCAGGACCACGCTGGACATTGGACGGACCTGCTTGTTCCCCCAACCACCGCCAGTTGAACTGCTTGCAGTTCCAGCGATGAACGGCTGTGATTTGCTCTTCTGCTGCTTTGCCATGGCTGCATCTGTAGCGGCTGTAGCACCGCCTGTAGCACGACTTTGCTGGGAGCGTCTATCACCAGCTCTTCCCGACCCATTGACCGGATCAGCTCGGAAAATTCCGCCTCGCTGTCAAAGCTGCCCGGGGCTGTTTCTTCATCTGGAAGAAAACTTTTGAGCCCTGGAAGGTGATATGCTGGGCAGCTTTGAGCTTGGGCATAAATTTGAGTTCAGGCTTCTCGTGATTTGAGCCCGATCCGTCATTGTCCTGCCACTTAATCTGCAGGGAGTATTCCGACGGCTTTAATGTCTTGTAAGAGTCCAGCCACTCCTCCAGCCACTGAAACGCCTGGGTCTCCGGGGAGATGCTAATAGACACGTTCCCGCGCCGCATTAGGAGGCTCCATAGAACCTGCCAGTAGGACATCAGGTCCGGCCGAGTAACCCGAGCGCGACGAGCCATAAGCTGCCCGCGAAGAAATCGTTCTGCAGATACTGACGAAGAATGCCGTCCAGGATAGGCGACGCGGCGCCGACGAGGGTAGTGGCCGAAAGGGTGGAGAGGGGAGACTGGCGAGAGCGTGGCATTGATGACGGTTTGCGCGAGGAAAAATGCCGGCCGGTTGTGCAGACGGATAAGCCGTCAGGTTGAACATGGAGGTGGCATTGTAGGCGGAGAAGTCGGAGCCGTTGAAAGGAGCATCTAACGGTGCAGAAGCAACGGGCAGCTGACCACCGAAGATGCCGGTTTGAGCGGGCAGATTGACCACCGCGAAGCGAGTAAATCCATCATGCTTCCGGTTCCGACTATCTAATCGACGAGCAGCCGTTAAAAGTTCCAGTTCTTAGGGTAGGCCAACAATGCTGCAGCGAGGAGCATCCAGCAAGTACCAGTAGCTACCTGAACCGCTAGTCCTCGGCGGGCTCGCAGCCAATCTGGGGCATTACTGCTGTAGCTTTTCAGGAAGCTCCCTGCATGCGGCAGATTGAGATCGCTGGTGGTGACGGCGACTGCTGCTGATGGTGATCGCCATTCTTCCCTGTCTAATTATATACAACTTCTGATCGCTGCATATGAGTCTCCTTAGGGGAGGCAGATGCCTACGGCGACTACTCGGAGGGACGAACAAGGCAAGGAACTCGAGTTTCGCGCAACCTACACGCGGCTCGAGGGGGATTCGACAGAGGCGTGAAGAAGAGCAATGGCGGAACGAGGAGTAGATCGGAAAACGGGAGAGGAGGAAATGTCGAAAAAAGACCTCGCGAGTTGATAAATTCCCGCATGGAGACAACCCAGCTTGTCATTCACGCGACAATCCCAATGCCGCAACACTAGGCGAGTGTTCCGCCTGGTTACTCGCGACAAACCAGAGACCGCGGTTGACCTGGTTTGGAAACGTTTAGGTTGGGTTGAGTGAGATTCCCTCGAATGTGCGAAAAACAGTGGGTTGACCTGGTTTGGAATCTGGAAGGAGACTGAAGCTAACGCGGGCTGGCGGGGTTCCGCTCACCGTCTGCGGGAGGGAACTGTGCTGATGTGGCAGAAGATGAGGGGAGCGCGGGGTTAATTAGGACGGGAGAGAGGTGCGGGGAGGGTGATTGGGTTAGGCGCGTGCGCGCGGGTCACGCGGATGCGGAAAGCCAGTTTGCGGAGAGGGCGCGTTCGGATTGGGCGGACAGCGTGGCGGGTTTCGGGTTTTGCGTAACTAGTTCGCGTGAACCTGAAGCATCGCGAGTGTATTTGCACGAGTAGAAGTGCTGGTAATCAGAATGCGAAAGGTGGCGAAGTGCCGATGATACACATGAGTCTCTCTACATGTTACTGAATTCGTGTCATCAGGCGAAAGTCTGAAAAGATGCCTGCGCGACGAGCCAGGCGTGGCCCAGCGGCAAAACCGCTGATTGAACTGCTGCCTCGAGATCACTGACATCCATACCAAACCATCATCCAAGTTTCTGCCTGGCACCATTTTCTCGTAGAGCCGGTCCTCTTCTTGGAATGGTTCAAGTCAACTTATACTACGCTCAACTTCCTCGATGATCATTGTCTACACGACGTACAGAAGTAGTATATGGTATAACGAGTCATACACTCTCCAACCTTCATCAGTCTACAGTGTGCTGTTTACGTCAGCACTGCACTGACTGTTCCTCGTTAGGTCACGCCAGGTCCACATCAGACGTTGACCGTTACTGGTGAGGATGTCTCTCTCGTTACGGGGCTTCCGCACGAGTAACCTAGCGAGCGGATCGGCGGCCCCTGATGCCCGTCGTTTCTCACCCTCCGCCCCTTCCCACGCGGCTGTCCACGTTCCCTCCCTGCGCTTCAGCCAGCCTTTCATCGCGTTCCTTGCGTGCTCTCCCCTCGACCGTAATCACGCGGCGCTTCCATGCTCTAGAACCGCGCTCGGCGCTACGACGCGCCACAGTGACCCCTGTCAACCCCGTGCGCAGACAGAACGAACAGCACACGGAGCAACAGCATTAGAAACCCAGGTACTTGGAGCGGCAGCAGCTGCAAGGGGCAAATCGTGAATGATGAAACCAAGGGCGGGAGACAGAGACTGCTGCCACCCCTTAGAGCCGAATCAATCTCTTCTAGAAGCATCACTAACGACGAGCTGCCATGGCAAAGCAAAGCCACAGCAGGCTGGCGCCCCGCAACCCCTCAGGCAGGCTGGCTCGCATCCGCACTCATAGCAGCCGTAACGTCCGTGCTGTTCCCTCTCCCCGTCCCACTCTTACCACCGCCTCGCCTCTCAGCCCACATTCCATCACCTGCAGCACACGAGTGGCGGAGCAACGCAGTGCAGGTGGCGCAACGCATTCAACATTGAGCGAGCTCATCAGCAGCCTGCAGTCGGGGAGCAGATCAACGGCTCTGGCCGTGCCGTTCAGTGGGGCCTCTGCGCCACTGCCCTCCGAGACATTTGACAATGTGCCGCAGACGCTGTCAGGTGCGCTCACTGTCCTCTACTCCGAAGTGTGCAGTCGGGGAGGAGTGCAGTGGCCCTTGTGGCGCCCACCTTTCTCTGTCCCTCTCTCCTCCCTCTCCCACCTATTCCCTCCCTTCACCGTCCCTCCGCACTGGTGACTTCTGAAACGACTCAAATGTCACTTTCCTTTCTCTGTCCTTCTCCCCTACCTCTTCCTCCCTCGCTTTCACATCAACAGAGGAGGACAGGAAGCCGCGGCGCATTCAGAAGCCCAAGTCACCAACAGCGGAGAAGTGCCTCCGCAAGTGCGTGGGCACGTGCATCCGAGGAGGGGCGGGTGCACCTGGGGAAGGACCCATAAACGTTGAGAGGTGAGGCCGTTGCTAGGCTGGAGTGACCTTGTGGGCGATAGATTTTTATCCTGTTCTTTGATTTCAGGCCTCAGGCAGTTGTTTCAAGGGCTTGCCATCCAGCGCAATCCTTGGCAGCCCATCTGAACTCATTTTGAGAACCCTGTGCTGCCCCCTTTCAGGCCCATTGTGGTTTTCAAGTCCGAATTCCGGTCAAGACAGTACTGGTGAGTTGCATCTGAGAGGTGAAGCCAATTTGTGGAGGCAGTGCCACAGACAAATTGTTCCTCCCCTGCATATTTGCTCTATTCTCCAGCCCTATTTTTTCCTAATTATTCTCCTCTGACATATTATTCCTCCTTTCTACCATGTCCCCCTCCTCATGTTCCGATTCCGCTATGTTGGCTGCAGTTTAGTGGAATGCAGTGAGATTTGCAACCTTTTGCCGGATGGAAAGAGCAAGCCTTGATACTGTTTCACTGCCACTTAGTTCACAAGAGACCAATCCTTCGTTTTTGTACTGCAACAAAATGTGTTTGTGTGACAAGTATCACGCTGAGTGTACATTTGTTTTGCGTACAGACGCTGCTCACAACTTCTGAAGGAAATGATATATTATAATAGTGAAATTTTGAGCATTAACTTTTGCATGTTAGACTCATTCGTACAAGACCATTCGTACTGCTACATTTTTTTATGCAGTTCCAGCGGTTAGCCGAAATCCTCGGCTGCACTGTTGCTCGCACCTGGAACCTATCCCAGTTGCTGGCAAGTATGGGGCAACGCCTGGCGAGTGTGGCTGGTGTACCCAGGCTATGAGGCCCACCTGGTAGCAGTTCATTGTGGCTCCGAGTCTCCGAGACCTTGTCCCCAGCAGAACCAGTTGCTCGCAGACTCCTTTTTCGCCAGCTATTCGCGAGCGAGTATGGGTTGTCAATGCAGTCTCTCCAGGGGACTCGCAACAGTGGGAGGACACGGCCCATGTCGTTCACTGGAGTTTGGCGACAGTAACATATGTGACTATGTCGGGAAATTATTGGCGATGGGTTCATGGACGAACAGAATGTGTCCCGTCAAAGCTCGCGAACCATTGTGATCGATGCGCCTCGGCTGAGGAAATTGACTGGAAATGTCTGGCACCTGGATGTTGTGCCAGGAAATTTGCGCGCATCTGTGATTCCAAATCTGCATTTTTGGCGCAGCGTCGGATTAGGAGCGTCCAACCAACCCCATAGTTCCATTCCAACTGACAGCTATTCCAGCATTTGCCATTCCCCCATTTGTTCCCTCCCCCCTACACCCCGTCATTCACGTGCACCTCCCCCACCGCCACTCCACAACTCACCCTAAAATGCCAAGGCCTGCAGAGAACAAGGCCCCAAGGTTTATGTCCCTTTTCGCCTCGCACCTCAAAGCGCACCTAGCTGAGCTTGATCTCTCGACGTCTAAGTGATTCTGGTCGACCAACCTTCTGATTTTGCCGAGGACCCTAGAATCTTCCTTCTAGGACAGCGCAAGCCGCTGCTTACAAACGCAGTTCACTAGTTGCCGCATTTCAGTTCTACTAGTAATCGGCACTTCGCTTTCATGCTGTTGGCTCACGACTGAGAAGTTTCCTAGGAGAGAAATGGCAGGCCACGTTATTCACAGGCGCCGACTTAAATTTTCAATATTCCTTCTCCTTATACTCGCCTCGTCACTCCTCGTAAACCCACTAGCTTCCTCTCGAAGAAGCCTACACCTAGCTGACGCGGCCGACGTTCCGAACCCTAAAGAAACGAAGTTCAGGCGAATCCAGTTCTCGCAAGCGGAGCTCAATGCCGCCGCAACTCTTCGCGGCGGAGAGAAAAGGCTCCGCACCCCACGCGGAAGCGGCGGACCGGCGCAGGTGTCTCAGCGGGAGCGCACGGAGGCGCCAACCGAGCTCCGCACGAACCTCAATGGCGCTGCGATGAAAGTCGCGTCGCTAAGCGAGATGCTCCTCGTACGCCCGCGCGGCGCGCCGCAGGCTCAATCCGCCGCCGCGGCGAAGCAATCGTCGGCGGAAGCGGAAGCTGTCGCGCACTGCCCACAGTTCGAACCATGGTGGGGCGCGCTTTCCGCCATCTCCGCGTGCAAGTGGCGCAGACCCGACTCCGCCGTCCCCGCGGGTCCCTCCTCTCCATCCACCGCGCTGCGCCTGTTTATGGTCGATTTCCTAGAAGACAAGCGTGGCCGCGCGGTTGAGCGCGAGTGCCGCGATCGGCGCTGGATCTGGCCGCGGCCGCTCGTGACGGGCGGGGAGGTCTGTGTCGACGAGGAGGACGAGCTTCGCGTGGACGGGGAGGATATTAACGATGATGACAATAACGACGAAGAGCTCCCGGAGCTGGTGGGCGCGGCGGAGCTGATGAAGCGCGTGCGCTCGGCGCTGGGGCAGAGGCGCGGGGAGCAGCGGTCGCGGCTGGAGGCGAACGAGGCGGATGAGGTGGGAGAAGTGGGCGCACTGGGGGGCGGCGGAGTGCTGCGCTTTAGCGACGTGTTTGTTAACTCTAAAGGGACCGTCTTTAACGAGAGCCACGTGTTTGCCGTGGACGCGTGCGGGCGGGGGCAGTGGCAGCCGCAGGGCGGCGCACAGAACGCGCTGAGAGAATCGATCTCCTTCGCGCCGGGGACTCGCGTGAGCGTGCACGAGCACCTGGTAAATCTCCTGCCGTACGAGCAGGAGGAGGCGGAGCAGCAGGCGGAAGAGGTGGAGGAGGCGGAGATGGCGGAGCGGGGGCTACGCGGGACGGACTGGGTGGCGCAGGCGCGGCTGCACAACGGCAAGGAGCGGCTGCTGGCACGGCTGCTGCCCGCGCTGTACCTGGTGGCGACCGCGCTCATGCCCGCTGCGAGGCAGTACCCGCTGCTGCTGAGGAGCGAACATGTAAGCCCCACCAACATCTAGGTCATGCCGTAAGGTACCAGTATCTACCGAGTGAGGCGCTGCAGCACGCCTCACCTTGCCGTAAGTCTGCGCCCCACACTCCTACCGAGTGGTTCCAGTGCCATGGCTGATCCTTTGCGTGGGAATGCCGGAAGCTGAGGGGGAAACATTGTGTGTGACATAGAACATGAGCATCTGGTTGCAGACCTTATCAGCTTCGTCCCCGCCCCCTTCTATCCCCTCGAAGCTTTTGGGGCATCTGACTCACGGCACTTATCAGCTTCCTCTTGATCTCTATGGTTACCTGCTTCCTGCCCTTGTACTACCCCCTCCACTATAATCACGTGCAGCTTCTGGAGCATCTGGGCCGCAGCATATTCGGGGTGGACCTGGGGTCGCTGTCCGTGCACCACCTGCCGGCCAGCAGACAGCATCGTGAGGGCCATCGCCACCTCTTCTACGCGCAGACACTGTTCATGGTACGCTCGGGCACTGTTCATGGTACGCTCGGGCACTGTTCATGGTACCTACTCTGCTCTTGGCCTCTTCTCTGGCACTGCCGATTCAGCATGCCCATGGATTGCTTCCAACGCTCACCTGCACGCCCCTCCCCACCCTAAACCCCACCCTTTGTCCCACCTCAACCCATTACTAAGCCCCCTCCCTCCCCACCCCCCACCCCCCTCTCCCTTTTCTCTTCCCCCTCCCCAACCCCCCAACAGCCCGTCCATGCCAGCAGCGTGTGCGGCCTCTCCTCCTCTGGCCGCCCGCGCGCCCCCGACGCCCTGTGGCTGGCCCTCCGCGGCTTCCACCTGCTGCCGCCGCAAGGCCTCCCCATCCTCTCCCCGACTGGACCCCCCGCATCCCCGCCTCCGCCTCCCAGTCCGCCCCGCCGCCCCCCACCCGCTGCACCATCTCGTGGTGGGGCGGACGCTGCCGGACGACTGGGTGGTGGTGGTCGATGGTGTGGAGCGCGCACGTGCTGCAGCGCGGCGGGGGCGGCGTGGGCGACGGGAACGCCCGCACGGCGGCGACGCGGCACACGGAGGAGGCCATGGCGGCGATAGCGGTGATGCTGCGCGAGATGTACTCTGAGGCGCGCGTGGTGGTCTACGAGGAGCACCTGCCGCTGCGGAAGGCTAAGGCGCTGTTTTCCCGAGCGATTCTGCTGGTGGGACCCACGTCGCCTGCGCTTTCGAATCTGATCTTCATGCCGTTCAATTCGACGGTGATTGAGATCCTGCCGTACGTTGTCAACCACACGTCAGCCGGTGGTAACCAGGCTGGGGATCTGCAGCAGGAGGGGAAATCTGGTGGGAATCCGTTCAACCACAGAGCACTGCCACGTGGCACTACAGGCTGTCGGAGCGGGTCGGCGTGCATCACCTCCTGTCTGTGTGCGATCCTGAGAGGACCACATGGAGGACAGCGAGATGTGCCACGTGGACGAGGTGTACGCCACAGTAACCGCATCCCTGCGGAAGAACCCAGTGTTACGGGAAGCAACAGGGTTACCACCCATCTCCTTCCCTCCTGATGACGTCAGCCGACTGGGTGATTTCCGGGATTTCATCCCGGGATCGAGGCTGCGGAAGGGACGGGCCAGGCGGCGGAGTTTCGGCGGTGGGCGGAGTGCGTGGCGGAAAGGGGGGAGTGGCGCTTCAACGCCACTCCGCGGGTGCTGCCCTGGCCGGAGCACGGGTCGGAGAAGTGTGACTCGGAATGGGAGGCTGCGGGGGGAATCGCGGGGTCCAAAGCGGATAAGGTCGCGGCACGTGGACCACCAGCCGCAGCCGATTGGAAGGTTCGAGATACGCTCAAATATGAGTGGGTGGTCCAACAAACAAGTGTCCGAAGGTTACTAGTTTCGGAGCAGCCCAGCTGGCAGTGCCTAGTCCTGAGGTGCTGGACCCTCGGGAGTTACTCTCGAGGTTTGACGGTCGCGGCTTGTGCGAGCTGGCAAGGCGGAGGAAGGGTGGGCTGCGAATTGCGTTTCTCGGGGACTCCTTATCTCGGGAATCCACGTCAATTTTGTGAACAACATCGTCAAGCATATTCCGAAGCCGGCAAACGTTATAACGAGGCGCAAGTGCATGACGTGGACAACCATCCTGGGATCGAAGGTGGACCTGACTTGTATGGGATACACGTTTGAGGGAGCTGGGTGCCCAGGGTTGAGTGTACACTATGTGGCTAACATGCGACTAATTCCGGTCAATGAGGAGAAGCTGGAGCGGATTCGATGGATCAGTACCCCTTGGATGGAGGTTCCTGGCATACGTGACTCAGATGTGCTTATCATCAACCGTGGAGCGCACTACAAGGTGAACGAAAACGTGGTGGAATCGGTGACAAGGATGATGCGCTTCATTCGTTACAATCACCCTGAGAAGCTCGTGATCTACAGGACCACGGCACCGGGCCACCTCAACTGCTTGGAGAACACCAAACCCCTAAAAGAGCGGCAGGATCCTAATCAGCTGCCTTTCAAATGGGGCAATTTCAAGCTTCAGAACGAGCTTGTGAAGTCTATAGTGGAGGAGAATGGTGGAGTGTACATGGATGTGGACCCTATGACGGCTCTCAGAGCAGATGGGCATAGGGGGATGTGGGAGGCACACGGCTGGATTGCCTGCACTACTGCTCACCAGGGCCCGAGGATACATGGTCCCAGTTCATCTACAACATCATCATGAGGCTCCTTCCACCACAATAAATGTTAGGTGCTAGGCCTAGCCTAAAGCATCATTTGATCTTCATCCGATTATCTAATGAAATTTCCGTTGAAGGGCATTCCTCAGAGTGAGGGCCAGGATGCACCTTGTTAATGCTAATCTGGTCCTCATATGCGATGGTTCTTCAGTTACCAAATGAAGCTGGCCCTAAGTGCACAGGTCTATGTACAGCTATTATCAGGGCAATAACGAGTACGATCCTCACCGAACCTGCTGACCACCACCAACCAACCAGTTTCCAGCGAAGCGTCAAGCTTGAATGCGAAGCTGGCTCCATTCTGTCGGATTGTTTCCGCAGCTGGTTTTCAAGCAGGGACTCTAAAGAATATGATAGACGCGGACGCGAATCAGAATGATGCATTCACCTCGCCACCCCTCTTTCTAGAAGAGCACCAGCTTCAACGGGAAGCGAGCTTCAGAGTTCGTTGTTCGTCCTGTGTCTCCTTGAATCTCAGCGATTGCAGATTGTCTTTCCAATTCAGTCGCACAGTGTGTCGCCTGATGCGAGAGCGACGGTTACATGGCGACGATGCAATGTTCAGCGGCGCTACTACTAGTAACCGTCTGGGCTGAGAACGATTTTATAGAAAGACGTGCGACCGTTTTGCGAGATTGCAACGATTATGCAGCTATTATAGCCATTTGTAGCTTCGGACTAGTCTAGTATCTTCCCGATAGTCCCGGCCTCGTCCGTCATCATGACCGGGAGGTACCTCCTATGAAATTATTCTCCCTCTAACAACCACGTCGTCGCACTGTCGGCAATATCGAGAATTCTCTGGTCCTCTGAGAAATTATGCTCCCCTAACACCCCATGTAGTATAGTCCAGCCATAGCATCGTCTAATATGGCTAGGGGTACCTCCAACCACGTGGTCGCGCTGTCGGCAATATCAAGGCGTCTCTGCTCTTCTCATGGATCATTCTCCTCCTCACACCCCATCCGGAGCGTTCTAACCGTCCCCTGCACTTTACTGTACTTTCCGGTAGCGGAAACGGGTTCATTCTTAGCGGAGCATCGCATGCCGCGTCCGGCATCGACAGCGCCAAGCCTAGGCGAACGCGGGTGCTGCGACCAGACTCCGCTCCGCGGCTCCCCTTGCGCGCACAGCCCGCAGGTTCTACCGCTCCCGGGGCTCCGCAAATGCTCGCTCCGCTGCTCCGCTTCCGCCCACAGCCCGCGGAATCAGTGGAACCGGGCAGCACCAGGAGGACGCGGTGGCGGAAAGACAGGCGCGAACAAGCGCAGTATGAGGAGCAGAAAGATAAGCGGGACGAGCGGGACGAGCGGGAGCAGCGGGAGCAGCGGGAGCGGACCGGAGCGGCGGCGGCGCTAGAAGTACAGCTACAAGGATCGTCCATGGAGGTTCTACCGTTGGACGACCTCATTCGAGCGCCAAGAGGCGCGCAGCAGCTGCAGTGGCAGCAAGCGCAGCAAAGGCAGGCTGCTGACGTGGCATCTTCGCCAGGAATGTGTCCGGATTTCCAGCCGTGGTCGTTCTTCGCGCCTAACCCCCCCTCGCCGCACATCCACGCGTGCTCCTGGCGGCCCATGTCAGACGGCAATACGTCTACTGTTACCGTTGCAGTCAGCAAGCGCGGTAACAGCGCTGGAACTGACTCCAGCGGCGACAGCAATGCGGTTCTGACCGGACTGTCTGAATTCATGCGGCGGTTTCTGGCGGACAGGGAGAGTGGAGCGCACGGCAGCAGCAGCCGCGCAGTGCAGCAGGACTGCCGGCACTGGAAGTGGCTGTGGCCGCGCCCCCTGGTGACACGTGGCGAGCTGTGTTTGGACGAGGACGAGGTGCGGGGATTCGTCATAGAGAGCATGCAGAAGGAGCAGATGCAGCAGGCGCAGGCGCTTTTGAAGGATAAGAAACGAAGGCTGGGGATTCAGGGGCTGCAGGGGCAGGAGGGGAGTATGGAGGAGGTTTTAGAACCAGATCCTGGGGAGGTCTTTAAGCGCACCCAGGAGGCGATTAACTCCATCTTGGCGGCGCGGCAGGAGCGGGTAGTGAGTAGTAGCAGCGGGGGGCAAGAGGAGGAGGAGGAGGAGGAAGGGATGGGCGTGATAGGGCAAGGCGGGGTGGTGATGCTGAGAGACGTGTTTGTGGACGGCAGAGGCGCCGTGTTCAATGCGACCCATGTGTTGGCGCTGCATGGGGCGTGCACGAGGGGAGGCGGCAGGAAGAGACAGCAAGCAGCAGTGCAGAGAGTGAAGAAGGTGAGGCGGGCGGGTGGGGGTGTTTGTGATCGGTAGACGCACCGTGTTTAATGCGACCCATGTGTCCATGCGACCCGCTCCCCCGCTCCCCCGCTCCCCGTTTTCCAGTCCATCCAGTATCCCCCAGGCACCCCTGTAAGCCTGCACGAGCACCTCGTGAACCTGCTGCCATACGAGCAGGAGGAGGACGGGGAGGAGGAGAGTATGAACCCGGAGGCAGCAGCCAGTGGCAGTGTGCAGGGGGGCGAGTGGGTGGCACAGGCACGCTTGCACAGCGCCAGGGAGCGGCTGCTGGTGCGCCTGCTGCCCGCGCTCTTCCTGCTCTCCTCGTCCCTCATGCCCGCTGCACGGCACTTCCCCATCCTGCTGCGACACCGCCACGTGAGTTCAGGGGGACATGGGCACAAGAAGTGGTGTGTGGGGAGTGACCTGGTAGTGCGTGCACTGCTCTTCCTGTTCTCCTCGTCCCTCATGCCCGCTGCACGGCACTTCCCCATCCTGCTGCGACACCGCCACGTGAGTTCAGGGGGACATGGGCACAAGAAGTGGTGTGTGGGGAGTGACCTGGTAGTGCGTGCACTGCTCTTCCTGCTCTCCTCGTCCCTCATGCCCGCTGCACGGCACATCCCTATCATGTGATAAGACCCTCCCCTACGCTTACAACACCGTCATGTGATAAGACCCTCCCCTACGCTTGCAACACCGTCATGTAAGCGTAGGGGAGGGTGGTGAAGGAGTGTAGCCATTTAGCGTTTAGGGAAAGAGGACAAAAAAATCGACTCATACACATACCCACTGCACGGCACATCCCTATCATGTTACAACACTGTCATGTGAGCGTAGGGGAGGGTGGTGAAGGAGTGTAGCCATTAAGCGTTTAGGGAAAGAGGACTCAAAAATCGACTCATACACATACCCACTGCACGGCACATCCCTATCATGTTACAACACTGTCATGTGAGCGTAGGGGAGGGTGGTGAAGGAGTGTAGCCAATAAGCGTTTAGGGAAAGAGGACTCAAAAATCGACTCATTACACATGCCCGCTGCACGGCACATCCCTATCATGTTATAACACCGTCATGTGAGCGTAGGGGAGGGTGGTGAAGGAGTTTGCTGAGGGACATTGTGTGTGGGATTGGATTGGATTGGTTGGTTGGATGGTCCCGCACTCTCGTCTCCTTTCGTTTTTCCTCAGTGGTCGTCAAGGTTGTGCGGGGTTGCACCGAGACCATGCAAGGAGCCTCTGACAGCTGTTAAGTGAAGGGCAGAGAGCAACCAGCGATTATAGCCTTAATGTTGTGCCTCAGGCTGATTTTCCGACGCCCTTCCCCTGTCTCTGTCATCTACCACCCCCCACCTTCCCTTTCCCCTCCCTTCCCTTCCCCCCCCCCCCCCCTTCCTTCCCTGCTACCCTCCCCCGTCATCAGCTGCTGGCGCATCTCAGCTCGGATTTCTTCGGTGTTGATCTCGCCTCTCTCTCTATCCACCACCCTCAGCCTTCCTTCACGACAGCAGCAGCAGCAGCAGCAGCAGTGGCTACGGCTCTTATGATACTCCAGCCAGTGATCCTGACCCCACCACCAGCACCATGCCGCCCCACCTCTTCTTCGCCCGAACTCTCTTCCTCCCCATCCACTCCCCTAGCCTCTGCGGCCTCGCAGCATCACCCTCCACCGCACTCCACTCCTCCCCACCGCTCGCCCCCGACGCCCGGGGGCTCTCCCCAGCCCCCGACGCCGTGTGGCTGGCCCTGCGAGGCCTCCACCTGCTGCCACCGCAAGGCCTTCCCATCCTCTCCCCCGACTGGACCCCCCGAATCCCGGCCTCCCTGCAAGACGGCTCGCCTGAACTTTCACCTGACGGCTCACCTGAAGTTTCACCTGGTGTTTCCCCTCACCTGGTGGTGGGGCAGTCGCTGCCGGAGGACTGGGTGGTGGTGGTGTCGGTGGTGTGGAGCGCCCATGTGATGGAGGGGGGGGGCGGGGGGGAGGGTGTGCGGGAGACGGAGGCAGCCCTGCATGTGATTATAGCGATGCTCAAGGAGCTGTTCTCAGACTCACGAGTGATGGTGTATGACGAGCACTTGCCTCTGCACCAAGGTAGGTGACGGTGTGGCAGAGGCGTAGGCAAAGGCATGCATGGGAGACGAAAGCAGCCCCGCTTTTGGTCGCAGCAATCCTCAAGGAACTGTTCTTTCAGATAAAAGAGTGATGGTGCATGATGAACTCATGCCGCTGCACCAAGGTTTGACTGGTACTTTTCTTTATTTCTTTTAGGGGGGGGAGCTTGGGGCTCTTGTACTGATGAGGCCCCTTTCCGCCTTTCGTCTCTTGAGCTGCGTGTTCGTCTCTTGACCCATAAGCCCTCTCTCCCTCTCTATTCCTCTTCCTCTCCTGACGCACAAAGCATCTCTTCCTCTCCTGACGCACAACGCATCTCTTCCTCCCCTGACTCATGACGCGCCTCTTTCTCTCCTGACTCATAACGCATCTCTTTCTCTTGCTTTCGATTCCCTCCACTCTCGATTTCACATGCAGCCAGGGCGTTGTTCTCAAGGGCCATTCTTCTGGTGGGCCCCACATCGCCCGCCCTCTCCCACCTCCTCTTCATGCCCTTCAACGCCACCCTCATCGAACTCATCCCCTACCCCGTCACCCGCCCCCTCCCCTCCCTCCCCCTCTCCCTCTCCCTCCTCCAACCAAACCTCAAGAAAGCACCACCTGATCCGTCCCCGGCCGCCGGCCAACCGAGCGCCGCCACTTGGCACAGCCAGCTGGCGGAGCGGCTCGGGATTCGGCACTATCTGAGCGTGTGCGACCTCTCATGGCTGGACAAGAGCACGGGGGAGCAGTGCCATGTGGACGAGGTGTATGCTACAGTGCTCGCTACACTGCGCAGGAACCCGGCACTCCTTGCACTCACAGGCATCCCCCCCATCTCCTTCCCACCTGACACATTCCTTCTAGATACCAACACCACCACCAGCACCAGCCCCAGCAGCTGCTGCAGCAGCAGCAGCAGCGGTGCCAGCTTTAGTTTCCTGTATGCTGATATCAGCAGTAGTTTCGTGGATTTCCGGGATTTTATCCCGGGGTCGAGGCTGCAGAAGGGGGCGGGCCAGGTGGTGGAGTTTCGGCGGTGGGCGGCGTGCGTGGCAGAGAGGGGGGAGTGGCGCTTCAACGCCACCCCGCGGCTGCTGCCCTGGATGGAGAGGGGCTTTGACAACTGCGACCTCTACCATGTCAGGGAAAACGGAGGCTTGGCCGGAGCTCCTGCCGACGCTGTCGCTTTGGATCGGGAACTGAGTCGGGAGGAGAGGGAGAAGGCCTGGAAGGTGAGAGACGTGCTCAAGTACCAGTGGGTCGTGCCCGCTGACAGGTGTCCGCGGGTGGTTGGTGCAAAGCCAGGGGCGCTGGCGCAAGCTGTTCCGGGGTCGGAGGTGCCAGGGCCAGATGAGCTGTTTTCGCGGTTTGACGGGCGGGCACTGTGTGAGCTGGCTGGGAGGAGGAGAGACGGGCTGAGTGTCGCTTTCATCGGGGACTCGCTGACCCGGGAGGCGCACATCTCCTTTGTGCACAGCATTGTAACGCACATGCCGAAGCCGTCGAGTGTGATAACCAGAGAGGACGGGGCTGTATGGGTGGGGCAGCTGTCCCGAACGAAAAGCCATTATTACACCCGAGCCTCATACCGATTTGATGAGGCGGGGTGCCCGAACCTGCAAGTGCATTACGTTGCGAACCGGCGGCTGGTGATGGTTGGGGAGGAGAAGCGGGAGCGGGTGAAATGGATTAGTACGCCTTGGATGGAAAGCTCAGAGGTAAGGGGAGCGCATGTGGTGGTGCTGAATAGAGGGGCTCACTTCAAGCCTACGGACCATGTGGTGCTTTCGGTGTCTCGCGCGCTGCAATTTCTCCGGTACAATTACCCCGAGAAGCTGCTTGTTTACCGGGCTACGGCCCCGGGTCACCTCAACTGCAAGGATGCCGCTGGGCCCATCTCAAAGCGGCAAAATGCGAGTGATTTACCCTACCATTGGGGAGAATTCAAGGCACAAAACGAGGCGGTAAGGCCGATAGTGGAAGGCATGGGGGGCGTGTTTATGGATGTGGATCCCTTGAGTGCCTTGAGGCCCGATGGGCATCGAGGGTTTGTTGAAAAGATGGATTGCTTGCATTATTGCTTGCCGGGACCGGAAGACGCATGGTCTGAGTTCCTGTATAATATTATACAAAGGCTTGTTCCTGTATAATATTATACAAAGGCTTGTTCCTGTATAATATTATACAGAGGCTTGTTCCTGTAAAGTAGGCTTTGTATAATGTGGTGCATGCTTGTATAATAAGGTGTAACACAATGTGAAGCTGTACATCTGTTGTAACAGTAACAGGTTTTACTACAGGTGTCCAGTTGTTAGGTGGTGGTCAGTCTACTCTAATGAAAGGACCATATAATATAACCCTCTCACACAATCAGATCAAGAAAGAACCAACCCATTGTGTGCTGTGCTCTTTTCTTGAAGAGGCAGCAGCACAGGTAAACAGAAGTTAAGACGCTACATGACGAGCCAGTCAACCTGAAAGAATGTCAAACGCTGAGTGCAATGGTTGACATTTTTTCGTGCAAACAGACAGCAGAAGTCGACGAAAGCCAACAGTGGTCAATTAAGGCGAGTCAACGTGGAAGAAGGTGGAGAGGGTGAGATGGTTGACATTCTTCATTGCACAAGTCAACACAAGTCAACCGGAGTCAACTGTGCTTCAAGGCGAGTCAACGCGGAAGAAGGTGTAGGAGAGGGTGAGATGGTTGACGTTCTTCATTGCTGGGTCGCTTGCAAACTCGGGATCAATGTAGAAGAACACCTGGGGGGGAGGGGGAGTTGGGGGGGGAGAGAGATAGGAAGACAGGTAACAAAAAGAGGGCATAAATGTAGAACAGCTGGTGGGCGGGGATAGGGAAAGGGGCCAGGAAACAGCATCGGGAAATTACCTAGTTGGTGGGGTGTGAGGAGGGGAGACGGAGTGCGAGACGTGACAGGGGAGGGCTATGATAAGGAATTCTAATACTCACGGGCATGTCGATGGTCTCTCCAGGTTGCAGGCGCTGCTCCTCAAAGCAGAAGCACTGGATCTTGTTGAAGTAGATGCCCGCCTAGCCGGGATGGCAGGGAGGGGGGAGAGGACAAATAGGAGGGGAGGAGGAAAGAGAGGAGAGAGGACGCACTGGGTCTTGTTGAAATGGATGGCCACCTAGGGCAATGACAGGATGCGGGGGACGATGGGAAGAGATGTGAGAAAGGGAGAGGCAGGAGGCAAGAAGCACTGGGTCTTGTTGAAGTAGATGCCCGCCTGGCAGGAATGCAGGGAGGGGGGAGAGGACAAATAGGAGCCTCTGGCTCGTTGAGGTTGTTGAACCTCCAAAAGTGATCTTGCATAGTTAGTGAGGAACCACAATTGAAGGGACAAGCGAGGGCGAAAAAGAGGCAGTGAAATGTTAAAGGCGTTTATGAGAGCAGCACGATGCCCAAGCACCAAAAGGTGCAAGGACTAGCGTACCCGTGCATCTGACATGGCATGTGGAAATGATTACCGCTATGATACGTTTGACATGGTGTGTGAGCAACATGCTTTCACGGGCGAGGCATACATCAATTGGCGAGACATACCTTCATGGGCGAGACATTGTAGGTGCTGACTCCTGTGATGGCTTTGTCACTCTTGTTGTGGGCTGTGTAAAAGGCGAGCGTGCTCTGGCCAGGCCTCACCCGAACCTGCAAAAGAGGCTCGGAACAAGGGGCACATGGAGGGTTGGGGAAATAGATTAGGCAGCATCGGAAAGCTGGCAGTTACCTGAAGCTGCATAGAGGAGGCTGCGGTGAATAGGAGACTCTTAGAATGAGGTATGCCATGCAATGTCCAAGTTGCCATGCGATGCAAAGTGCCACGGCATGCAAAGTGCCACGGCATGCAAAGTGCCACGGCATGCAAAGTGCCATGGCATGCCATGCAAAGCGCCAAGCCTACCTCTCTCTGAGTGGGGATGAAGCGCCATGGGAGCCCCTCTGCCACGTCAGCATTGAAATGAATGACAATCTCTCTAAGGTGCACGAGCGGAGGGGGCAGCAACCAGAAGAGGCAGGTGCGAGGCAAAAGAACAAAAGAACAAGAAAACAAAAGAACAAAAGAACAAGAGAACAAAAGAACAAGAGAACAAGAGAACAAGAGAACAAGAGAACAAAAGAACAAGAGAACAAGAGAACAAAAGAACAAGAGAACAAAAGAACAAGAGAACAAGAGAACAAGAGGGACATCAATGAAAGACGTGGGGAATAAGCGGGTGTGGAAGGAGAAAAGAGGAAAGAGAAATGAGGAAAGAGAGATGAGGAAAGAGGATGACGATGTCTCTAAGGTGCACGCGGGGGGGGATAGCAGCCAGGGGGGTGGGCGAAAAAAGCAAGTAAGGGAGATTAGTGAAAGACGTGGGGCGTGAGAGAACGTGGAGAGAGACACTCCTGGCGAACACGGGCGCCCGGCGGCTCTTCAACGCCGATCCTAGTTCCTACCAGACGGCGAAACCCCTTCACTAGTTTCGCCAGGCCCTGGCCTACCTGGGGAAGGTCAACGAGGCCGCCCCAGAATAGTTTCCCCCCGTGGCTGCCCTCGATGCCGACATGGCCCTCGGTGATTGCTTTGCTGTTGCGGAGCCCCTGGGGGAGGGGAGCTCCTGTAGGCCCGGCCCCAGCAAACATGCACGTACCTCACTTGTCCCGACCTTGCATGCATAGCCTGTACCTCGGCTTCTCTCAATACACGGACCGCTTGAGAGAGAGAAACGAGGGAAGGAGACAGGCCGCCAGGCAAGGTGATGTGGGGATGAGGGGAGGACGGGAAAGCCGAGGAGGTGGGAGGAGAGGAAGGAGAGGGAAGCCTCGGGGAGAGAGGAGAGAGGAGGGCGAAGAGGAGAGAGGAGAGAGGAACTTACTTGGCAGCAGCTGCGTTCTTGTCTGCACTCTGCCTTGCCACTTTCTCCTCCACTGTCTGCTCGTCCCAGCACAAGAAATTGCAACAAAAAGAGCATAGCACCACCGCATCAGGACACTGCAGCGACAACAAATCACAGAACGACGACTTGCGATATCAGTAAGAGTAATACAGAGGCATACAGAGGAGTGCCAGAGGTGTACAAAGGCTCTTCACTGTGAGCCATTCCCCATTCTTCCATTCCCACTCCGGCCCCCAACCTCTCACCACTCTCCTCTGCGTCGTCCCCCCGAACCCATTAGTTTGGCAGAAGAGCCGGTAGAGCGGCACAGAAGCATAGGTAGGCAGAGCCCAGCATGGCTACTGGCCGCTCTACCGGGCCAGCATTGCCAGCGCGGCAGCCACGAGGTACATCAGCTGCGACTGGTTCGCCTCTGCCTGCCCTCTGCCTGCCCTCTGCCTGCCCTCTGCCTGCCCTCTGCCTGCCCTCTGCCTGCCTCCCTGCCGGCCCCCCTGGTTCTCACCTCGCTCCTCTGGGCCGTGCCCCCTCATTCCCTCACTCCCTTATATCCCGCATCCCCCATTCGATCCCCCATTCAATTCCGCATTCAATCCCCCATTCGATCCCCCATTCAATTCCGCATTCAATTCCGCATTCGATCCCCCATTCAATCCCCCATTCAATTCCCCATTTCGTACCTCTTTCCTCTGAGTCGTCCCCCCAAACCCAGTGGCCTGGCAGAAGAGCCGGTAGAGCGGCACAGACGCATAGGCAGCGCCCAGCATGGCCAGCGCCGCGGCCACGAGGTACATCAGCTGCGACTGGTTCGCCTCTGCCTGCCGCCCTGTGGGGCCGCTTGGCCCGAACCTCCGCCGAGCCTGCTGGTTCGGTGATTGGTGGTCCGAGGCCTGGGGTTGAGCTTGCTGGGGTTGGCTTGGTTCGGCTGGTTTGCTCTCTTGCGAGAGAACGGAGGTGCCTGAAGCGAGGATGAGAGAGGGAGTTCGGGTGAGGTGGAGCAGAAGCGGGTTTTGCATGCCTGCACGCATGCATGTATGCATGTATGCATGTATGCATTCACAGCATGGCATGTCGTCAGGTGCATGCATTCACATCACACCATGGCATGTCTTCACGGTTTGCTTAATATTCTACTTCTCCCACAGATGCATGCACCCATGATATGACACGTGGCAGTGACCGCCAGCCAATAGGGGAGGAGCATCACCATGATGGAACGACGCGGATGATGCTGACGTGGCAGTGCATCCCGCCAGCACAGCAGCAGCAGCAACTCCCTGACGGGTGCCTTGCGGATGCCACGTCACGCGCCAACATACCGGGGAATGCGGTAGCTGTGCAGCTGTGATTAAAGCCTTTAGAGGCGCCTCGAAAGGTCGTGGAGGTGTGACTAAAGCGGGGGGGGAGAACTCATGCTGGTGTTGGGAAGACAAAGGGGTGGTATAGTATCGAGGGCACAGGGGGCTTCGGTAGGGAAGCTGCGGCGAAATCGAGGATCGTTCTAGTAACGGGGAAATGTAACTTTGTGCGGGTAAACTGGTGGCATGCGGGATGTGCTCGTAACGGGGGGTGGCGAGAGTGCTTAAATCGGAAAGGCGCGATCGGAGCGCGGAGAGCGCTTTACGCAGGAAGTGGCGGGATGACGCCATCGGCCATGCAGCGCGTGCGCGCAGGTCAAGCAAGTCAAGCCCAATCAAGAGAGTCGAAGGAGTGGCGTGATGGCGAAGGAACCCTGACGCGGCGGGCGCGGCTGCGGCGGCGGCGGCCTTATGGATGATCGGGACGCGGAATGGTTATGGCGGATGGGAGGCGGTGTGGACGACGGTGAATGCGTGTCAAAATAAGCTGTGGGGTGAAGAGGCCAACATAGACTCATGGAGAAAAACAAAATGACCACCAGGAGGATTCGATCCCTAGAGCTTGAAAACGTGGCAGCGAGGGAAGCTCAGAACGAAGCTTCCACAAGGATTTGTTTATGCGTGCTGGATTTGTGATGGGGCTGTATCATTCATCAATATTGTAACATATGGGAAACCAATGTGGTGTACACCCAGAATATGAAACACACAACTAGCAGCAACAGGCAGGAGTTCTCCTCGCTAAAAGCTTTTGTAGTGATTCTGCGTGATTCACGGTACCGCATTAACCAATAGCGTTGCACGGAACCCGAACCGGCTCGGAAGAGCCAGTCGACCGTCGATGCTACTTTTGTGTGCGCGTACCTCACATAAAACGTCCAGATTACCGTCGATTTGGACATTTTCAGAACAAGCGCAATGCCCGCCGCTTCGCATGCTTCGCTGCCGCAAACTTCGAGCTGCATTCACCCTGGATACACGAGAGCACCAACACACACACTCAGAAATCGCGTTCCCTCCCCTCCGCTCCCCTTCCTCACATTGGACAGGGGGGCAAATCCGGGAGTCCAGCAAGACATTTCCGCCATCGCAAGACAGTCCCCCTTACGAAACCACAACTTCCCTGCTCTCGATCGCTAGCAGCAAGTAGTGCTCCTTTACCCGTAGAAGATGTCGCCCCTGCAACCAGTTTGAAGGAGATTCCCTATTGCTGTCCTTGCTACACGTGCATGTCATCCGGCCTTATCTTTGCTAGCGGAAGCTACGAAGTACAGACACTAATGAAAAGCCATGGTCGATGCTGGCAGTGAAGTACGGGAACGTAACGCGACATCCGGGGTCCATTGCTACTAGCTCACGCGTAACTCAAAACCTCTACTAATTTAAAGAGTCACGCTTTCTGGCACCACGAGAACGACGCGCCAAGCGCGAACGGAGTCTTCCGCGGATATCCACGTTGAACCTAACTAGCTACGAGAGCGGCGCGCAATCGGGACCCCTCGCTTTCACCTTCGCGGGCGACAAATGGCTCTCGGCGCAAGAGACAGAATCCGCGAGTTACGCCAAGGCGCTCCCTCGGCCTTTCGTCCACGATTCGCAGCGCCAACACCGGTGGCCTGGGAGCTCATTGCGGCTACAATGGCGGCGACTGCAGCCACCGGTGCGTCACTGCATCTCCAGTTCCGAATTCGAAGGTCCGAGCATCAATTAAGCTTTCGAGTGATCCAGACTCCGTTATTCTTCATTCACGCTCAGCTGCCCAGACGATAGACGAGACGACGATTCCGTTATTTGTCAGGATCAAAGGGCTTCAACCTCAAGCATCCCCCCCCCCCCCCCGGGTCCCTTCCTTTCTACGCGTCCCTCTGCGCAGGAGCTGGAGCCACTGCGGCAGCCATGGATTTCAATCTGCGCACTCGGTCTCAGGCTGAAACGGCAGTGCGAGCGCGCCTCCGCGGGGAGCCCAGCTACACCGCACCACGACGAGCGCTGGCAGACAATCAAGGTAAGCCGCGTATCAGTGCGAGCTCGCACGCATTGAGCCTTCGAGTTCGCATGTTACGCCTTGAGTTGGTTTTTGAGATTTCTCAGTAACCAACTCGCTTCGGGACGAGGTGCTTTTGGGGGAAGACAAGAATTTCGAGCCTCAGGTAAAAAATTTAAGATGGGTGGCAGGTGGTGTAGACGTAAACAGAACGGTCAGTACGCGGTATAGCGCGGTATTCTTGCTCGTTCAAGTGTCAAGCCCGGTTTAAACCTAAAGCACCGCATCCTCAGGCTGAAACGGCAGTGAGAGCGCGTGTTAGCGCGGGGAGCCCAGCTACACAGCGCCGCGACGAGCGCTGGCCGGCAGTCCAGGCAAGCATTTGATCTGCCCGCCGCCCCTTGTCGCAAAGATCCTTTGAGCGCTTGCAGACAAGACAACCAAGGTTAGATTTGGATTCACGTACGTGAGTCCCAAGTACTAGTTGACTTTTGAGTCGACTCAAAAGTTATTGCCTAGTGGTTGGCAAGGCCCCAGCTCCCATCTGCCGCCGTCGGATTCACATCTGTTCTGCATTGACCCCTCCGCCCGTTCCCGCTTCTGCTTCGGCGTCCGTGTTGCATGCCGTCCCACCGGCGGGCCCCATCGTATCAGTCGGATCGTCCTTCCAAGAAAACATCTTGAGAAAAGCATCTTCTCATTCAGCCCGCACGACATCGCTCGTTTGAGAGCCCGTCGCTTTTTTTTTTCCCCCCAAGCAAAGCCTCGTTTAGTATGATCCCGCATCCCCTCTTTTCCCCCCGCCTTCCGGTTTCTGATTTCTGTCGTTACCGTCCGCCCTTCTCATCTCGCCTTCCCCCATCTCTGCGCTCATCTCGCCTTCCCCCATCTCTGCACGGCACTGCAGAGAGTGCTCTCAAGATCAGCCAGACGGCGCTCATCGCTATCCTCGCTGTTAGCAGCACCCTTATCGTCTTCGCCCTAGCAATATGTAAGCTTCGTTAACTCGTTTCCCGCCCGCATGCTTCCTTTTCTCCAGCTCCAATGCTCCTCCCATCCCCACTCCCCTCTCCCCTCTCCCCTCTCTTCTCTCTCTCCTCCTCCTCCTCCTTTCAAGATCCTTCCTCCTTGAGTTTCTTTCGCCGTCGCTAACTTCCGCCATTTCCCCCTCCTTCTTTACCCACCCTTCCCTTTCCGCCAGTGCTATACTGCTGCTGCCTCCGCCAGCGCAACAACTCCGCCAAAGGGGGAAAGGGCGCGCGGAAGGGGGTCAAGTTTGCGGGGGACGTGCGCGTGACAGTAGCAGGGGGCGCGGGGGAGGGGAAACGCGGGGAGGCGGGGGCCAAGGGGAAGCGGGGGGGTATCATGAAGAAAGGGGCTGAGGGGGAGGATGGGGGGGCGGAGGGGGGGGCGGAGGCGGAAGCGGGTGACGGGGGGAGCGTGCGGAGCACAGGATCCGCGGATGGGCTGACGTGGTCCGCCAAGAGCGTGGGCGGACTGACAAGGGTGGCGGAGGAAGGGGAGGAGGGGGAATGGGGACGAGAAGGGGAGGATGATGAGGAGGAGGAAGAAGGGGAAGAAGGGGAAGAAGGGGGGTCAGAAGTTGCGGAGTGGAGCATAGAGGAGACTATCCACGTGGCAGGGCTCATGGCCGACTTTATAGACATCGTTGATCCTAAGAACAAGCCAGGCGAGGAAGACGAGGAGGGTGCTTCCGAGAAGGAGCAGAAGAAGGGGGAGGGGGAAGGGGAGGAGGGGGGGGAAGGGGAGGGGGAGGGGGAGGAGGGGAGGGAGAGGCGGGCGGAGCAGCTGAGGTGGCAGCAGCAGGCGCAGACGATGAGCGACTCGGAGCATGACAGCTGGCACCGCGGCGTGCACGAGGCGAGCGGGGTGGAGGTGGTGGTGCGGCGCATGAAGGACGCGCCGAGCGAGGCGAGCTGCGTGGTCGACGGCGAGGTGAGCGCCGCGGGTCTGGCGGATGAAATGAGTGGCGGGGTGCTGCGGGGGTGGGGTGCTGCGGGGGTGGGGGGATGAGTTGGTGGGGGGGTGAGGGGGAGGGGGGGTGGGAGGGAGGCGAAGAAGTGAGTGTGGACAGACATGGTGGTGAAGCGAGGGTAGCATGTGCCGAGCGACGCGGTAGCGTCGTTGACGACAAGGTGAGCGAAACCCAGCTTGACAAAGGTCACGAGCGCACCCAGCTTGACAAAGGTAACGAGCGCACCTGGGTTGGTAGAAGTACCGCCGCACCTGGCGGGTGTGGGGGGGAAGGGTGAAGAAAACCCACACGTTACAACATGCCTCGTTATATGCCTGGATTCACACCCCGTCCACACATTCCAAATCCAAACATTCACATACACACCTCTTGTCCACACCTCACAACCCGTGTGTCATGGCCGCACTTCACAAATCTCTGATCTCCCCCAACCCCTCCCCACCCCTCCCAACCCTTCACCACCAGTCCAGGTCAAGTTCCTCTCCTCCCTCCGCCACCCGCACATCGTCCCCCTGCTCGCGTACTGCAAACACCCCGCCCTGCGCGCGCTCGCCTTCCCCCTGCTCCCCAACCTCAGCACGTGCAGTGCGCATGTGTGTACGAAAAATCAACACGTGCCCCCCTCCGTCAAATAGGAGTCTAGTTTTGAGGCGCCTCAAAACACGTGCCCCCCTCCGCCAACACATAATTTCTGTTTCTCTGCCCCCCTCCGTCCTCTCGCCCTCCGCCCTTCCTCCTCGCCCCCTTACCCCTCTCCCGCTCCCCCAGGTCAAGTTTCTCTCCTCCCTCCGCCACCCCCACCTGCTCCCCCTGCTCGCGTACTGCAACCACCCCGCCCTGCGCGCTCTGGCCTTCCCCCTGCTCCCCAACGCCTCCCTCGACCTCTGGCTGCACGCGCACCACCACCACCCAGGGCAGGAGCGCCCGCCCCTTACAATCACACACCGCATCCGGATCGCTGCTGACGTGGCGGACGCGCTGTGCTTCCTGCACGGGCAGACGCCCCCGGTGGCGCACCGTGACGTCAGCAGCAGCACTGTGCTGCTGAGTGGGGAGTTGAGGGGCCACCTGGGGGGGCTCAGCCTGCTGAAGCACGTGCCGGGGGCGAGGATGCAGAGGCGGCTGTCCCACCGCAAGGGGTACATAGACCCCGAGTACTTCCAGTCATTCAAACTGGTGAAGGAGAGTGACATCTACAGGTGAGGCACGAGCGGGTGGAAGGGGGGGTGGGAGCTAAGAGCGCACCTTGGGGGACTGAGCCTGCTGAAGCATGAGCCCGGGGGCGAGAATGCAGAGGAAACTGTTCCTGCGCAAGGGGTATATCGACCCGGAGTACTTTCAATCGTTTAAGTTGGTGAAGGAGAGTGACATTTACAGGTGAGATACTGGGAAGAGGGGAGAAGGTGGGGAAATGGGGCCTTTATTGTAGCAAGGGGTGTATCAGCCCAGAGTACATCTGGTCAATCCCTCTCATCTCCCTTCTCCTGCCAGCTTTGGTGTGGTGCTGCTGGGGCTGCGCTCCACCTGGCCGCTTTTCTGGCTATCCTCCCACCCACTTCCCCCATATTCCCCTCTCAACCCCCCTTGTGAATCTCCCTGCCAGCTTCGGCGTGGTGCTGCTGGAGCTGTCCGTGAAGCACCACCTGTCCAGACATCCTCTCACCAACTCCCCCTCCATCTCCCCGTCTCCCATCCGACCCTCCCTGACAGCTTCGGCGTGGTGCTGCTGGAGCTGCTGTCCGCGCTGCCGCCCGTGGTGGACGGCGATGTTGACGCTGCCACCGGGCAGGTGCAGAAGATACTGCTCGCCCAATATGTGAGTGTATTTAATCAATTGTGTGTATTCACCTGGTAAAGCTGTGCTTTCTTTTCCACTTCGAAGTGTATTCAACCACTACCCAAATATCCTTACATATCGAGTCCTCCATTACCTCTCCTCTGCCCCCCCCCAGCCCCCACATGCCACTCAATATCTAGAGTCAGGCGACATAGACCATCTGGTGGATTCACTCCTCTGCTCCTCTTGAAACCGTCTGTCAGCCCTGGCTGTCATTGCACGCGCCCTGTACCTTCATCTCTTTACTCTATTCTCTATTCCCCTCCACCCACCCCTCCACCCACCCCTCCTCACCCCCCCAACCCTATCTGCAGGCCACCCCATATCTGCAGTCAGGCGACTTGGACCATCTGGTGGATCCACTCCTCTCTTCCCCTCGGGACCGCCTCGCCGCCCTGGCAGTCATCGCACAACTCTGCATATCCGCCTCCCGCTTCTCTCGTCCCACTGCTGCTGAGCTGGCGGAGTGGCTTGCTGACCTGGCGGCAACGCCCCTCGAGTCACCGCTACCAGATGCCGTTGTCCGGCTGATTCCAGCTGCGTTTGCTGACTTGTGTCAGATCGAAGCAACTGCTTAGAGTTGGGACGGCTGAGCCTTAGAAGGGGTTGTTGCAAATGTGGGGTGATGCTGGGGAATGCTTAGTTATTTGAGGCCTAGGTAGCAGAGCTGTATGTATGCGGTTTAGCTGTATGTATTTAGCTGGGTTAAAAATAATGGAAGGCTACCTTCCAGAGAAATGAAAGGACAGTACCAACGAAAGCAAACGAGGCTATGCTTTAGGCACTAATGAAAGCATAAGGTAATGTGAGCCCAGAATGGATCTGTTGGGCTGAGAAAAGCCCTTAGGATCTTCCAGAGACTAAGTCCCAGTTGTATGAGATACTTGAGTAGTGCAGCGGAAGTTGAGTAGTTGAACCCTTGCACTAGTATGTGAGAGCAAGTGATTAATTAAAAGAAACAAACATACAGCAATATATAGGAAAGTAAAGCAGTTGTAGAATACAGTTGAAGGAACGGTTATCAAGTTGCACAGCGACTCGATGGTCGATTCGGTTACCACCCTTGCAGTTGTAACGGACAGTCGCAACCTCCGGTTGCGACCCTTCGAGTCTTTCGTCCTTTCGTGTTCTTTCGTCCAATCTCCTCGTGTAACCTCCGTTGACTCGCATACTCGATACGGCTTCACTCGAGTGTGGTGTTACACTTCAGAAACGCTTAAGTCCTTGAGGTATTTCCAACACTCCCCTTCGTTTCTGGAGTGCTGAAGTGTCCAGATTCGGTGACGTTTATCTGCCTTCGCCAGTTTCTTCGTCAGGTAGTCTGCGGCCATTTCTGTCGTGGGGCAGTAACTGAGTTGAAGTCTCCCCTTCGCGATTTCATCCTTGACGAAGAAGTACCGCAGGGCGATATGCTTGGTTCGATTAGCGAACCCGTCCTTGTTCGCGATTTTAATCGCGGATTGGTTGTCGCAGAATATCGAGAAGGTGGGCAGTTTTGCGATTTTCGCTTCCTCGAGCAGCTCTCGCAGGTAAAGTCCTTCTTTGGTCGCAGTGCAGAGGGCGATGTATTCTGCTTCAGCCGAAGATAGCGCGATTAGTTCTTGTTTGCTTGACTGCCAGGAGATGGTCCCGATAGGCTCTAGTCGGTAGATGTAGCCCGTCCTTGAGCGTCAATTTTCCCTGTCTCCTGCGTGGTCGGCGTCGACGTATCCGAGTAGTTGTACGGACGATGTCGTTGTTTTACTGTAGGTAAGTCCGGTCGTTGGTGTAGAGACGAAGTAGAGCAGTGCCCGATTTAGCTCTTCGAGATCCTCTTGTCCCGGCTGCTTCAGATGTGTCGCTAGTTGGCTCGCGCTGTAAGATAGATCCGATCGGCAAGTTACTGCTGCGAATAGTAGGCAGCCGAGCTTCTGCTGATAATCCTGGATTTGCTTTGCGGGGAGTTTTGCGGAGGTGTCGTTGTTGTTCTCGTAGTGGTAGGGAGTCGCGACTGCAGTCGGCGTTAGTCCGAATTTCTTCGCAACGACAGCTGCGTATTTTCCAGCGTGTAGGTAGAACGCTGAGTCGTCTTCGACGACGTTCAGACCTAGATACTGGCTCACGGTGTCTGACACCGTGAGCGTTAAGTCGCTCTTTAGCTCCCCTTCGAACCAGGTGACGACGTTGGTAGTGGAGCCGACGTAGAGTAGATCATCGACGTAGACGATGAGTAGGACGAAGTCCCCCCCCTTTTGTAGTCGGTACATTCCTTGGTCGTGCGGCAGCTGCAGGAAGCCGATTCTGACGAGGCGGCCGTGAAGGTGCTGCTGCCAAAGCCGTGGGGCTTGTTTGATTCCGTAGAGGGATTTTACCAGTTGGCATATTTTTGTGGGGTCGTCGATGAATCCATGGGGCTGTTGGACGAAGATTTCAGCGTCCACAGGTGCATACAGGAAGGCGTTGGCGACATCGATCTGGCGGAGTGGTATTTTTTTCGTGGCCGCGACGGCGAGCAAGATGCGTAGGGAGGTGTGTCGGGAGACTGGGGTGAATGTCTCCGTGTAGTCTGTTCCATATCGCTGGTCGAATCCTCGTACGACCCAGCGAGCTTTGAAGCGGTCGATGGAGCCATCCGCATTGGTCTTGATGCGGTACACCCATTTCCACGAGAGTACGTTCTTCCCGTTGATGTTTGTTGCAGGTACTAGCTTCCACGTATTTCAGTCTTGCAGAGCTTTCAGTTCTTTTTCCATTGCCTCCTTCCATTTCGCCTTATCTTCCCCCCCCAGATCCTGCGACAAAGTCGTGGGCTCGCACGGAGACGGCGGCGGCGGGTGCTAGACGGAGACCCATAATCCAAGTATCTGCAGGCCCGTGGGTGAGTGTCGAGGGGAATTTTCATTCCCGGGATAAGCTGCTTCGTCGCCATCTTCAGGATCAGGTAAGAAATTTGGTCCGATGCGTTCTGAGACATTCGTGTCGACTGGTTGAGGTGTAGCGTAACCTTGGTCAGCGAAGTGGTAGTAGGTGTCGAGGTTGTTACTATCGAGAGGATTGTCGTCGTTGAGGGGAACAGGCACAGAGCAGTAAGGGAGTGGTCCGGCAGTTTCCGAGGCTTCAGGTACGTCTTCTTCTGTTGTGTTTGCTTCGGCAGCATGATCCGCAAAGGAGTGAAGGCCCGCGAAGCCGTCGGTGGGGTCGTCTGTGTTGGCGACGTTGTCCAGGTAATGCTGCAGCGTCAATCGCTCGTAGAAGATCACATCACGTGATGCCACGATATTTTTGTCTTGTATGTCGAGGAGTTTCCATGCTTGGAAATGTTTTGCGATGCCGAGGTGTAGTCCCCACCGTGCTCGTTGAGTGAAGCATCCTGCTCGAGCTGTGTGGGGTCTGTACTGTACCATGCAGCTGAAAACCCGAAGTAATTTTGTGCTGCCCCTTTTTCGTGTCCACAGCAGGTGCGGTGATGCGTTGTTGGGAAGTGAGGACGAGGACAACAGATTGTGCAGGTGGACTGCATGTGTCATCGCGTCTGGCCACAGTGTGTTGGGCAGTCTCATCCCCAGGAGCAGCTTTCGCATCGTCGTCTGCAGGGTCCGATTCATTCTTTCTGCGACCCCCTGCTGCTGGTGAGCGTAGGGTAGAGACACCAGGCGCCTTATTCCTCTCTCTGCCAAGAAGTTCCTGAATCGTTGTGACTGGTACTCCAGTGCCCCGTCTGATTGAAAGCTTTTTAGTTGAGTGCCTGATTCCCGTTCAGCGATGGGGAGCCACGTTGTGAAGGCTTCGAATGCTTGATCTCGTGTCTTGAGGTTGTAGTGCAAGACGTATCTTGTTGCTGCATCGATGAACGTGATGACATAGTTGAAGTCGGCTTCACTGTCGCCTCGAGGTATGTTTAAGATGTCGCTGTAAACTTTTTCCATCGGTGCGTATGCAGGTGCGCTTGGGTTGTGATGTGATGGAAAAGGTTGGTGGGGAAGATCGGCTTCGGGGCACGTAAAGCATCGAGCGCGTGGTCGTCGAAGTTCTTGGCCGCTCGTTGTAAGAAGAGCGTTTCTTTCTAACACTTCGGCTTAGATGGTTTGTAGTACTGTGCTGTTTGCAGGATGCCCGAGGCGTTGATGCCAGATGTCGTCGGGAGCGCGATGGCCGGGGGAGCGTTGGTACATGTGGGCATTGGAGAAGAACGCGACGACCGTGGCGGGACTTCGGCAGACTTCTCGTGTGATGGGCATAAGTTGATCTGCTTCGGTTGGCGGTCCTCGGATTGCTGGTGATGGTACTCGGCTGGGTCCTGCTGCTGCTACTGCAGGTGATGTTGGGGAAGGGACGCTTGCTGGTACTTGTCTTTCTTGTCGAATGACTGCTAACGCTCGTGTTCTCTGTGCTGCAGGTATGGTGTTGGAGTACCAGAATCCATCTGGGGTGAAGTCGGGGTCAAGATCCGGTGGGTGTGTCCAGGCGACGAATGACACGATGCCATCGCTGTCGGCATTACCGCGGTCGAGGACGAAATCCAACACGAAGACACCTGACTTCAGGAGAGCGCGACCGATGAAGAGGCCGCCCTTCCCGTGGTAAAGACGAAATTCGTTGGCGTCGGAGTCGCATTCCAGGTGAATCCCCTTTTCCATTAGTTGGCTGACGCTTAGCAGATTGTATCCCAAGTTGTCGACGATTAGAACCTTGTTGAGTTTTAGGATGACGTTTGTCTCCATGGACTGCAACTGAACCACTCCTTGTCTGTTTGTTTTCAGGTTCTCGTTGTTGGCGACGGTGATGGTGACATCGCGGTTGAGGCGTCGCTCTCGTTGCACGAAGCGTCCGGAAGAACACATGTGTTGGCCGCAACAGCTGTCCAAGAACCAGGTGTTTCGCCCGGTGGGTTCGGCGTTGGCGACTGCAGCGTACGTTGGGTTGACCTGAAGGCCTTGTGTTCGCGGCGGTGGCAATTCTTCTTCGTCTGGAGCGTAAGTGGGTGGTGATCCGGGTGCGCAGTTGTCGATGCGTACCATACAGTTGATGATATTCGGTGTGCCTTGTGCAGATGTGGCGGAACGCCTTGGCGGACTTTCTTGAGCGGAAGCGACTTGTGAGTTTACTGGACGATAAACTCGGGGGCGTGTGCAGTTAACCTTGGAGTGTCCGGATGTCTGACAGTTGTGGCAGAACGGCGGCACGATGGTGAGTCCTTGAGTGTCGTGTCGATTCTGCCTGTCACGTCGATTGTGGTTGTCGTCCGAACGATGAGTTGTCGAGGCCCATTAGCGCTTATCCCATGTTTCCTCCGTTGCTCTGTGTTGAATGCGCATGTGTCCTTGTCTGCTGCTGCTGGTCGAAGAGTGACATGAAGCTGAAGAACCTTTCCATAAGGTTTGGGTCCACGCTTGAAGAGGGTGATGGAGTCATTATTTTTTGGTGCCCTTCCTGTTGTTTCTTAAGCAGCGCCGGTCTCGGTTTTCAGTTCAGAAGTGTGTAATCCAGAGTTGCTGGGTGAGCCCGTAGAGATCTTCTTGTCCTTGTTGTCCATGACTTATAATCGATGAAGCTTGTTGAAGTGTTGACTGTAGATAGAGCGTCGTTGCTGGGAGTTTGGTCTTTGACCAGCTCTCATACCATGTTGGGCTGAGAAAAGCCCTTAGGATCTTCCAAAGACTAAGTCCCAATTGTATGAGATACTTGAGTAGTGCAGCGGAAGTTGAGTAGTTGAACCCTTGCACTGTTATGTGAGAGCAAGTGATTAATTAAAAGAAACAAGCATACAGCAATATATAGGAAAGTAAAGCAGTTGTAGAATACAGTTGAAGGAACGGTGCGACTCGATGATCGATTCGGTTACCACCCTTGCAGTTGTAACGGTCAGTCGCAACCTCCGGTTGCGACCCTTCGAGTCTTTCTTCCTTTCGTGTTCTTTCGTCCAATCTCCTCGTGTAACCTCCGTTGACTCGCATACTCGATACGGCTTCACTCGAGTGTGGTGTTACACTTCAGAAACGCTCAAGTCCTTGAGGTATTTCCAACAGGATCTAAACTCGGTATGTTTTGCCTGTTGAAGAGCGTCATATGGATTACTGTTTAAAACCCATGCAGTATTAGAGTCAAACAATCAAATTGTAAATTTAAGAGTGGTAAACATAACGAACTACATGGAATACAAGTCACGTGGCAGTGCACTGTAGAAAAACTGTACCCGAGAATCATAGTTAATTGGGGACACCTCATTTGTAGCACCACGTCTTGCAATCACAGCGGACAGGTGGTCTTTTGTTACCATTGTGTAACAGAATGCGATGCCTCTAGGAGCGCCTAGGGATTGGTTCAGAAACCTCTAACGCTCACTACGGTACAGTGGGTTTCAAAACATTTTGGGATATTTCAGTTGAGTAATCGCGTGGTACAGTGTGGTAGAAGTTCGGATTGTGGCTGTCCGAACCGAACGCCTGGGTACCACGCCGGAATTTCTCCTGATTCTGAACAAACACAAGGTACCCTAGTTCTTGAAATTGCAGAGCTGAGAAGAACGGAACAGGCAAGCTACAAGATTAGAACAGCAGCTCTTAGACCCTCAGGGTCATGGGTTATCAAGAAGGCCATTGGTCATCAGCCAGCGCGTACCCACTGTTTGGTCGCTGGAGGTCCAGGACCAAACTTATTCCTAGTCCTCTTATCTTGATGTCCAATTATCCCAACTCGTTTCAGCTAGAGATCACCCGAGTTTCAAATCATCCTCCTGTTTCCAACTCATCCGCCTACTTCCAAATCAGTCTACTTACAAGCCAATCTCCTACTTTCAAATCATTTGTCTACTTACAAACCATTTTCCTGCGTTTTATTCGGCTTCCTGCCAGCTCCAGAGTCGATTCTTGACCCCAAAACTTCTCCGTGACCCCAAATCAAATCCGTGGCTCCAAATCAAGTTCCTAACCCAATTTGAGGTTCCAAGACCATGTTGCATAGTCTACGCTCCAGGTCAACTGAGTGGTACTCCTGACATGGCTGCTGCTGCAGGCCGCTTTGCACCTCCTGCTGCTGCTGCTGCAGTTGCTGTTTCATTTTTGGAGCTCCTCAAAAATCGTCCCAAGCGTCAGACTCTCCAGGTTAACTGACTGGTTCTGCTGCTGCTCTGCATCTCCTACTGCTGCTGCTGCTGCAACTGCTGATTCATCCCAAGCGTCAGAGTCTTAGCTCGAGGTCAACTGAGGGGTTCTTCTGACCTGACTGCTGCTGCTGCTGCCCGCTCTGCATCTCCTGCTGCTGGTGCAATTGTTGTTTCGTTTCCTGCTGCTGCTGCTGCTGCTGCTGCTGCTGTGCGTGCTGCACTACCTGCTGCTGCTGTCTTTGCATCTCCTCCTGTTGCTGTTGCTGCTGCATCTTACGCTGTCGTTCCTGCACATCGCTCTGCAGCGCCTCTGCCATCTGCTGCTGCTGCTGCTCCTCTGCCATCTGCTGCTGCGCCCCCTGCTGCTCCCTCTGCTGCTGCCTTTGCTGCCAACGGTCCACAAGTGATTCCCCATCCCTCCCACCACGGAACAGGTGCCTTCGAGCACTGCCTCCCAACGCAGCCACGGCCGTCCTCCCCTGCTCCTCCTCACCCCAACTCTCTCTCCCCCTCCCTCCCCCCCTCCCACCCCCTGTCTCAACTTCGACCTCTGCCACGTGTACCTCGCCTCCCATCAATACCCCTTCCCTCCTCCCTCTAAGGGCTGCCAATTCTGCTGCGTCTCCCACCGACTCATCTCTCCTCCCCCACAGCGCAAGGGCCCGGGACCTCTGAGGCTCGTCCTGGCCCTCCCTGTCCGCCCCCCCCGTGCTCAACTCCACCCTTATCCGCTTTAAAAGCTGACTCACGTCAGGAGCAGTGCCCCCTCTGGAGCCACGTGTATTTGTAGCAGCAGCAGCAGCAGCAGCAGCAGCTACCCCTGCTGAAGCCCCACATTGTGACACTACAGGGTGTGAGTCTATCAACATGGAATGTGGCATCACATCCTTAGATGCTGGTGCTTGAAAAGGCAAGCCCGCAGATTGACACGCCTCACCCTCTTGCTTGCCCTCTCGTGCATCCACTGCAGGACTCTGCCTTTTGCCCGGTCCCTGGCCTGGGCTTTCACTGAAGGCGTGGTGGCAACCAGAGGTGTGACCGTGCGGAGGGGTGTGCTCATAAGGAGAGCTCCGGTCCGTGGTGTGAGTGGCGCCGTGAGCTTGCAGCCAGAGGGAAGAGAAGGAGGGCAGCTGAGGGGCGGAAGCGGAGGTCAGGGCGGGAGAATGGTGGGGAGCAGCAGAAGCAGAAAGCTGGGGGCCAGCAGAAGGGGAGTGGCGGGGAGCAGTGGAAGCGGAATGGACGCGTGAGAGGGTTCTACTGGGATGGCCAGGACGGTGGGATGGGTGGGGCTCATCGTGGGGTTTATTGGAGGGAGACGGGAGCAGCAGGTTTGGAAGGGAGAGGGGGGCTGAGGGGGTCTGTGGTATGGGGAGAGGGGACGGGCGGAGGGAGAGCGAGAGGAGGGAGGGTGCTGTTGGCTTGCCAGGTGCTCCCTCCTCTGTTTCGTCTCTTGGTTCCGTCTTTCCGGGCACTGCTCCCCACTTTGCTTCTGCTACTCCTGCAGCCGCCAAAACGTCAGCGGCTACAGCCGTGCTGACGTCAGCAGCTACAGATGGAGGGGAGGGGTTGGAGCAGGAGGAGGGGCTGAGGACGTCAGCAGGGAGGGAGGAGGTGGTGCTGGACTGCACACTCAATGGCCGATTCAGTGGCTGATGTAGCGAGTGCACCAGGGGTTGATTCACGTGTTGAACCAACTGTTGAACAAGGGGTTGAACTAAGGGTTGCACGAGGGGAATTGGTTGACCCAGCATAGGGTGACAGGACGACCCTACTGACAGCGGGAGTGGGATAGTGCCCGGTTGCTGTGTTGCTGCTTGCTGTGGCTGGAGCTGCAGCGTTGATTGGCTGTCTGGCTGCTGCTGCTGCTGCTGCTGCTGCTGCGGTTGTTGGGAGTGGGGAGATGGGAAGGCTGGTTGCTGACGCGGCATGAGTGCGGCTGACTGTGTTACAGGGAATGCTGATGCAGGGAAGGGGCCTGTTGACATCAGAAAGGGGTTGGAGCTGTTCTGACTCAACACATGAATCGAGGGTGCTTGAAACGAGCCTGCTTGAAAGGGGGTTGTTTGAAACGAGGGTGCTTGAAGCGAGGACAGCTGGAAGTGTGGTGGTGGCTGCATCAGCGGCTGTAGCAGAGGCCGCAGCGGGGAACATGGTTTTGGCTGTATCTGAGACTGCTGCAGCTGAGACTGCTGTAGCTGAGACTGCTGTAGCTGAGCCTGCTGCAGCTGAGCCTGCTGTAGGTGAGTTTGCTGTAGCTGCATTTGAGCTGCCTGTAACTGCGCTGCTTGTAGCTGAGAGTGCTGCATTTGAGCTGCTTGCAGCATGGCCAGGGAGCCAAACGGGGCAACAGAGGAGCCAAACGGAGCGGCAGATGCGCCGAACGCCCCTCCTGATGCGCCAAACGCCCCTACCGATGCGCCCATCTGCGAGATCACTTGGCTGCTCATGATGGATGGTAAGCCTCTTAACGAGGCATCCAATAAGGGGTTTCCAGACCGACTGAGCGAAGTAATGCGGGGTGAGAAGACAGGGGCGGCAGAGGCTGCAGTCACTGCAGAGGCCGCAACCTCCTCGCCTCTCCTCCCGTCTCCCGCCACCGCTGCAGCAGCTGCAGCTATCTGGGCAGATGGGGATTCACTGGCGTGAAGGGCCAGCGTTGCAGACACCATGTTTGGTGCAACAGCCGAACCTGCTGATGGGCCTAGAATAGGTCCTCGCATTGGCCCCATTGAGCCCACCCTAGAGGCTATGGGTGAACCAGCGCTGATATGTGACCTGGCCCCTTCTCCCACCCGCACTGGGCTTGCCAACACGGCTTGCAGGGCTGCTGCTTCTGCTGTCACCCGTCGTCCGGCTGCGTGCAAGGCTGCTCCTCCTGCCGCTGCCGCTGCTGATGAGTCTCTTCCTGCTGCTGCTGCTTCGCCTCCTGCTGCTGCTCCTTGTGGTTCGGAGAGCGAGCGAGAGAACGAGGCAGAGAGGGAGCGAGGGAGGGAGGCGGAAGCGCGCAAGGCTTGAGTGAAGGCTTCAGAGGCACTGGCACCGGGCCTGGCGTGGTTGTGCGTCCCATGGTACACCACCTTGGCGCCGCCGCCACCGCTGCTGCTGTTTCCAACACCACCGCCTGCGTTAGTGGTGGTATCAGCAGCAGCAGCAGAGGCAGCGTTGGCAGCATTGGCAGGAGCACAAGGCTTTCTTGGAGTGCCAGAGCTGCTGCTTCTCGTGACAGTGGCAGCGCCGCTTGTAGCTGTGCAGCTAACAGCCTTGGCTGTAGCATCCCTTGCCATAGTGCCAGGGCTGCCGCCCGGGGAGGATGGGTCGGATGCAGTCGCTTGCGCGGGTGCCGCAGCTGCAGCAGCAGCAGCGGCTGTAGCTGTAGCAACAGCGGCTGTAGCAGGGTCAGGGACGAGTGGCGAGTCGATGGTTTTCTTGGCCTGGCAGCCCATGCTGTGTCGGGCGCACCGGAAATACGCCCTTGGGGAAAGGAAATGGGGAGGAAGCGGGAAGGAAAAGGTGAGTAAGCGGGGAGGAAAAGCGAGAGGAAGGCAAGGAGGAGGGGGAGCGGCCCGAGATTGATGACTCGCATGTTGTGGTTGCATGGTCCATGCTAGGTGCTGGTGGTTGCATGGTCTGTGCTGGGTGCTGGTGGTTGCATGGCCTGTGCTGGGTGCTGGTGGTTGCATGGTCTGCGCTGGGTGCTGGTGGTTGCATGTTCTGCGCTGGGTGCTGGTGGTTGCATGGCCTGTGCTGGGTGCTGGTGGTTGCATTGCCTGTGCTGCGTGCTGGTGGTTGCATGGCCTGCGCTGGGTGCTGGTGGTTGCATGGCCTGTGCTGGGTGCTGGTGGTTGCATGGCCTGTGCTGGGTGCTGGTGGTTGCAAGCATGCTACAGGCACTTCGCATCACAGGCACGTTGCATCGCAAGCACGTTGCATCGCAAGCACGTTGCATCGCAAGCACGTTGCATCGCAAGCACGTTGCATCGCAAGCACGTTGCATCGCAAGCACGTTGCATCGCAAGCACGTTGCATCGCAAGCACGTTGCATCGCAAGCACGTTGCATCGCAAGCACGTTGCATCGCAAGCACGTTGCATCGCAAGCACGTTGCATCGCAAGCACGTTGCATCGCAAGCACGTTGCATGGTCCATAACGGTCCTTTGGCCATACTGTGGCAGAGGCCGTCCCACTACAAGCACATCAGTACATTACACAACGCACTATGCTGTAACATCAGGCCGTGTTACCTGGTAACTGCACGGTCCATGACGGTTTTCTGGCCGTACTTGTGCCAGAAGTACCCATCCTCTGCCACCACCGATCGGCTGCCCGCATGCACCACTGGCTTGCGCTTCCTGCGATTGCACATGCCATGCCATGCCATGCCGTGCCATGCCATGCCATGCCATGCCATGCCATGCCATGCCGTGCCGTGCCATGCCATGCCATGCCATGCCATGCCGTGCCATGCCATGCCGTGCCATGCCGTGCCATGCCATGCCGTGCCATGCAATCCCTGTCACGCACCATGCCCGTTCTCAGCCACACATGACAACCATACCGCACATGCCAGCCATACAGCACATGCCAGCCATACCGCACAATCAGAACCACAGGGACAGCACACGTGTCTCTGCCGCTGGTGCTTGGTGTCCTGTGGTGCAGTGCAGTGCAGCAACCTGCCGGCCACTAGGGGTGCATGGAGACTGTGTATGCTAGAGAGCACGAGAGAGCATGATGCGTTAGGCGTCCTAAACCCGGAGCTCTGAGTGAGGCGCACCTAACTCAGAACGTAGGGGGGTGTTTTCAGTACACTCCTTGAGGGGGGTGTTTTCAGCACCCAGCGTACCTTGAGTGCGAGCCACTTGCAGCGCCCGCCCTTGCCGAGCCTCGGGAATTCCTCTGCGCCCAGCGCTTCTGCGCCTGTTGCGATGGCTGCTGCGGTGGCGACACTTGCTGCTGCTGCTGTTGCTGCTCTTCCCCTTTCTCCGCTCCCCCCTCCTCCTCCTCATGTTCCCCATGTCCCTCATGCCCCCCATGCTCCCCATGCCCCTCTTGCCCCTCGTGCCCCTCATACCCGCTGCAAGAACCACCGCTGTTGCCACCACTTGCCACGTCACCGCCACTCCCCTCCTTCATTACCGTGTCCACGTCAGCCCCGCCCCCACTAGCCCTCCCTTCATCATACCCCACACCCCCTCCCCTCTCCCCTCTCACCCCCTCCAGCCCTCCCCCCTTCAGCTCCCCTGCAACCACTCCCCCACTTCCCTCTTCCCCCTTCCTCCTCGCAGCGCTGAGTTTCCGCTGCTCCGGTCCGGACACGAACCCTGGTTCGTGCGCTGCAATGATGGCAGCTCTGGCCCCTTCCTGCGCTGCAGTGATAGCACCTCTGGCCCCTTCCTGCACTGCAATACCGCCGGTTTCGTCGTGCGCTGCAGCACCCGCGCCCTCGTCAACCGTGGAGGCTCCTCGGGGAACGGCGGGTTCAAATTGCGGCCCCCGGCGTACATATGGAACCGGCCGCGGCGGCGACCCCCTGCTGGTGGCGGAGGGGGCGGCGCCGTTTGCGCCGATGGGCGGGGCTGCGGCGGCTTGCAGGTGGGTCAGCTGCGTGAGGAACAGGCGTGGATCGGCGGGAAAATGGGGCGGGGAGCCGCGGGGATGGGCGGACGGGCGCGAAATCTGGGGGGAAAAGGACAGATGCGGCCCCGGGCGAGTCGCTGCAGCGGCAGCGGAAGCGGCGGGAGCGGCGGAAGCGGTGGCAGCTGTCGCGAAGGCGCTATCGGTTGGCGGAGCTCGTTGAAAGGGCACCATGGGTAGCGTAGGGGGTGGCGCGCGGAAAGGCGAGGAAAACAGAGGCATTGGCGCAGAGGTGGCCTCCGAAAACAATGGCACTGTGGTCTGCTGCTGCCTCCCCTGATCTAGAAGCGCCGCCGCGCCGCTGCCTCCCCCGCACTGTTGCGCCGAACGACCTTCCGCCGCCGCCGAAGGCGAATCGCCCGCGGCAATGCTGCGCACTGCGGCCGCCGCCGCCGCCGCCGCTGCCGCCTCCCACGTGCGGTGGGACGTCGCGCGGAGAGAGTCCATGGCGGAAGCGAAGGGCGCAAGCGGCAATGTGGCGGAAAGCGGGCCGCCCCCCGCCGCCGCTGTTGCAGGCGGGGCGACAGCTCCCCCGCCCTCAGCTGTAGTAGGAGCGGCGGGTGCGAGTACCATCCAGCGAGGAATGGCCTGCTCGACAGGTGAGGGATGTCCTTGTCTGTAAGGAGAGCCACTTATTAGTAGCGCCGCGTTCGTTGCGGCGAGTGCAGCAGGTTGCGGTGACGCTGCGGCCGCTCCGAGCGTGGCGGCGGCGTCAGGGGGGATTGATTGCTCTGGCGGCGTCGCGGGGGGGAATGAGACTCCACGGCGGGCTGGAGATTCGCGCAGACCGAGCGGCGATGCCGCCGCTTCCGGCGGAGCTGGTGGGCGGCGCGCATCGCTCATTTGCGCGGCCGAATGCGAGTATTAACGGTGCGACGCGACGTGTTATCATGCGGCGTAAAAAACGGGGGAAGGAATGAATGCCGACGCCGAGACGCTAGATCTTACTACTGCAAAGGCCATGATGATGATGTTGCTTCCGACCTCCTATTTCTTGGATCTTCATGCATTTAGGCGTAAAAAATCGATGTGGTGCTGGGAATGTGGTTTCTGAGAAGGACAGACGAATGGCGCGGACATGCACCGACACCAACTGGAGTGGCTATAATTGCTTTTATCATTGCTGCAATTCCAAGCACGGGTTTCTGCAATAACCCAGGGAAATCAAGACGCTCGCTAGCTCAGGCTGAGAAGAAGCTAGACGGTTTTTGGGCCAGACTCGCGGTGCAGCACTAAGACCAACTCTGCCCACTGCACACAACTAGAAATTCGTTGGATACTTCCAGCAGAAGGCATCGCCACGGGACAAGACACCTCCAGTGCTTCTCTGCTATACGTGCTCGCATACTGAACTCTGGTGTGACTTGCGTGGTGCTATCAGTGAGTGGTCGCGTCGTGACACAATTCGAGCAGGAATCACGTAATAAGGGTGTCTTACCCCTGAGAGTGAAAGCACTGCAGCACTGCAGCTCAGAGTGAAAGCTTGGCAGCACCACCGTGTTTTGTTCACTTGGCTGATTTCCGCGTATCGGGACCGAGCCTGACGGGGGGGGGACCAGGCTTGCTGCCAGACCACCAGACACAGTGCCCTTTCTAAGGGCGGGGTGAAATGCAGTGCGAACCGATAGGATGCAACCAATGCCATTCCACCCCGCCCTAATGAATTATGTAGTGGCTGGAAGGCACATCTGTGAATGTTGCCTCGTGAAGACCCTTACTGATTTGAGATTCTTCTAGCTCTACACTGATGAACAGCTAAAAATACATCGACGTGCCCTGATTGTTCGGATCTGACGGGACCGCACGCACAGGGAGTACGAGTCAAAGCCTCCCACCACACGAACAAGGAAATGCCACCTCTACTCGATGAGTGCGGAATTTTCTTATTGGCAGAAATCTCAAGAGACTGTTTGTGTGGTTCTGTTCTGGAGAGATGTGCAAGACACGGGGCTGACACATTTTCTGGTGGCGGCAAATTGGTGGAGGGGAACAGCAGAAGCAGCAATCTCAACAGCAGCAAGATGGCGGTGGAGGGAGGGAGGAACCCCTTGCCCAATCGCCGTACCACGCCGCTCTCAGTCCCGCCCAATTTATTTGGTGTGAACAGTTTTTAACGAATTCTGGAAAATGAGATTAAGGGCCTTTAAGGGAGGCTATAAGGCCCTTCCACAGTCTTCATCCAGAGGAGCAGGCGGGCGAGGCTACACCGTGATTGGATGGCAGAAATGTCCCTTGTGAAACAACCCAGAAAAAGATGGGGTAGACGCAGACAGAGTGTAGCATCCAAAGGGGAAACGCCGTTGAAAAAGGCACACTATCAGCTGGCAAGGGCTGAGTGGCAAGAAATGGCAAAGCGAAATATAGCCGACAAGAATTAGCGATAAATTCGTTTCGTTTTGTGGGCCACAAGGGACACCAGAGACAACTGGCACTAAAACGTGGTGGGGGAGGTGAGCTCAGCACAAACCTGCTCCCAGGCTCACTAGTATATTATATGTCCTTAAACGTTCTATCATAAATATAAAACCGTTGAGTAGGATATTCGCGAAAACGATTTTGTGAAACACAATTGTTTGCCAATAATGCTTGCGCTACTGTTGGAACTCCAGGAAAACCCACTAACACAACGTCAGCTAAACGGCGAAAGCATATCTTCAGGCTTTCAATTTCGGAACACGCTTGTTTGCCAATAATGCTTGCGCTAGGGCTGGAACTCCAAGAAAATACACAAACACAAGTTGACGTCAGCCAAACGGCGAAAGCATATCTTCAGCCTTCAATTTTGTCACGACTATGCAATTTTGCTAGTTTGGCACGTTTCGAAATATGACTTAACGTAAACCTGTTTGGGTAGGCTGTGTCATTCGTGCTTCATCAAAATATTCTTTGCCAGCCCTGAGAAGTGTATGCTCGTTTAACACAGAATACACTTGCCTAAAACGTTTATGAGCGCGTTCAGTCAGAACCTTATGTATGCGGTTCAGGTTTGAAGTGAGTCAAAATCTGACGCCTTCCAAATCTGCGGCAGGCTACCGAAGCTTAGAAGAAACCTTTTCTTGGATCATACGCAACCATGCTGTACCGCAAAGTGATGTCAAAACGGACGTCCAGACTCCAGAGTTGTACATAGAATACCTTTTCCCGAGACACCGCAAAAGCGGGCCATCCTGCCTCCCAAGAACAATTTTTTTCTGCATGTACAGTATTCGGAAACAAATAGAGGATCTTGAGGTATGGCTTAGATTGTCGACGCCAATTCTTGTGATCTTCGCCCATATCGACAGTTACGAAAGAGCTTGTTGTAGATCTGCCAAAAAATGAACTATGCATGTCATGTGAGGCTTAAACGGACAGAACCGGCCGACCCAGATATGTTTTGTCCACGAAATGGAAGGTTTGCCTGACGTGCCCAAGAAGCAGCTTCTTGTTTGACGGTCAGCCAAGGAAATAAAGTAAATATTTGTTGTACTGGGGGTCTAACAGCGCGGCTACCAAAACTTGTGTTTTAGAAAGACAATCGAAATTAACAGGGTTAGGGCGAGTATAGAGCAGCCATTTCAGCATTGTGGTTTTAGCAAGATGCTGTTCTGCAGCAGCGTAAAGGGGGTGGTACACAGCCCTGTTTTTCAGGATCAAAACAACGATCTTGATCCTCCACCTCATAAATAACATGATTAAAAGAAGCAATCCCATACAGAAGTAGGAAACCCCGATCCTGAGGGACGATCTTCGCTCGCGACCCTGGAAAGTAGGGTTATGTAACATGATCTATGTTTGTGTGCTTACATGGTTGGCTCTTCTGCAGCCACATGGTTATGAATGAACAAGCAGAGTAGCGCGGAAATAAATAACGATATGTTCACTCAATGGATGACGATACAAGGAATGGCAAGCCAAGATATAGGAACACCAAAGCTAGTCTAACCATGCGATGGTAAGGTTCGGGAAAGAGATCGAAGGGTCTCGAAGTGACGAAGCGAGGCCCGGAGGACTCCCTAAGGTCGAACTAGAAGGTCCGGAACAGTCCCGAGACTTTGGGTGTGTTCGAGCGTACGTGATAGCAGTACCGCTCGGTAAGGAATGGAAAATTCCTTACACCCTCCCCCCCCCCCCTCCTTAGCGAAGGTGATCTATATCAGCCACGTGCTTGCGGTCCAAATAATTCGCAAATATCGAAGGTGACTGTATCTGGTCCGAGAGCACCCACGTGTCGTCCTCACTGGTACGATTGGTCCATCGTATCAGAAAGTCAACGTGTCGTCCTTGACCGTCGATACGAATCCGATGGCTCAAGATCTTTGAAGGCTCGATGGTCGTCTCGGCTGGTGGCCGTACATCTGGGACCAATCGTTGTCGGGCGATGTCTGACGTATCGGGCACGAAAGGCCGCAACATGCTCACGTGGAACTTGTTGTGAATACACCAGTCATCAGGTAGGCGCAACTGGGCGGTCACCGGCGTCACCATCTTCATGATCTTGAATGGGCCACAGAAACGTGGTCGAAATTTTGTCGGTAGTGGCAGTCGTAGATTCTTGGTGTCCAAAAGGACTAGTTGCCCTGCTGTGATCGTAATATCCCGGCGATGTAAATCAGTATACCGTCGGACAGTTGCGTTCGCCTTGCGAATAAGTTCGACAGCTTTATCTCGGGCAGTCTGTAATTCCTCGACGAACTGGTGCGATCATGGTACTTGACTCTCAACGTTGGTGGAGACTGGTACTGTAGGGTCCATCCCGTGATTGAGATAAAACGGGGAGTGATTAGTCGTAGCCGAGGGCGCGTTGTTCTAGGAAAATTCCAACACGAGTAGCACGTCCTCCCATTTTTTTTTTCGGTCGGGGCAGTTTGTCCGAATCAGCTGCTCTATCGTTTGATTTGTCCTTTCCATTGTGAGAGTACGACACCGTTACACCAATTTCCCCTTTTCATATTTCCTCTCTATTTCATATCTCTTTTTATTATGATTCATTTGGTCTTTATCTTATCTCATTTGGTTTCCTATTCTTCCTTCTCCATTATCATTTGGTTTATCCTGTTATTATAATAATATCACCGACCAGGCTCGGGATGTACTGGCACGCTATATCTAGTGTAATCCTGCCGTAATCCCTTAAAGCCAATAGCCTCGCGTGGCTATACGCATGGTGATTCTATTTATAGAAGGGTCTATTCCCTTTGGATAGGATAAACCTGGTTACCTGATGTACTTTGGAAGTATAAATGCACCTTGTACTGATTGATAGTGCAACATGGAGCAAACCTTTTCTCGACACATTCGATCCTGTAACACTTGGTATCAGAGCCAAGGTTTCAATTCAACGCTTAACCGCTGGGCCCCCAGGAGCACGCGGAGGATGGAGTCAAAACTTCAATGCGTGTAAGTACAATGCACTTTCATTTAAGTTTCCACTTACCTCTCGCACTTGCACCTGGGGTCCCCTTCGAAGGCGAGATGCCTCGCTGATCGTTCGATGGACTGCATCGACGGTGCCGATTTTTCGCGAGGGCAAACGGCCCCGACCTCGCAAACGCGTCACTTCTGGCGGAACACTCCCTGCGACATTCCAAGGAGTTCGCAGTTCGCGACGACAGTTGGAGTTGCGCGGAAATGTGCAGAGCTGCGACCGACGACATTCGTCCGATGGGGATTCGACGCTTCAGATCGACCGAGGCGAAAACGAAACCTTCTGAGCGAGTTCGAGTTTCAGCGCGAATGTGAACGGCACCTCGCAAGCCGCGAAGTTCTTCGGATCGTCCGATCGTTCGACAGCCGACATCGACGACCGAGAATTGCTGCAGGAAACGTGTCAACCCGGGCACCGAAAGCTGCTGAACGGGACTCAGAAAGATCTTCAGATCGCTTGGAGTTTGGACCGTCGGATCAACGTCTGCTTCAACGGACGAGATGGAGCGCGACTTCTGCACAAAGGGAGAATGACGCGCAGAACCAGAAAATCAGCCGCTTCGACACCGCTGACTTCATATGGACAACCAAATTCAAATTCCTTCAATTGATGACGAATTTGGAGCGCAAATCATCTGCGAAGTCAGAAATGTGCCGGAGTATTACCTACTTGGCAATAGCTGCAAGCAGAAAACTGACAGGAGAACGTGGATCGT